GCTACTTGATACTTTGCGATTGCTGGTGATGAAAGAGTTGGCCTTTTTCACAGATTTAACAATTGATAATAGGCTATTTGTTTGGAAAAACCGAAATATAATATAGTTGTGGCATTTCAAATAAAAAATGAAAATTTAGAGGCACTAGGGGGAGTCGAACCTCGATCAGGTGCAGTGTAGACCGGCGCTCTCACCACTGCGCCACGGTGACGAAGAGGAGAGCCTCAAAACATTCAACTACAAAGTATTAAGTAGTAAAAAGTGTATGTCGAACTTGTCGAATTCACTTTAACGAAGACACTTTAACCAAAAGTCTCCCTTTTCTAGCTGAATGTTTTGGGGGTGACCCATGGTGGCCGTGGCTCAGTGGGGAGGGCGCTGGTTTACATCCTCGAAGGGTCCGGGTTCGAACCCCCGTGGTGCACTTAGTTTTTGAGTTTTTTAAATTTTTAATTCTAGATGAACAACTATAGTATATTTTAAGCCTTTATAAAGAATTTCAATGTTTTTGGCTCAAAGGCGGTTGAGAAAAAGCAGACAGACAGATAGACAGGCAGATAGACAGGCAGATAGATAAACAGACGGACAGACGAACGGATAGACAGACAGATAGACGGACAGATAGACAGACAGACAGATAGACAGACAGATAGACAAACAGATAGACAGACAGATAGGCAGACAGATAAACAGACAGACAGACAGATAGACAGATAGACAGACAGACAGATCGACAGACAGACGGGCAAACACTGCTTTTTTTATACATTTTGGACAATTATCTTATTATATATGCATGCAATTGTATTTTTCAACGACGCCCATCATTTTAAACCGTTTTTTTACATTAGAAAACACGATTGACGTTGATTTCTGCAGGCATTTGTGCAAATCTCAATGAATAGGGAACATATTTTCGTCTCATTTTATGAGTTTCAATAGAAAAATGGCAATCAATTGGGAATTTGATTGAATTTGATGGAATTTGATGGAATTTGATTGAATTTGATTGAATTTGATGGAATTTGATGGAATTTGATTGAATTTGATTGAATTTGATGGAATTTGATTGAATTTGATGGAATTTGATGGAATTTGATTGAATTTGATTGAGTTGGACGAGGGTGAATATTGAAAATGAAGAGAAAAAGCTTAGTCTGTGCAAAAAAAATGGAAAGGTGGTCGGTTTTGAAGAGTTTTTAGGCAAAAACACCCGAATTTGAGCTTTTCAAGCGTTTCGCAAAATGTAAGTTGATGAGAAATTTCGCGGGAGCTAGCCGGAGCTAGCCGGAAATTGACATTTTTCGGGGAATTGCAATTGCTTTCACTTCATTTGATGGGTTCATTCAATTCAACATTCTTTTTCCTATTTCTATTCAATTCATTCATTTAAATATGAATATTATTTAAATATGAATATTCAGTTGATCAGAAATGAATATTCAGTTGATCAGAAATGGATTCAAGAATGAAATGGATTTTTGTCCATTTCTGATCAACTGAAAAGTTGAGAAAAAGGCTGGGAAATTGAGTTTCTGGACTTCTGGATAGACAATTTCTGGACTTCAAAGTACTTGATTTATGATTTGTTGGATCAGATCAAGAAATGATATAAATTTGAGTGAATGGAGGTGGTGGAGGTGGTTTTAAATTATACTTTTGTACCTAATTTGGTTCCTTATCTCTCTAAATTTGGTTCCCTATGGAGGTGGTTAACCTCCCTATGGAGGTGGTTAACCTCCCTATGGAGGTGGTTAACCTCCCTATGGAGGTGGTTAACCTCCCTATGGAGGTGGTTAACCTCCCTATGGAGGTGGTTAACCTCCCTATGGAGGTGGTTAACCTCCCTATGGAGGTGGTTAACGGTTCCAATACGATTCCTTTTTTGATCCAATACGGTTCCAATACGGTTCTTTTCTTGATCCAATACGGTTCCAATACGGTTCTTTTTTGGAGGTTTAACTCTCTAAATTTGGTTCCCTATGGAGGTGGTTTTAAATTATACTTTTGTACCTAATTTGGTTCCTTAACTCTCTGAATTTGGTTCCCTATCTCTCTAAATTTGGTTCCCTATCTCTTTAAATTTGGTCCTATCCTTTAACAGGACGAAGACTGGTGCAATATTAGTTTGTTTATTAGTTATGTAGCTTATTAGTTATGTAGTTTATTAGTTATGTAGTTTATGAGTTTATGAATTCATTTGAAATTCTGGATCTAATCAAACTACTGTTACTACTTACTTATTAACTCAAATTTTATCTAGCTCACTAGAATCATCGCTTTATGAGGAGGAACCCCAATGCATTCACACATCAAATAAAAGAAAAAAAGAAAAAACAACTGCTGTCTCATGCTTGGAAATCCCTGGAGAGTGTGAAAAGAAGAAAAAAACGACTCAATCAAAAAGAGTGAATGATGGGTAGGTTGGAGATTGACAAATCTATTGATGATCATAGATTGAGCAGATTTTTAAGAGTACTAGATGAGATCTCTGCTCTTTGCTGTTTAATTCTTAGCTGGTTCTTGGCTGGTTCTTGGCCGGTACTTGGCCGATAGCATAGCAACTTCGTGCTAGAGCCAAATCAGAACCAGTGCAAGGCTAAATTGGCACAGCTAGGCTAAGGCTAGACTAGTCAGATAACTAGCTAGCTCATAACTTGACTCTAAGAGCCAAAGTTTGACTCTATAATAATCTTATGGTTCAGAAGAAAAGAGGGGAAAAGGCTAAAAAAAGTGTCTTCTCAATGGACGGGGATTCCCCATACAAACCTCGATCGTCAACCCCGTTGTACTCGATCAGGGAAAAAAGACAAGTAAACGGGAAAAGCTTTGTGGAGACAAGGTGAGCTGTCCCCAAATCTTTTCCTTTTCTTTTCCTTTTCTTTACCCTTTCTACACTCACAAACGGATGGTGTACACACTCGACATGTGCCCCTTTTCTGTGAAGAGCCATCTGTGCCCTTCCCTTTCCCCTTTCCCCAATTTCAATCCTTTTTAAACTTTCATCGCAGATCATAAAGAACAAATCGAATCTAAAGGGAACTAAAGACAATTTAGAATATAATATTTGTAGAAAAGTTCTGCTATTATTAGGTTGTCCAATAAGTAATGCGTGTTTTGACACGATTTTCCAATTATCACAAAATTAACAAAAGAGAACTTTATTAATCGATATATTCTCCACAACAATCAACAAAATTTCTCCATCGTCCGAGCAAAGAGTGAAGTCCGTCATAATAGAATGAAGCTGGTTTCGATGAGAAGAAATCGTCGAGCCATTTTTGCACCTCGTCAACACTTTTGACTCGTTTCCGTCCGCAAATCGTTTAAACCAGCGCTGGCACTGGCTGATTGAAATTGAATCCTCTCCAAATGTGGCACAGATACTTCGATGGCAATCCGCTGCAGTTTTACCTCGTTTGAAATCATACAGCATTGATGCGCGGACAACAAACTTTTTGTCTTTCATCTGCAAAACAACATATCTATTATAAAACAAAGGCAAATGAATAAAATAATATATAAAAATAAACACAAGATGCTGATGATTAAAAAGAGCATATATTTGCTCGAAGCGATTTCGCAATAGATTCGAAATAAGTAACACGCATTACTTATTGGACAACCTAATAGTTTGCTCTGGAAAGTTTTGGATGGTTTGATCTTTGATCATTTCTTTGATCATTTCTTTGATCCTTTCTTTGATTTGGAATAGCTGTAAAGAAATATTCTTTGCGTGCTTGGTACTCTTCACTCAAGACACGTTATTTCTTGTTTCGAGATATCTGATCTCACTTGAACTAAAAACACTTTATTCAATAGCCGACTGACTCGGAATCTTTGGGCTCTCACTTGCAATTTTGAGCAATTTTGAGCAGCAGAGATGGGCGGTACTGATCGCCACTTCTGGGGTTCAATAGCCGACTGACTCGGAATCTTTGGGCTCTCACTTGAGCAACTTTCACACAAGATCGACAATTGAATTAAAAGTGACGATAAAAACAGAAACAATTTCGTCCTAATCAGGACACAACTTTCACACAAGATGAGATGAAAGCAGAAAGAAAATGAAAGTTAACAAAAAACAAAATGAACAACAGTTGCCTTATATAGGCTTTAACACAAGATACTCAGCTAACAAGCTGCAAAACAATAAATAATTTGGGGTGCGAAATAGAATGAGTTTCCTCAATATTTTTCCAATTTTTAGGCTGTCAGAGTTAGATAACTTTTAGTGGCTATTCGCCACAATAGCTTCAAGTCTAGAGCAAAGGTTGAGCAATTAAGCTGATCAATTAAGCAATTAAGCTGATAAAACTCGTGCTTTCACGCAGAAGAATAATTTGGAAAGATTTGGCAGAGAATTCTCACTATGAGCTCAGACAATTCTATTGAAATTCTCAGAAAACGAACTGCTAGATGATCGGAAAATAGACTGAAAATCAATTTAGGCTTTTTTAGGCTTTTTTAGGCTTTTCTTATACCCACCATTCATCCCAATTCCCATTTACAAAAGTTTTTCAAAGAAAAAGCTCACTATGAGAGCTTGAATTCACAGAAACAGAATTCACTTGAATTCACAAAAACCCAAAAAGTCCAATAAATCAAAAGTTATAACGTAAAATTGAAAGACTCATGTGAAAAGAGGGAATAATTTCTCTCTTTTCACATCCGATCCTGAGCTTTGAACAAGGATTCGCAAAGATTTTCGATTAAGAACCAATATTAAGAACATATTGAAACTTAATAAACGTTAAAACAAGTTTTTGAATTAATAAACTAAAGTACAATCGAGATTTCAAAATGGTTAAAGTTTAAAAAGCACTTTTGATGTCTCTTTTTTGATGAATCTCATGCTTTTTCTTGAAAAAGATCTTCAAAATCTTCAAAAAAGTAAACAATGAAAGAAATGAAAACAAAGAAATGAAAAATATTGATGAAAAGCGTGTGAAATAGATTTAAAAATAGAAAAAGAAATAGAAATAGAAATAGAAACCAACTTATTGTATCGAAGTGGATCAGCACTTTTGACCAAATCGAGTCGGCGATGTCTTAAAACAGGAGATGGAGCTGCAGAACTCCATTGGATTTTCGCTGAAAGGTTTATTTTGATTTAGAAGCTTTCAATTTTCAAATTCCTACCGTAAATACTGTAATAGTACCCCACCCCCGTAATGACGGTGCGGAGCGTTGCGTAGTCAGCTTTGAACGAGTTTTTCTCGACACTGGTTTATGCTACAATGCGCGTTTAGGTATCAAAAAATAGCCCTGAATTTCAGCTATTTTTTGATACCAAAACGAACATTGTAGCATAAACCAGTGTCGAGAAAAGCGCGTCCAAAGCTAGACTACGCAACGCTCCGCACCGTCATTATGGCGGTGGGGTACAGTATTTACGGTAAGCAATTAACTAAAAAGAATTGTAAATCTTTATCCCAATTGAGAATCCGAATTGCAAAAGCTTTCATCTTTATTTCTTTCCACAACTCACCAATTTGTGAATCGGGTGTCTTCGGGAGGAATCTCCGCGAGCTTCTCGGCGTGTTATTTGTCGATTGGGACATCTAAAATGGTGAAAAAGATGATCAATATGAAACAATGGTGAAAAGATGATCAATTTCTTTAAAAAAGATCACGAAAACAAAGATTTCAAATCAATTTCACACTGAAAAAGAAACTTTTACATCGTAAAATGACTTAAAACACTATTGATTGATTTGATTCAATCTTTAACAAGCTTTGCTTCAATTTCTAACAAGCTTCTAACAAGAGAAGTACCCCAGCTCGCCACCGCTGAAGTTATAAAAGTTATAGAAGTTATAGAATCAACTAAGCTCTTCAAAATGCCCAAAAATTAGCTCCAAAATTAGAAATTTGACGTTTTCTCGAGGAATTACGTTCCGGGTTACGGTAGCTAGGGTATACTTTAAAGCTAACTTAACTATGGGATAAACTGTGTGAGAATTAGCTGAACTGTCCGGGTTTATCCATTTCTAAACATACTCTAATAAGGGATGATACTAAGGGATGATATGCCGATAGATAAAACGATTCTAAGAACAAAACGAAATCTTAGAAAATCAAGAATCCAAATCTAGAAAAGAAAATCGAAAAAATGAGAGATAAGTAAGAGAAAGAGTGGTGTTAAACGAAGGTTTTGCTGGGCACAAACCCCCAATTTCATCTCCTCCCCCATCTTTGGCCATTTTCGAGATCCGAATCCTTTTTTCTTTCTTTTCTTCGGTCTAATCGGTGAAATGGGTGACAGAATTGTTGAATCAAATAGCGAAAAAGAGGAAAAATGAAGAAGAAGAGGAAGAAGAAGAAGAAGAAGGAGAAGGAGAAGAAGGAGAAGGAGAAGAAGAGGAAGAAGAGGAAGAAGAGGAAGAAGAGGAAGAAGAAGAAGAGGAAGAAGAAGAGGAAGAAGAAGAGGAAGAAGAAGAGGAAGAAGAAGAGGAAGAAGAAGGAGAAGAAGAAGAAGAAGAAAAAGAAGAAGAAGAAGAAGAAAAAGAAAATATTTGGAGAGAAATTTGAGACGATAATCGGAATCCCCTTTTGGAGAAATGAAGGAATTCGATAAAATATTTATTAAGTAAAGCGCGGGTTTTCTCGAGAATCTCGAGAGGGAATCTTTTAGTGGAAAGTTTGTACAATTCTAGCCAAAAAACTGGATCAATTCTAGCCAAAGCCATCAATTCTGTTGTGCGGCTTTCAATTTGTATCCCGATGACTAGGAATTTCATGAAAATGCCACAAATCGAGTCACAAATCGAGCAAAAACGTTAAGAAACGTGAAAACGTGAAATTCTTCACGTTTTCACCAAATTACTTCTTTTTTTGAGTTAAAGGCCTAAGTCTAAAGGCTTTAAGCCTTTAGACTTAGGCCTTTAAGCAAAAAAAATGTTGTGTTGGGTCTAATGAGGTTTTGGAGTCTAGTTAGGTAAACGTTTTGAGCTGATGGCTCTTTCTTCAAGCGTTTGGAATGTTTTCTAGCGTTTAGAATGTTTCTTCAGCTCTTGAGAATGAAATTCTTCAGCTCTTGAGAACTAAACGAATTAGGAGTTCTGCTAGTTCTTGAAAGTACAATTGCCTGGACGTGGTTTCTACAATTTCCTATAATCCTACAATCTCCTGGACGTGTAAGGGATCGTGTAAGGGATCGTCTGACCTGATCTCAATTCTGATCTGACCTCAATTCTAACCTGATCTCAATTCTGATCTGATCAATTCTGACAATTCCAGACCCAGTTAGAAGATCTCTGACTGCTAAACTTAATAAAGTAAAGTAAGAAATGGTAAAGAAAGATTTTCGGATTGAATTAAACCCTTGACCTTTTTGTTGAGCTGATGAGAGATGCTCTAACCACTGAGCTATCCAGTAGCTTGTCAGGGAAGCTAATCCGGTATCTTGTCAGAGAAGAAAGATTATCTAATGAGTGATAAAGTCATAAGCTGAGCATTAAAAGAATATATTTTGAATATCAATATTGTGTGGAGCCTTCCGTTTCCAAATGTACCCAAAAATACTCGTTTTTGTGGGAAAGGGATACACGTGTTGAAAGATAATTAGTGAAGAGAAAGTTGGATGAAGAAATTGAAAAGAAATGGGGAAAGAGAAGAAAAAGGGAAGAAAAAGGGAAGGTTTCGAAGGATAAGATGTTGAAAAGGGTAAGCAAATTGGAGAAGAGATCCACGATGATTCTTGAAGAAAGGAAAGGGAGAAGAAGAGAAAAAAGAGGAAGAAAAGGGGAAGAAAGAAGGAAGAAAAGAGGAAGAAAGCAAAAGAAACCACTAATGGCCATCTCTCTTTCAGGAAAAGCTTTAGGAAAAAGAAAGGATCGAATCGAGATAACACCTTTTTCGTTAATCCAAGTAAGGGACAACTTTTGACCTTTGCAGAAAGAAAAGGAAATAGGATAACAACGTTTTTCAATTGAAACTTAAGCCAAACAGTATCAAATAGAAACGCTAACTCTCTGGCACACTTAACTTTCACTTTTATACTAGTTTAGTTTAACTTTTATACTGTTTTAGCTTTGCTTTATGCTGGAGAGTTCTTGCTCTTTATTGAAACGAAATTTACACATTCAAAGCTCGTTTTTTGTGCTCTCTAATAAATGTAAAGTAAATGGAGTAAACGGCTCACTAATAGTGATAAATATCTGGCTCACTAATAGTAAATCTTCCAAAAAGAATGCCAAGTGACATGCGTTTTTAAAAACTCAAAGTATGATTTAATTTCTTGTAGAAAAAGACGTCGTTTTTGTTATTTTGTAAGCTTAAAAAGTCTAAAAAAAGGATTTCATTATGAATCTCAAACATCGAAGCTTTTGAAAGCATCTAAGCATCAAATATCTAAGCATCTAAGCTTTTAAATATCAAATTCTCATACCTCAAATAATTCTCTATGTATCACACAGAAAAATCTCGTCAATATGCTAATTTAGTGTGGTTTGAGTGAGGAGAAAGCTATAAAAGCTATAAAAGCTATAGAACAGCTATAAAAGCTATAGAACAGCTATAGAAAAGCTATAAAAACTATAGAAAAGCTATAAAATGTTTAACAGATGTTTTAAAAATCAAATAAAAAATCAAAAAGCTCTCAAAAAGCGAGTATTTGTGGGGAATTTGATGGGGAAAAGGAAAAAAGATCCGAACCTCAGAGAGAACAAATATTTGGGATAAATGGGAAAGGGACAAAGAGATTCGGATTCGAAGTACTTTTGACTTTCAGTCTTTATAGAATAGTAAACAATCAAATCAATGTCAAGCCAGCCAGTCAAGCATTGCCAAGCCAGCCAGTCAAGCACTGCCAAGCCAGCCAGTCAAGCATGGTCAAGCCAGCCAGTCAAGACGCCAAGCCGCCAGTCAAGCATTGCCAAGCCAGCCAGTAAGCACTGCCAAGCCGCCAGTCAAGCATTGCCAAGCCAGCCAGTCAAGCACTGCCAAGCCAGCCAGTCAAGCATGGTCAAGCCAGCCAGTCAAGCACTGCCAAGCCAGCCAGTCAAGCATTGCCAAGCCAGCCAGTCAAGCACTGCCAAGCCAGCCAGTCAAGCATTGCCAAGCCAGCCAGTCAAGCACTGCCAAGCCAGCCAGTCAAGCACTGCCAAGCCAGCCAGTCAAGCATGGTCAAGCCAGCCAGTCAAGCATGGTCAAGCCAGCCAGTCAAGCATTGCCAAGCCAGCCAGTCAAGCATGGTCAAGCCAGCCAGTCAAGCATGGTCAAGCCAGCCAGTCAAGCATTGCCAAGCCAGCCAGTCAAGCATTGTCAAGCCTTTAAACTAAGCTAAAGGTTTATGTTTTTGGGACTTTTGTGGGCTAAAAAAACCAGAACCAAGCCAAAACCAGGCCAAAAACCAGGCCTTAAACCAAGCCAAAACCAGGCCAAAAACCAGGCCAAAAACCAGGCCTTAAACCAGGCCAAAACCAGGCCAAAACCAGACCAAAACCAGACCAAAACCAGGCCAAAACCAGGCCAAAACCAGGCCCTAAACCAGGCCTTAAACCAGGCCAAAATCAGGCTAAAACCAGACCTTAAACCTTTTCTTAAATCTAAACTTGGAAATTGAATCAGATATTTAACTTTCACAAAGTCTAAAGAAGGATCAATAGAGGCAATTCTTTGCAATTCAAAAACGAGCTTCTGAAGTTGATGGGAAAAGATAAAAAGAAAAAAAAGAGAGTAAATGGAATGGAATGGGATGGATTGGACATATCTTGATGTGTTCATCGCTTTTGAAATTTCTGCCAAAGCTTTACTAGTTCTTTCAAAGCTTTACTAGTTCTTTCAAGGCTTTACTAGTTCTTTCAAAGCTTTACTAGTTCACAATCTTTCAACATTTATTCTTCTTGAATACATTCCTGAATTCCCCAATCATCATTTGATTGATCCGGAAAGAGATTTGTGAATCGAGAGAACAGCGAATCGAGAGAGCAGCGTATCCGGAAAAGAGGCGGAATCTGTCAAAAATGTCATCCAATCTCACGATTTATTGAATCAAAGGTGATTCGACACAGAAAATCTTTGGATTTGGATTTGGATTTGGATTTGGATTTGGATTTGGATTAGAATTAGAATTAGAATTAGAATTAGAATTTGGATTAGAATTTGGATTAGAATTTGGATTAGAATTAGAATTAGAATTAAAAAATAACAAATTTGCAATTGAACAACGAATTTCATCAGTAATTTCTATATTTTGAATGCTAAACTGCTTAAGCTTATCACTTTATTTGTACAATAACCCTGAGAAATGCGAAAACTTCCCAAGAACTTTAAAAACTCTCAATCTTTTCCCTGTGCACTCTATTTTCCATAACTTTTCAATGCGTAAATCCAATCCAATCCAAGTAAATCAATTCAAGCCGTGAATTTCAAAACTCAAAACTATTTTTCCATATTGAAATATACAGAAATATGTATAGGATCTCCTATTGTGAAATCAATCCCATTTTCCCATTTTCCCATTTATTGCCCTCGTTTTTTACCAAACACCTGTGCCCACGTTTCTAACAAAAAACGGGATCCAATTTTCTGATTCAAGGTTCTTTTCTGAAAAGAATACCTCATCAGAACTGTTCATTTGAGATAGTCGATGTTCTTTGTGCTTTAGCTTAATAGCACACCTCCTAGCACACCTTAATAGCACACCTTCAGACAGACAACCAAGAGCACTTTAATTGGTTCATTTACCCAATTCTTGCCAAAAAGAAAATCTTCTATACTTTTAAATTAGCCTTTGCACAATAGTTAAATACCTATTGACGTAGAGACTGGCGCGAAAGCGGCGCGGGGCGCTTTCTAAAGTGTGGATGTGTACCGTACCCCGCCCAAAATGTCTCCTTTTTCCAATCTTTTCATTTCTTCGCAAACTTTGTCCGATTTTTGCTATTTTTTGTTTTTCTTTTACTTTTCTTTTGTTTTGTTTTGTTGTGGTTTTGTTTTCGTAGCACCTTTTTAAAGTACTCTCTCTCCCCTCGTTCGTTCCCTTCTTTTTATATTGTTTGCCCATAGTTTATCGTTTAAAATTCTAATACGGTTTTATTAAAGTACTCTCCCCTCGTTCGTCCTCTCCTTTTTATATTGTTTGCCCATAGTTTATCGTTTAAAATTCTAATACGGTTTTATTAAAGTACTCTCCCCTCGTTCGTCCTCTCCTTTTTATATTGTTTGCCCATAGTTTATCGTTTAAAATTCTAATACGGTTTTATTTCATTTTCCTTTCGGCTTCTTTCACTCCATTGTTTTGAATCCTTGCCGTATAAACTCAACTGAACCAATTTCTTTCAACTGAAACGCAAATCTAAATAATTTTCCACGGCCCGATTCTTGTTACTTCATCTTGAGTTTCGTGTCAAATCATGTCATTCATTGTCAAGAAAATCATTAAGTCTAAAGGTGTTAGGTAAGGGACTTAGTTACTAGTTAGTTATGGAGGCAATAATATTTGCCTTTTTATGTATTCTGGTTTTTTTGAATGTATGTGACAAAAGAGAGGCACAAAAACATTCGATTTCAAAACTATTTCAAGTCCAATATAGAATTTTCCCCAAAATTTGTCAGAATTTTTGTATTGCCTAGTTTTTATAACTTACTTTCCATAAGCATACCTTTTTTTTCTTAAAATTAATCATACTTGGCAGTGTCTTGCGATTTTTGGATGTGAAAGATGGAAATTCCTTTCAAAAGAGTGATTTACGAGGAATCGTTCTGATAAATTGAGCATCAAGTATTTCTAGAAGCCTTCAAAGTTCAAAGAATCAAACTTTTCATGCGCTTTTTCTCGTTTTTTTCCATTTCCCAGTACTTCTCCATTCCGAAACCCCGCCTCTTTTCTATTTCACTTCATTCTTGTTTTCAAACTCACAAATTCTCAGCTATTTGATATTTTATGAAATGGATTAAGTCCAATTTGAAGTTTTTCTTACTATGATTCTAATCTGTATCCTGTTTTGGCCATAAAAGCCATTCTATTGTTTGATCTTGACCTCACTCATTCCATTTTCTATTTTCCTTCATATTTTCAGCTTTATTTTTAATATTTTCCTTTCAATTTTTCACACCCGCACTTCTTTTCCTTGCCAGACCGTTCTTTTTTTTCTTTTTCTAGAAAAAAAATGTTTACCCAATTTCCTTTTAGCGAACCGATCCTTTTCTTGTTTCCCCATTTTTTTTCTTCACTTTTCAATGACCCGCTTTTATTCTAAACAAACCATTCCCGTTTTTCGATGTTTCTGAATGAATCATGAGTTTTGTAAACTTTTTGAATAAGATTTTTTATATGTATATATGTCGCAGCCGATGAAGGATTTCAGCCGAAGAAGAATGCGTTTTTAGCTTTTAAGCGCCTTTTAGAGAGCTTGCGTTTGTGGTATTGACTTGAGTCAATACATAACTCAAGATTTCATTTTTGAGACTTAATCGGCTGGCCGAAGAAGGTTTCACTAGGGGAAAAATTTGAGACTCCTTCGGCTGAAATCCTTCATCGGCTACGACATATATATGCATGAAGTACTTCGTCAAAACTTGCTAAACGCACTCTTTCTGGTGCTCTCAAATTACGATTCTTCTCAGGATTTTGGGAAGTGCCTCAAGAAGGCTGCTTTTAGTCATTACCGGACTCACCATCAGTTTACCGTATGATTAATTTCCCAGCTCAGCTCAGTTTTTAGTCTCTCCAATAACGATTTGTAAACTGCTTGCGGGCCACTCAGTGTGAAGAAATACGGCCAATCGGGAAAGGAAAAAGAAAGAAAATGGAGAAATTTGATCATGGCGTATCCTGGGGGAAAGGAGGGGATACTTGGTGTGTGAGATTCCTTTTCAACAACCCCACCCCACCCCACCCCACCCCATCTCCCAGCTGACCATTACGACTCTTCTTTTCTCTTTTTGCTTTTTCCAATCACAGCTTTCCTTTTTTTCTTTTCCTTTTTCCGATCACAGCCTTGCAAAAACCCCTTGTTGAACATACGATTAGAGTTTTTCCCCTAACTTGTTAAAACAGTTTTTTTTGCTGTTTTTAGTCGTCTAGGCCCATCCAACACCTTCGAATTCATTCAAAAGTTCATTTTAAGCCTTAAAATCTTTGTCTTATTTCTTTATCAGTTTCTTTTTCTTTATCAATCTTTATCAGTTCAGTTATCTTTATCAGTTTCAACTTCCAATCTCATCCATTTTGTAGGCGACGTTTTGAGGATCTTGTGGACTTTTTTGTGGTACTGTATTCCACTTTGAACAAGCTAGATTTAGCGTTTGATAGATCTGAATCTAGGATGGAGTTTCGATCAAGAGACCAGAACTTAGTAAACGAGTCAAGAGCTGTTTCCAACTTGATCCATTTCCCGTTTCCCCTTCCCAACCTTCACCCTGATTCCTTTCCTTTTCCCCATGTTCTAATCCATCCAGAACCATTCCTAGTCAATCTTTCCCTTTTTTTCTACTTTCAAAGTGCTTCTCTTTCATTCTTTTCCTTGATTCCCCATTATTTCCATCCTTGAACCTCACTTTTTCAAGTTTTTGTACATCCAAAATGTTTCCATTTGCTAATTTCTTCAAAAAAAAGAACTTCAGAATAATTCAAAGAAGACGAGCTTGTAGTTTTCATTGTTTTATCTCTTGTTGAATTTCTGTGATTCCTATTACTCCTTTTATTCGATTATTTCCATCAAATCCTTCAACTATTCCCATCAAGGCTTTTAACATTTGCCTATGGGAAAAGACAAGTTCTGTATCTCTAAAAGGATTCGATGTGAGAATTTAATGGATTTGAGAGCGGGAAAGTGAGGGAAATGAGAGGGAAATGATGGGATCTCGTCGAGGATTGTGATTGGACTAGATTTGAGTATTTCTTGACTCAAAAAACAATCCTTTAAGCAGTTTGAACAATCTTGAAATCCCAAATCGTCTTTTCAATCATTCCCCGATCGAAATCTTATCCATTTTCTTTATTTCTCTAGTTTGTTTTTGTATGATAACTCTCATCAATCACTTTCTTATTTCCGGTTTTTCCCCTTTTTTCCCTTTTTTCCATCTTGAACCATAAAATTCGGGTCAGATAGTCCCAAAAGAACAAAATTAGCGATAAGCCTATTGTTTTCGGCTTTTCTGATCCGAAATTGTTAAATTGTTGAATTTTTTGTTTTTCGAACATATTTCAGGCTTCATATTTCAAATCAAATTCAGATTCCAGAAAAATGTTGAAGTATCAAGTGAGAAATGCGAGCAGCAGTCGACCAGAGTTGAGATCAACAGGTAATTTTTCGAGATTTCTAGCTTCTAAAGCGGATAGAAAAGCTGTAATCCATTCAGTTTTGCTTTAAACTTTTCCCAAATTCAGGCAGCACATCATCGGGGATTTCTCTCGGCAGTCGATCACCCTCAATTTCTTCCCTTTCTTCATTGGAAAGTATTGATGGAGAAACGGTGGGTGGAGTTTAGCAATAGCTGGGGCAATTCTACGTCAAAACTAACTCTATATTCAAGTTTTATTACACTTGTTTACCTAAGAATACTTGCAAATCTATGAATTGATGCTTTCTTTCAATTTTTAAGCTTTAAATCAGCTTTAAATCAGCTTTAAATCAGCTTTAAATCAGCTTTAAATCGTTCAACTTTCATCGATCTCTAATAAAAGCGCTCAAAACTGGCTAGATGCCTTTCTGGTGCACTGAGCTCTCTATTTTTCCTTTTTCCCCTGAAGTTTGCTTTATTGTATCGAAAACTAGTCAAAATCGCTGAAATCATCTAAACCGTTCACTTTTCTCTTCCATTTCAATGCATGGATGGCCGGTAACAATACCCTTTTCTTTCTTTCACACCCCCGCAACGGAAATACCCGTTAGATGGATGAAAAAAAGGGAAAAACGGAGGTACAAAGTGTTAGGTGAACGGGGGAAAAAGAAAGGGAACGGCTAGAGAATACCCTGAATCCGTTACTTGAATTGGGAAGGTCAGTGAAGATCAAAGGTTTCGGAAATCTCTGAAATCCCTTTTCAAATTCCAAAGTTCGACTTCCGTTTGAAATTGAATTGAAATTGAAAATTCAATTGAATCAAATCAAATCAAATCAAAGAATCAATTTAATTTAAACATTTTCAACCTAAAAATCACTTAATCCGATTGTTTATTTTCCTAAAACATTAAGGAAAATGATCGTCATAGGGGAAAGATGGGAAAAAGATGAAAAAAAGAGAGGAATGATCTATTGACAGATCAGATTAATGGTCAGTTTGAGGAAAGGGAAAGGAAAGGTTTCTATGAGATGATTCTGAAATCGGGAAATTCGGGACATTGGGTTCGTTTTGAGTAAATGAGAAATGGTAATTGAAAAGTTAGGGGGAAATTGGATGGGAAATTGGAAATTGGATGTTGATTCGGATGAGTCTTTAAAAGAAGCCAATCATCTCAAAAATGAAAAAGTTTGATTCTGAAATTGATTCAACAATGAGAGCTTTCTTTTACAACACCAGTTTCTGAATTTCCCGGGTTTTTGATGGGATTTTTGACTTTCGGTCCGTTTGTCGTTGACATTCTACGACAAATGCTCAGTACAGATTTGGTTCCTTTTCTCTACAGATTTGGTTCCTTTTCTCTGCAGGTTTGGTTGCTTTTCCCTACAGATTTGGTTCCTTTTTGGTCTAGATTTGGTTCCTTTTCGGTACAGGTTTGGTTATCGTTGACATTCTACGAATTTTGCTCATATTCTAGCTGGCTTAGTTTGAAAAACGTTGATTTTACGCTGAAAAACGCTGAATTCGACTTGAAATCAAATTTTCTATTGAATGAAAGCAAATCAACGCTTTTCAAACAAACCCCGGTCAAGTTACAAGCAAAATTCGTAGATTTTCAATGGTAAACAGATTTAAAAAGGTTTAGGCTTAGATTTAGCCAGGCTTAGGCTTAGGCTTAGGCTTAGGCTTAGGCTTAGGCTTAGGCTTAGGATTAGGATTAGGGTTAGGCTTAGGCCTAGGCTCAGGCTTAGATTTAGCCAGCCTTAGCCTCAGGATTAGGCTCAAGCTAAGGATTAGGATTAGGCTTAGACTTAGGCTTAGACTTAGGCTTAGACTCGGGCTTAGGCTTAGGCTCAGTCTCAGGTTAACATAGGTTGTTTCAGAGGATAAAACCTATACTTAATACTTGAATCAAAGCATCGCTCGATCCTCTAATCACATCAGATTCCCTTGTTCACCAATTCAAACAGGTTTTCCCCAAAATAGAGGTAGATTGATTGAGAATTGAAAGGGTAATTTATGTAAATCATCACCCAGTGGGGATCACACAAAAAGGGAATTGCACATGGATCAACGGATTTCATTGAGGGGAAAGGACACCGTTCAACAACGAAATTGGGGAAGAATTTCGTAAAATGTACATAATCTAGTATTAAATTGATTGATCGATTAAAAAACAAGGTTTTCCAACTCCCAGTTTCAGGGTGTCCTCAAAATCTACACATGGAACGTGGCCGCTTTCTCCGATTACAAAGCATTGAGGATACATTTGACAACAACAGTCGCTGAATTGATTGATATTCTCGTGAGCAAGTTCAAGGTTTCTCTACAATATTTATTCTTTCAATTTTCTGGTTCAGTTATCCGCTCGAGATCCGAATCTCTTCGAAATGTTTATGGAAGTGAAAACGAGACATGAAGGGAGAATAAATCGATCATTTCTTTTACTCCATCCACAATGTCGACCATTGGAAATGCATAGGTAAGCCAGAAAACGTGCGTTTATCAAGGCGCAGAGTAGAAACTGAGTTCATACTACTTTCTGACATAGTATGAATCGAGTTTATACTCTGCTTTCTGGTCGGTTCAATTACTGAAGATCTGATTTGTTGATGATCCAATTTCAGATGTCATCCAGCCGACGATCATCGCTTTATTGTTCATTTGAGACAAGGTGGTACGCTTGTTCGTGTCTACGATCACCATTTTGAGCCACAAGTGAGTGATTGCTGTTTGGCTTATAAGGGAAAGGCTAAATGAGATAAGCTATAGACAATTCGACGCGGAATTTCACGCTTTCTGAATCTGCTTTCCGTTTTTGCAAAATGGTTCTTTATAAAAGTTATTGGTTTTAAGTTGATTTGGAGCCAAGGAAGGATGCTTTTATAAGGGGTTTCTCACAGATCTTGAGCATGACTTGGTGGATAAAACGCTTGCATACGAAACGAGCGCATTTTATGCTTGAGTTCGATTCCTTTTGTGAAGAGGGACACCTTTATAAGGCTTCTATCATCTCCAGCATGACTTGCTGGTGTAGTGGATAAAACGCTTGCATACGAAACGAGTGCCACATCTTTTGCTCGAGTTCGAATCCTTTTGTGAAGAGGAACACCTTTATAAGGCTTCTTTCGCGGATCTCTGATATGAATTGGTGGTGTAATGGATAAAATGCATACGAAACAAGCGCCGGATTTTTTGCTCGAGTTCGGATCCTTTAGGATCACGGTAATCCTTTGTTAGGATCACTGTAATCGAAGCCTAGGCTTTCATAGTCGAACGAATCGTTGTAAGCTTTCGTAATCTTGTTTTCGAAGCTGTAGATGACTTTTTCATAGACCTCACACCGTTTTAAGAACAAAAGTCAACCATTTTCTCGTTATTTACGATTGCGAAAGACAAAAGAACGGGGAAAGCATCTGTTTTAAATCCAATTGAGACTTCTTTCTCGTCGAATTTTATGTGAGGCACAAATGGGACAAAGAAAGGATCCATCTGAGGAACGGGTTCAAGGGATTCTTGAAATTTACAGCCATTTCAAGTAAGGTGTAATGCGGTGAATCAAAAGCTCGATCTTGAGACTTTTTTTTTGCGAGTTTGGACTAGTTTTGATCAATGAGGGTGACTGGGAAAAGTCATTGATCGAACTCGTGCTGTGAACACAAGAAGTCCTTAAGTGTTGTTTGGTTTGGAGATTTGTCTTTAGAATTGTTTTGAGAAAGAAATGACATTGGTTTTAGTAGAAAAAGGATTAGATAGATTTGGAAAAGAATGGGGTTAGCATGGGAATTGTTGTAAATCCTTGAATAAAGCATTTCAAGAGGTCAAGTCAGGAGGATCTTGTCAGTCAGGAGAATCTTGTCATTCAGGTCAGGAGAATCTTGTCAGTCAGTTCAGGAGGATCTTGTCAGTCAGGTCAGGAGGAGGAATCTAAAAGAAATCGCTGAACCATTACAGTATCTTTAAAACAATAGCTTTATCTTAGCATTAGCTATTATCTTAGCATTCTTATCTTCCGATTCTAGAGCAACTACAAATCAGTGCTATTGGCTGGTGAAACGAACGCTGAAACAGCGACTCGTTTAGTGATTTCGATGAACAGAAGAGAACCAACACTAGCAACACAATGGGCATTGTATGTCGAGGTTTGTTTGAAGAAAATTGGGTAATTGAACCGGTAAATCAACGCAAATTCGCTTTTTACAAAGTGAAAAATCTTTTAGTAGACTTTTAGTAGACTTAATTTCGCATAAAACCTCGATTTTCTTTAGAGAGAAGACGGTGAATCAGCTCAAATCCCTCCAGAAGCTCCACTTGTTTCAATCTCGAAAATGCTTTGCTTAAATCATCGGATTTTGTTGAAAAAGATTCCGCCAAATCAGTTGTAACTTGAAAATTGAAAATTTGATTATGCAATTGTTGGCTTTATGCAATTGTTATTGTTTTTTAAAACGTGTACAGAATTCTTATGCTTTTCTCTGTCTTGCCGGTACTCTTTCCTTTAAATAACGAAAAAATTTGACCAAAATGATTCCAAAGATTCTTTCGATATTTGAAATTGATACAGATTTAAGTTGAAAATAAAAATTTAATCGAAAAACTGATTGTTTTTCGTGAAATGGTACAATACTGGACAATGAAATATCATATTTGAAAAAAAGATCGCCACTTTCGCGTCTCTGTAACTCCATTGTCTTTGAGTGTAAACTATTAGTGTTATACATTTTCTGAAAGCTCTTTTCAACGGCTACACAATGGTAATATTAATATTTAGAAAGACGGTAAAGACAAGGGAGTTACAGACTTAGATTACAGGGTGACCAAGAATTACCGCAACATCTTTTTGGAAGAGTATCTGGGAAATGTCTAATTTATTTCAAAAGTGGCAAGTGTTATTTAGAGAATTGTAGTCCTGAGTCTTGGCTACATTTATCTACCAAAAGCATCCCGATTGGACTTATACAACTCATTTAACAAGCGCTTGAATGAGCGCTAGTCGACTTCTCTCCGGCGAATCTGTCATTTGGCCACTTTTCTCAGTCAAATTTGTGGTAATTTTGTCCAAAAAAAATTGTTTTCAACAAATTCATAGCGCCAGAACAGCTGACATAACGAGATACGCATATGAACTACGAAGCATAGGCGACGAGCGATTACGCCGGCTCACAAAGAACACGCAAATTTTAAGCGAAACTACTAAGTGTATCTTTTTGGAAATTTCGCTATAAGCCTCATTTTTGATTCTCTACAGCTTTTCTATTGACACCAAAATGGGTTTCTTTTGAAGAAAGTGCTCAAACTGGAACATTGGGACATCACCAGTCCTCCATTTTTGAGTCTCACAACTTGTCTCACACACAAACCAGAATCGAACCACGAAAGAGGAATCCGCAAATTGCCTGTAAAATGGGCAGAAGTCGTCAATAATAATGGAAATTATTTGGAATGAATTGATGGTTTTATGTTGAATCAATTTTAGTTCAAAGTCCCGCAGTTTTCAATTCACCAATTTTCAATTTCAATTCGGATTTCAACATTTTCATCAATTTCCAACGATAGAAACATTCATCGATATCCTGATATTGATATTCTGATATTGATATCCTGATATTGATATCCATATTAATCATCTGTATCCATTGATATTGATATTCTTATTTATCTTGATATTGATATCTGATATTTATTCTCTATTCTGATTCCTGATATCAACGAATGTTATAAACTATTTAAAAGCTGTAAATCTCCTCTACAAAATAGGCTCAAACGTATTTCAACTGATCGAAGCATTGAAGAAATCTCGTGGGCGAAATGCGAGTGACCAAAAAAAGGAATCGAGTCACTTTAGGGACAAGTTTAGTATGGTCAAACCCCACTTTCACAAGAGTTCCGTTTTGACTATATAGTGGAAAATGACGGTCCTAAAATCGTTACCCTAAAAATATCATTCAAAATAATTAAGAGTTGGGATCATTTCATGAAAAAACTTTCTTTTTACAATAATTTCTCGTTTTTGTGAAAAAGCCGGTTTTTTTTGACAATTTTGATGGTTTTGAACTTACGCTCTATCTAAATTTCTGTAAATGTTTCTGTAATTGCATTTCCGTTAGACTTTTTTAATCAATATATATAGTAGTTGGATATATAGTTATCCTTTTTCTTTTAAATCTTCAATTTTGGGAAGCTAACTCTATTTTGACCATACTAAACTTGTCCCTAAAGTGACTCGATTCCTTTTTTTGGTCACTCGCATTTCGCCCACAAGATTTCTTTAATGCTTCGATCAATTGAAACACGTTTTAGCCTATTTTGTAGAGGAGATTTACAGCTTTTAAATAGTTTATAACATTCATTGATATCAGGATATCAAGATCAGCATATCAATATCAGCATATCGATGAATGTTGATGAAAATGTTGAAATCCGTTTGAAAATTTTGAAATTTTTATGCATGTACCTAATAATTTTGAGATTGCTAAACGATTAAAAGCTTAAAACTTCCTGATAAATATTGAAAATCCTGTAGTTTACAGGATTCCTGTAGTTTACATTTAGGATTGCTTTCATTTGCTGTTTTTTTTAAACCTTTTTCTTTCGAAATCTCTTGAAATCTTTCAAAATCTTTCAAAATCGTTGATCAAGTTGATTCAACGGATAATTTAGCTCAATTCTTTCCCGAAAGAACTCTAGAGAACAATGGAAAGATTTTTGAAAAGAAAGAAAGGAAAAGAAAAGAAAAGAAAAGAAAAGCTTATTGAAAAGCTTATTCTTTTACTTACAATGACACAAATTAAGTAGTGAATGTGTAGTTTTGAGTACGGTAAGCATTTTCCTTTTCCTTTTCCTTTTCCTTTTCCTTTTCCTTTTTCCTTATTTAAACTTAGATCATCTTTGGAGATGAATTTCCCGTCAAAATCCTTTTCCAACTCAATTCATAACCCTTCAAATCCTTTTTCCCCAAGTCTTCCAATCTACTTTCTTTATTTTCATTGTCGCCATAGAAACTTTCCACTCCGAAACAAAGCTCATCACTTTTTGACAGTTCTTTTCATTTTTCTTTTCATTTTCTTCTCATTTCTCATTGAAACTTGAACATTTTATATGTCGTAGCCGATAAAGGATTTCAGCCGAAGAAGTCTGAGTCTCAAAATATTTTCATTAGATGATCGACAACTTTAAATTGTGTTTTCCTTTGCAATGCCCGCAAAACGCCCGCAAAACGACGAACTTTGTGAAATGATCCTGGTAGGCCATCAAAAACTTGAATTCTCGATCAAAAACCATCAAAAACCATCAAAAACTTGAATTCTCGATCAAAAACCATCAAAAACCATCAAAAACTTGAATTCTCCATCGGAAACGGATTGAAGATCGATGAAATCCGTGCCTTTGACGAATGACGAAAAGGGCCCTTTTCGTCATTCGCCCTTTTCGCCTTTGGTTATAGTATGATAAAATGCGCACTCTTTAGAATGCGTTTTTAGCTTTTAAGTGCCTTTTAAAGAGCTTGAGTTTGTGGTATTGACTTGAGTCAATACATAACCCAAGATTTCATTTTTGAGACTTCTTTGGCTGAAATCCTTCATCGGCTATACATAAATTTGATAGTTTTCCTGGTTTTTTATTTAAAAACTCTAGTAAAATGAAATATTTATGCCAAAATCGAAATAGCTGACTATTCAAAAAAAAAAAACGATTGCCACATGAAATTTGGGAGAAAATTGCATGTAAATCTCAAAACTTTGGTCTGAAATAAGAGGAGAATGGCTGAAATTGAGAGAAATTGAAAGGAAATGAACGAAATTGAACGAAATTGAACCAAATTGAACTAAATTGAACCAAATTCAACGAAATTCAGCGAAATTGAACCAAATTGAACCAAATTCAGCGAAATTCAACGAAATTCAACCAAATTCAACGAAATTCAGCGAAATTCAACGAAATTCAGCGAAATTCCACGAAATTCAACCAAATTGAACCAAATTCAGCAAAATTGAACCAAATTCAACCAAATTCAACCAAATTCAACCAAATTCAACCAAATTCAGCTCAATTCAACAAAATTCAAGCTATAAATACATTCAAAATGCAAAAATGCACAAAAGAAAGCAAAGAAATCCACTAAGCAAATGGAAAAGTCGACAAAAAGAGACATTTTTGGAATGTGCTGTAAAGGGAAATGCTGAAAAGTGAAAGATATGGACAAAATGGGCAAAAAAGAATGCTGTAGAGGTGGGAATTTACAAAAATCAATGGATTATAATCAATGGATCAATCGATTACTATCAATGGATCAATGGATTACAAAAATCAACCGATTACAGGCTCAAAGCACTGCATTATGATATAAAATTCAATAAAATCGATATGTTTTTGGAAAATAATGGTTTTTTTTTAAAAGGAATGATTTGTATTTGAAAAGACACCGGAAAGCAAAGGAAAAAGGGGAAAAAAGGGAAAAAGAGGGAAATGAGGAAAGCGTATGGCATTTATTCACAGAAAAAACGGGGAATTTGATGGAAAACCTAAGAGAAATCAGTCATAGACGTTTATTTAAATATCAGCTATCAGCTGAATATCATTTTTAAATGAGAAAATCAAAATGAGACCTAAAATGGATGAAATTTTATCGGAAATTCACTGGAAATCACTGAAATTCATTGAAATTCACTGAAATTCACTGAAATTCACTGAAATTCACTGAAATTCATTCAAATTCACTGAAATTCAATGAAATTCAATGAAATTCACTGAAATTCACTGAAATTCATTGAAATTTCACTGAAATTGATTGCCATTTTGTGCTTGACTCATTTGCGCGAAAAGAAGTTGAGCCAATTGGAGTGGAGAGCCGAAATTGCGCGCAGAATTTAATGGATTGACAGAGTGATTCAGCGATCCAATCAATGATGGAATTATCGATGCAGAGGATTGCGAATCATCACATTTCAGCTGAAAATCAATGATTGGAGTAAGCTTTGATCAACACAGTACAAATAGATTTGTACAAATAGCTTTTATCAACACTGACTTGCTTTTATCAACACTGAATTGCTTTTATCAACACTGACTTCCTTTATTAACCTTTTCTACACTCAATTGTCGGTTTATTCTAGCATAAACTTTATTTAAGTTTATTTAAATATCAAACTAAACGGCGAAACCGCTTTACTAGCTGAAAATGAATGGATTGGAGAATTGATTGTGTTTGTAGCTGATTTGTAGCTGATTTGTAGCTGATTTGTAGCTGATTTGTAGCTGATTTTCTAGTCACTAGACATTCACTTGTAACTTGTAACAGCAGTTATTTATTCGATATTTATTTTAAAGTATCTAATTGGGCTGAAATCCTAGAAAATTTCTGTTTCACTTTGACAAACCTGTGCATGACTTGTCGGGCTTTCACAATTTGTCTGACTTGTCTCTCCTTTCATTTTTTCTCCATCTTGTTGTTGTGTATTCATTTCTTTTCCCATTTCTCTTTGATTGTTCATCAACATTTCAATTGGGGAGATTTGTTTGACTGATGGTTTCATCTGAAAAGAGATTGAAATCAAGAAGAGCTTTAGCTTTTTGAAAGAGCTTCAATCAATCAAAGGAGAGCTTCAATCAAAGGGATTTGAAAGGCCTAATGGACTGGAAAGGCAAAAAACACCAAAAAACCAGGGCCGGGATCGAACCCGGGTCTGGCTACCGAGAGACCTTCCCACCATCCACTAGGCCACCAGTGCCTCTGACCCGATGATTGAAAAGTGCCCTTTAAAGCTTATCTTCGAAATTTTAAACCCAGATTTTCAAATTGATTTGAAATTTCGGAGATAAGCTTTAACAGGTACTTTTCAATCAGCGGCTTGGAGGCACTGGTGGCCTAGTGGATAGTGGGAAGGTCTCTCGGTGGCCAGACCCGGGTTCGATCCCGGCCCTGGTTTTTAGTTTTTTACGGGTTAGGTGCAAAGCTGGCTTAGTGGATAGTGAAAGGGTCTATCGTTAGTAAGATCAGAGTTCGATTCCGCTCTGGGGGTCTTCGTTTTTTTCTTTGTTTTCTTTACAGACCCGTCATTTGCTTGATTTGAAAAAATGATTTTACTGATACCTCAAAGTTCGGCGGCATAATGCCAAGCGGAAGGAAGGGGTTCGGCAGAAATGGAGATGGGCCGGTTTGGAGAAGTGATGGGATTGGAAGGGGCGGGAGGGATGGAAGGGATGGAAGGACACCTCCATTTGATGCCAATTGTTGGAGCATTTCGAGGAATGAGCTGGAAATTCATGAAATCGATTAGAAATCCTGAAATGAAGATAGTGCTTCGAGAAAAGATTGTAAACTTTGTAAAAAATTTCTATATCCTTCTATATCCTTCTATATCCTTCTATATTCTTCTATATCCTTCTATTTTCTTCTATATTCTTCTATATCCTTCTATATCCTTCTATATTCTTCTATATTCTTCTATTTTCTATATTCTATATTCTATATTACTCACTTTCCATTTCCTTGAATTGTGGGCGCATTTTGTGCTTTCGTGATCTCCTCGAGTCGTCTCAAAGTCAAATCAAGTGGACTCTCGTCGTTTTGAAGCTAAAACCTTGAAGGTAATACATTTAAAAGCCTAATCTTATAAAAAAGTATTCAAACTAGAAGAGTTAAGGCAATGTTTCGAAACCTAACCCCAACCTGAAGTGGAATCTTCGAAGCGACCATTGAAATAGGGGAATCGATTGATCTGGATTTGTTTTGAGGAAGCGATCCACCCGGGGATTGCATCTAAAAGACTCTAAATATCAAAATCCAAAGATTTTCCCTTACCTTTATCCCCTTTCTCGCCAATTTTTGTTGATAAGCGATCGGACAACCGGAGAGTGATCGATGAGAGGTTCGATTGCTGAAATGAACTTATGAAAAGGCCCAGAAAGCCGAAAACTGATCGGAAATCATTCAAATAAAGCTTAAATTCAGTTTTCTATTACTTGAAAGCTTTAAAGCTTTAAAAGACATTTGCCTTTGGTTGAACTGAATTTCAGGGTCTCTTAGGGCCTCTTCCCAGGGCCCCTGAGGACACCAGCTCTTCCCAGGGTCAGGTTTGATCTAAGACTGACAAAACTTGAGCTAAATGGTGTAGAACAGGCCAGTGATTCTTTAAAGATCATGTTTCTTTAAAGCTTTCTTTAACAAATTCAATTTTTATTAATTATCAACTACTAGCTGTCCAATTTTTACCTATTAACGTGTCCTTTTCCGAGACATCCAGGCGTCGTGCATCTCAACACTGTATCAGCTCCCAACGCTAACACTGAAATCTCACAGTACTTGTTTGATAAATTGATAAAAAGCTTTAGATTATTTGTGATTATTTGTTTCTTTTCAAAAAGATCATTCAGCTACAGTAGAAAGTTTTTTCGAAGTCATTTTATAAAAAAGGAAAAGAGAATCCGTTTCTTTTCCGCTTTTTTCCTTTTCCGAAAAGGGAAATCGGCGACTTCTTACTTTTCTTTCCTTTCTTTTCTTTTCTTTCTTTTCTCTTCTCTTCTTTCTCTTCTTTCTCTTCTCTTCTCTTTTTTCCCTTCTTTCTTTTCTTTCCCCGATTACCGTAGTCAAAAAGTTGGGGGATTGGAGTTGGCAAGAAGGAAAGAATTCAGGCAAAAGATCAAAAGGTCAATGAAAATGGTCTATGAATGGTCATTGCCAATGGTCAATGGCCAATAGCTAATGAATGATCAATGGTCAATGAATCTAGCCTTCTAGATGTGATTTTTCAACCAAGTTTCCTTCTTTCAACAATTCTAAGCTGACTTGCCTTGAAAACAATTCTTGCTGACTTGCCAACTCTGACTCAAGCTCTACTTATATTTAGAATAAAACCCAGAGATTCAATTTCACCCTAAACTACTCGATCTTACTCCTTTCCTTCACCCAACTCACAGCTGTTGTCCCTTAAACTTTTTTGTGAGTTTAAAAACTTGAACAATGAGTGGCAATGAGTAAATTTCGAATAAATAAATTTCGAAAGAAGAAACATTCAATCGACAGACAAAAAAGTGGACAGATCCCTAATTTACATTTCGGAGAATGGGCAAGGGAAAGAGGAGAGGAGAGGAAAGGGGAGAGGAAAGAGGAGAGGAAAGAGGAGAGGAGAGGAGAGGAAAGAGGAGAGGAAAGAAAAGGAAAAGAAAGGAAAGGAAAGGAAACGAAATGGATTCGGATTTGAGTGAAATCCCTTCTAGAAAAGAGAAAACGATCGACAGGTGGCTGTGAAAGAAAAACATTCACTTTTTCCGGGGTTTTTTTTGTTCGATTTCAAAGTTACGCCAATTATCTACCGTATTCCTTTTTTCAGTAGGGATCGACAGTTCAAAAGAAAACTGGGAAACACTGACAAAGACTTTTCACTGTATCGTCTGTACGGCTTGTCTTTTGTCTTACAATTCTTGTCTATTCTAGCTTCTAGAAAACAGCTCTAGCTTCTAGAAAGCTTTAGTACACTAGAAATGAAGCGTTTACGGATAAAATCGAGCTTAAAGCTTAAAGCTTAGAGCTTAAAGCTAATAGATTACCAACAACAGAAAACTAATAGGAAACTGCTTTAAATTAGCATCGATTTGGGATATGCCACCTTGAATTCTAATTCTAAGGGAATTCTTGGGAATTCTAAGGCCAATTCTAAGCGAATTCTAAGGGAAATTGAAGCTGAAATGGTATTAAAATGTTTTTCAGTTTTACCCAATTAGGGCAGATCAAAAAACTAGGGCAGATCAAAAACTTTTGCACCGCCGGGACTCGAACTCGCTACCTTTCGCTTACCGGCCAACTGTACTAACCATTACACCATTGCCCATTGGCTACCGATTGACTAGGAAGTTAACTACTTCAATAGCAGTTAACTACTCCATAGCATTTCAAGAATCTTTTTGAGGTTTGGAAAAACGACGCCGTTGCGGTATAAGGTCGAATTACGTTCCCGCAGAATGATGGCTGAATGGTGCAGTGGATAGTGTGCTCGCTTCTCGCCCTGAGCTCGCCTTTCCTTCCCCTGGTTCGAATCCCCTCACTGCCAAACTTTTTTTGGAAAAGCAATAAAACAACTTTTAGCTGTTTTAAAGGCTCTATAAACAGTAAGTATAAAACAGTAAAAAGCTAAATAGCCTCAGGCATACAATGGTTAAGGCTATATAGCATACAATACCTTTAGAGAACCCAGTAAGCCACAATTCCTCAATTTGTTTTTAAACAGATCAGTTCTCCAGACTCAACCAATTCGAATTGACTTCAAAAAGGAGAGTCCACTTTCGAATAGGGACCTTATTTGGAAATGAAAGAAAAAAGAAAGAGAAAGAGAAAGAGAAAGAGACAGAGAAAGAGAAAAGAGAGATGGTGTTGGATAGGGGACAGATGTTCGACAAGACATAGAAATGGAAAGGAATGGAAAGGAAAGGAAAGGAAAGCAGAAGGATTGCAAGAGAAGTCTTGCATTACCCAAGAAAGACTCAAGTTTTTGTCCATTTTCCGAGTGATTGGCGGCATATGGTCACTCTGGAGGGTCAGTTTTTCGCTTTTTAGCCTTTTTTTTGCCTTCTTTGCCTTTTTTTGCCTTTTTCCTTAGTTCTTTGCCCAAATTAGGTAATCGGGGAGACATTTGAGGAAAGATTTGAAAGTTTAAAGGAGTCTTGACCTGTCGGAAATGTGTGATGGCTTTTGTTAGGGTTATTAGCTATACTAGCTTATTAGCTGTGCTAGGCTAGCTGGTTCTGTGCTAGCTGGTTCAGGCTTTGTTCGGGTTATTGATTAGTGTACTTTTTGCTTCTATAAACGCGAAAGATCTTTCAAATGTTAAGATCTTTAAGGAGAAGATCTTTAAGGAGAAGATCTTTAAGGAGAAGATCTTTAAGGAGAAGATCTTTAAGGAGAAGTTTTTAAGGAGAAGATCTTTAAGGAGAAGTTGTTTAAGGAGAAGATCTTTAAGGAGAAGTTCTTTAAGGAGAAGTTCTTTAAGGAGAAGAAGGTCTAAAAAGTATTGGCTTTTCAATCAATCAACGCAATCCAATGAGGGTTTTCATTTTTTCTCGATCTTCTTTCATTTTTTCTCAGCTTCTAGACTTTTCCTAGCTATACTTTTAATATGAAAAAAAACTAGATTTCAAGGGCTATTATTTGATACCATGTAGCACACTGTAGCTTAAACCAGGGCAGAGAACGGGATGTTTAAAGTTAGTCACCCCCAACCAGCCCCCAACCAACCCCCCAACCAGCCCCCCAACCAGTGATTCAACTCGAAAACCGTAAAGTGTCTTTTTTGTTAGCCTCTCCGGAAAACCCCCTTAAGGCTTATTACTATCCCATTGTCTGTTTTCAGTCATTTCAGTCACTTCAGTCATACCTTTTTTCCCTTTTCCAATATGTGAACACCTGTGTCTTTTTTTGACCTCTCATTAGATCCTTTTCAGTCATTTTTTTTTGGAAAGGATTTCCACCAATATTCGAGAAGAGAAAAGACTCGACTATTTGCTTGAATAGTATACTTTTACAATAGAAAGAGGTGCCTATTTCTGGATTAAATTGGCTACGATTTTGAAAGAATTGATGGGAAAGTTTTCGGAGAAGAAACGGTGGAAAAAGATGACAAATGATTGAAGTTTTCGATGAATTGATTCTTTGATTCATTCTTTATCAAGTTCTTCACCAAGTTCTTTATCAAGTTCTTCACCAAGTTCTTCACCAACTTTTCACCAAGCTCTTCACCAAGTTCTTCACCAACTTTCACTCCAATCGATTCACAATTCTAAGACTAAACATGCGAAATGGACATTGAGATCAAGAGAGACGAGTTTTCTTTAGACAGGTGCAGCTCTTTACTTCGTCTAGTCCTTTTATTTCTTTTGCATGCATTTCGAGATCTCCGTCTAACAAAATGGGGGAAAAGGGCCCATTTCCGAAAGACTTTCAAGTGACTCCGATCAAGAAAACTATCAAATTTCAACTAAAGGCCAAGAAATTTTTGGTAGTTTTGGCAGATGAGTTTTCTGAATAGAACATTTAGATTTAGGTTTATCATGTTTTAGATTTTAGACTTAGTCAGCGTCAGGTTCAGGTCTTTGGCTGGACCTGGCACTCAGGTCCAGCCAAAGACCTGAGTGCCAGGTCCAGCCTAAGCCTGGCACTCAAGTCCAGCCAAGGACTGATCTGATATCTAATATCCAAGGACTGATCTGATATCTGACCTTAGATCCAGCGATTTCATAGTTATTGCTTCTATTAGAGGCCGTAAATACTCTAATAGAAGCGATCTAAGGTCAGATCTGTAAAGCTGGAGTAAAACTGGGCAAAACTGGGCAAAGCTGACGCAAACCTGGAGCAAAACTGGAGCAAGAGCTGGAGCAAGAGCTGGCCTAAGCTTAGAACAACCTAATCTAATCCAAACTTGATAAAAACTCTTGAATTTTGAATCCTGAGCTTGAATTCTTGGTTTTTCATGTTGATTTGCTATTTACTATTTGATTTGTTCTCACTTTGAATAGTCGTTTTGTCTGGCCGTCTCGGGCATCCAGAAAGTGATCGATGATGAGTGTAGAGGCCAGTTTGATGACCAGATCCATCACAACCAGGAGTAGGACAAGCCAACTTTCCGCCATCTAGAACAGATAAAGATTACTGACTATCCATAGCTTCTATTAGAGACCGTAAATACTCTAATAGAAGCCTACTAGAGGATTTAGCTTAGGATCTAGATTCGGATCTAGATTAGGATCTAGATTAGGATCTAGATCAGGATTTATCAAATATCAAATATCAAATAAACACTCACCTCTCTGCCGACTCCAATTCGGAATCCCATCAGGCGATGATGGAGATGTTGATGGGATTGGTGGCGAGAAAGTGGCACCCAATTGAGAAACGAGAATTGATTGGAGTTGTGGTGAGATCGGTGAATGTGGGAGAAGGAGAGGCGATTGGGAGCCACGAGTGGTCGGTGTTTCGGCTGGAGAAGGTGATCTAGAATCAATGGATAAGGAAAGGAAAGGAAAGGTAAGATAAGGTAAGGAAAGGAAAGGTAAGATAAGGTAAGGAAAGGAAAGGTAAGATAAGGTAAGGAAAGGAAAGGTAAGATAAGGTAAGGAAAGGAAAGGCAAGTCGGCTGGCTATAAGTAGAGTCTTTGTAATCTAATCTACAGTCTCCCAAAGGTAATCTGTACCTCTCGACATCTCGATCCTCGATTCTCATCCTTTCTCCATCTTCTTCTTTAATCTCTGTGATTTCGTTTGTTTTTTCGACAATTTCCTTCTCACTCGGCAATCGGACAATGTCTTTTGCTGAAATTATAGCTGTTTTTTGGTTGATTTTGATTGATTTTGCTTGGCTTTGCTTGCTTTTGCTTGCTTTTGCTTGATTTTGCTTGGCTTTGCTTGCTTTTGCTTGATTTTGCTTGATTTTTCTTGCTTTTGCTTGGCTTTGCTTGTTTTTGCTTGTTTTTGCTTGGGTTTGCTTGGGTTTGCTTGGGTTTACTTGATTTTGCTTGTTTTTGCTTGGTTTTCCTTACGTTTCCTTACTTTTCCTCGCTTTTCCTTACTTTTCCTTGCTTTTCCTTGCTTTTGCTAAAGATAAGTCCTTACTTTTCCTTAATAAGTCAGTTTTAAAGTAATAAGTCAGTTGCTAAAGATAAATCATTTCTAAAAGATTTCCCTCTATTTTAACCCAATCATTTTGCCTTTCTTCCAGAAAAATCTCCAGAAGTTGAGTTGAAAAGTGAAGTTGCTAATTGAAATCGTCGAAAAGAGGCATTGCTATCTTGATTGCGAGAATCAAAAAAGAGGAAAAGTTAATCCTTTTCAGGGGAAAAGTTACTTGAAAGTTAATTGAAAGTTCCTCTTGCACTTGGTTTAGTTTAGATTCGCTTTCTGTATTCAAGAGTTTCTCCTAAAAAGGTAATGAGAGAGATTTGGGATTGCCTAACTCTTTCTTTAGCCTCTGGACATCTGTCTCTACTGGATCATCTCTTATTACTCACTCAAAAATTGTCTTTGAAGAGTGACCGATCATTTTTTAGAGAGAAAGTCAATAGGGTAGCTAAGAAAAGGCCAAGAATAGTCAAGAAATAGCTAAGAATGGTCAAGAATGGTCAAGAAATAGCTAAGAATGGTCAAGAATACCTAAGAATACCTAAGAATACCCAAGAATACCCAAGAATAGCTAAGAATAGCTAAGAAAAGGTTTCAAAATGAACTTCTGATATAGAAACTTTCTGTGTACAAGAGTTTTTCCATTTCCACAGCCAAATCATCGTTAAACTGGGTACAATAGCTGAATTTTAGCTAGAATCTAGTACAATAGTTGAAGTTGAATGAAATGAAGCTATAGTTTTCATGGCTTAGACCATTGTCCAAGCATTGTCCAAGTATTAGATGTTCTGGCTACAGAAAATGGCTCAAATGTAAAAGCTAAAAAGCTAAAAGCTAAAAGCTAAGGTACTGTGCTGAAATTCGCTTTCTATCCAGCTTCAATTCTTGATCTACTTGATCTGCTTGATCTGCTTGATCTACTTGATCTGCTTGATCTACTTGATCTATTTGATCTGCTGGATCTTGTTTCTTGATCTAGATAAAAACAAATCAATAAAACAAACTCATTTACTCTAGTATTGTCAAGAGTACTGCTTATAACATTTGAAATTCAATCCCAATTGCAATCCCATTGTTCTTTCAGCTTTGTTCAATCCCATTGTAACTTCAGCTAACTTTAATCAGTTCTTTCAGCTAACTTCAATCAAACTTAAACTTTTGCAAACACTTGTAACACATTACTCGTAAAAAAAAGGATAAAAAAGGAAAGATATAGAGGCAGATGGATGAAAAGCGATAAGGTGAGGAGGGAAAGATTGAGGTGAAAGTTTGGAAAGAAAGAAGAAGAGGAGGAGAAGAGGAGGAGAAGAGACAGATGCCGATCCATTCAATACACAAACCCCAGCTGCTTGCAGATAACGGGGATTCAAATTTGACATCAATTTGACTAAGAAATTGGTGAAGAGGATCAGATTTGAACTTGACTGTGTACTTGTGTGCTTGGCACTTGTACTTCTGTGCTTGGAAACACTTGTGGAAACACTTTTTGGTGGCACGGTGACTTTTCCGCGAGAGTGCACCAAGTGATTGAGTGTTTTCAGTGCACAAAACTTGACAAACCTTCAGGTTTCCTTCTCCTTTTCGGTGGCGGTTCTGTATCTTCATTGCTGCTCATCGCTGATTCCTGGAAATGAATTTGAAAACGATGAGATATCAATTTTGACTCAAACGATTTCAGGTTGAGATTTCGGGTTTTTAAACGTTTTCAAACGATGAGATTTCAGGTTTTTAAAGTCACAGTAGTTACAGTTAACAAGCAATAGAGTGATAAAAGGTATTTAAAAGGCTTAAAAGGCATTTGAAAGGCTTAAAATTGGTTTAAATGGCTTAAAAGGCTTAAAATTGTCTTAAAATTGGTTTAAAATTGGTTTAAAAGGCTTAAAATTGGCTTAAAAGGCATTTAAAAGGCTTAAATGACTTAAAATTGGCTTAAATGACTTAAAATTCTTAAACTTGGCTTTAAACTTATCTGATAAACAAGCTGTGAAAGTTTGAATAGTAATAGAAAAGTAATCGATCTTTATCTCACTTGTGTTTGATCGGAATCATGCGGTGAACTTGACTGTGCCGGACTTTTGTGATCATTTGATGAGAGAGCTTCTTGTAATGGATTTATTTGTTGAAGATTTAGTAGGGATAACCATAATTGTTGCTGTTGTTGAGCACAGAGTTCTGCCATTTCAGAAAAATGGGCACAGAACTGAAAAGAATTGAAAGGTTGAAAGATTGAAAAGTTTAGTTGAAAGTAGGTGAAAGAACAGAAACAAAGATTCAAGAAGGTTCAAGATTCAAAGTTTTTGAACTTTAAGTTTTAGTTTTAATCAAAATTCATTGTAAACTTTAGCTCTAAAAGATGATAGCTGGAGGAAATGTTGGTAGAATAGAAGTGAGTTGTGGATGAGATCGAGGAGTGGAAAGGAGGATAGAAGAGAAGAGAAGTGGGCGGCGCCCTGAGGGGCCAATAGGTGCATGGAAATAAAGAAGAGGGTGGGGCTAGGCCTTGGAAAGAAAGGAATAGATCTCTTTGCATGTAACTCCAACAAATACTTCAAATCCTTGTTTTTGAGCTGTACAGATAGATATTTCGGCTGAGTTTTGGATTTTCAGTGTTTTGATTGATAAGCCATTGTTGCCTTTTGTTTGTTAGACTTATAGACTTATAATAGGACCAAAGACTTAACAAAGACTTGTCAAAGATTTACCAAAGACAAAGGGTTAAGACTTACGGATCTAAGGGAAGGCAAAAACAAAAACAAGGACCATTGCCGGAATCGAACCCGGGTCTAACGAGCGAAAGACCTTCTCACTATCCACTAGGCCATCGGCGCCTTCAATCCAGTAATTAAAAGATCGAGCTTTAAAGCTTCCGCGTAAAATTCAAACGCGTAAAGAAAGATAAGAAGATAAGCTTTAAAGATAAGATTCCGAAGATCAGTTTTAAAGGGCGCTTTTTGATCAGATGCCCAGAGGCATCGGTGGCCGAGTGGATAGTGTCAAGGTCTCTTGGTAGCCAGACCTGGGTTCGACCCCGCCAGTGGTTTTTAGTTTTTTCAATTCAAATTTTTTCCTTCTTCAAAGATTTCAATTCAATTTTTACAGGCAATTTGTAGACATTGAAAAGCCTACTTTAAAGCTTATCTTTAAAATTTCAATTCAATTCGAAAGCCGACGGGGAATTTCGTGCTTTTCCCTAGTAAATCCTTGGTCTTTTTCTGTACAATGCCGTACTCATTCATCTGTACAATGCCGTACTCGTTCATCTGTACAATGCCGTACTCACTCATCAAGAGTTTTGCAAAGGTCTAGTAATTTGTAAAGTCTCGTAGTTGCTAACTATTCAGATAAGGCTATTTGTATTTGTAATTTAGATTTGTAAACGTGTGAAATTTGTTTACATTCGAAATCTGTATCTTTCACTTATCCTTTCCTCTTTTCTCTTTTAATTTCTCATTTTCATCAATTTCTTTACTCTTTCCTTGTATCTTACAGCAATTTGTGCTGTTCTCTGAAATCTTTAAGCATTTCTAAATCCTTCAAATCGCAAACACAATTTTATTAACACAATTGACAAAAACGATTGATTGAGGAGAGTGGAAAAAAAGGGGAAAAAAGAAAATGTGAAAATGACACGAAAAAACTTGGATTTCTCGACAAAATGGAGATCGAATTTCGAGAAAAAATGATGAAAATTGATAAAAATTGATAAAAATTGATGAAAATTGATGGAAAATTGATGAAAATTGATGAAAATTGATGGAAAATTGATGAAAATTGATGAAAATTGATGGAAATTGATGGAAAATCATTGAAAATCATTGAAAATCCTTGAAAATCCTTGAAAATCATTGAAAATCATTGAAAATTGTTCAAAATCATTGAAAATTGCTCAAAAATTGTTCAAAAATCGTCAAAAAGTCTCGAAAAACGATGAACAATGATTCAAATGATTCAAAGTGAGCGAATTTTTGTTACGCGGAATCATTTTCACACTTAATCACACCGAAAAATGTATCTCCAAGGGCAAAAAATTGTCGATATTTGATGAGAAAACAAGTTTTTTTGAATCATTTTTTGAAAATTCATATTTTCCGTATCAAATGTCGATCAAAAAAAGAGGAAAAGATCGATGAAAATGAAGAAGAATTGTAGGTTTTTGGATTAAGGACATTTTGAATCATTTTAAATCATTTTGAAACAAATTTGAACCATTTTGAACCATTTGAATCATTTTGAATCAAATTTGAATCAAATTTGAACCATTTAGAATCAAATTTGAACCATTTGAATCAAATTTCATCTATATTATCAAGAATTTTCTATTAAAAACGTGTAAACGAAGTGATTTGGTGAAATGGAAAGCAAAGATTTTAATGTTTCACTGATTTCTGCTTGCGTTTACAAGCGTTTCGAGTAACTCTCAGCTTGAGCTTGAGCTTGAGCTTGAAATTTGATTGAAATTTGATTGAAATTTGATTGAAAACGCTGAAAACGCTTTGACTCAATGGATTTAAGAATAAAAAGTCAATAAATAATGAAAACTTTGGCAGCAGATCAAAAAGAAGAGAAAATTAGAAGAATTATTGAGAGATCTGTTTAGATTTCCTCAGCCGATGACTTGAAATCGCCAATTTTCGCGGGTTTTTGTTGCCATTGACCATAGCCCAAATCAGCGATCTGGAAATCGATATTGGAATTGATATTGGAATTGAATTCGAATTGGAATTGAATTCGAACTGGATTGGAATCAATTGGAATCAATTGGAATCAACTGGAATCAATTGGAATCAATTGAAATCAATTCCAATCAATTCCAATCAATTGGAACTCAATTCGAATCAATTCAATACTAGATTCTATATTCTACCTTTTTAAGCTTTTCTTACCTGTTTATAAAACATTTGCTTCATTTGTTGATAGTTATTCGCTTGAGCTTTTACTTCATTGTAAGTCAAGGAAGCGTTTTCCGGGTGCTTTCGGAGATAAGTCTGAAATAGGGAAAAGATATATATAAAGATCAGAGAAAAGAAGATTTCTTATCGTAGATAGGATTACAATACTGTAGAATTACGTTAAATCCATTAACTTCTCCGTAACAAGTGTTACAGTACTCCTTTATCTTCATCAAGAGACATTGTAGTCTTTATCTAATCAGTAAGCCCTATCTAGTCAGTATCTACCTGAAACAGCTCAGCTTTGGCCAATCTCGATGGCGCTCCTCTGGCCGTTCTTCCCGTTTGTGGATTCAATGTCTCAAGATGTTCGATATCTCTTGTCCAAACATGCGGAACAGAAGCTGCCGGCTGGATTGGGATCTGGAATAGAAAAAAGATGATCCTCATCCAGCTATCTCTTTACCTTGTTACTCTCAACAATCACATCATTCGAAACAGCTGCACCGATTCGATTGTAGAACGAGTGACGAAGAGCTGAGTCTTCAGAATTTGGAATTGATCCAAAATAAACAGATGAGAGTTTAATCGGTTGGATGAGAGTCGAGAGGAGAGCTCCCTGGACACCTGGAAATCGATTGAATGCTTAAGTTTCCTTTTCTTAAGCACAAAGTCTACAGTAATCCATTTTCGGATAACTGAATATCTTTAGATCTTTAGATTCTTTGAAATATTCAGTCAAAACCTGTGCGAATAGGTTTGCTCTGTTGTAAAAAACTAATTACTTAGAGGAGAAAAAAAACCTTAACAATTGCGGCGATCACTCACTAATAGTTTTTGGCCGATAGATTACTCACAAGATTGGATTTCGAGAAGAAAAAGAACGAGAACGAGCAGAAGAGAGGAAAGAGCCGATAGCAACAAAGAGACACTTTTTAAGGAGAAAATCGTTTGTGCGATTGTTTGCATAGAGTTATGAGATAGTTTGCAAATGATTTCCATTGGGTGATCGTTTTTGATAGAATCAAATACATCTGTACACAAAATGGATCTTGTCAATCGATTCCCCGATCACGAAAACCCCTGGGTACAAATTTTCAGCTAGATCCCGTCTATTTAAATCATTTTCAAAGCAAAACACAGAATTTCGAGCGTAAAATCGAGGTTCTTTGGGCGTTCTTTGGGTGGGCGCGTAATCGCTCGCGATCTGGCGCAGGTCTTTTGGGTACTAGAGCGGGAAAGGGGATTCCCGAACTAAATTGTCCACCTCAGCCAAGTCGTCCAGCGCTATTGATTATTGTCAAGTATTCCGTCGGAACCCGTACGGATAGCTTTGCCGATAGCTTTGCCGATAGCTTTCCTGATAGCTTTATTAAGCCAAGCTCAAAGCCAAGAGAGCCTCCGCCAAAAGGACTACAATAGTTGCTCCGAAATGTCCGCGGTAGCTACAATCGGGTTTCCTTTTGACCCCTGCGCCCTACCCTACTGCGCCGTAACCTTACTTTAAACTTGTTTACTGTATACTTCTTCCAGTAACCAAGTCAATTCCCTTCCTCCTTTTCCTCCTTATCCCATTTGTGTTCATTTTTCTCAAGATCTCCCTCCTTTCCCTTTCCAAATTAAAGATCGTCCATCAATTGTTCTGCCATCTTCTCCCTTTTTTTCCTCAATCGACATTTTAATAGAAGTTTTCTGGAGTGATGGCTTTTTTGAAAGGGGTTCATTTTAGGAAAGAGATGGACGAATGAAATGACTTCAATATATCAACAATGACAAATATTGGGATTTGGGAATACTTGAGGATGCGTCTAGTCTTGGAGTCTAGTCTTTGAGTCTAGTCTTTGAGTCTAATCTTTGAGTCTTTGAGTCTAATATACTTTCTTGTAAGCACAAAAAGTGTTCCTGTTACTTAGAAATTCTAAATTCTAACCTAAAAAGCCCAGCTTATGTTTTTTTTTTCATAACAAAGAAAAAGCCGTTTGGGTAAAGCTTATTTAGGAGTGGGTAAAGCCATAATGAATGTAATAGGGAAAATTTGAACAAGAAGAGAAAAAAGGGGAAAAGATTTTTTGAAATGAGAAGAGATTTTGAATGGGCTTTCCTCCCTTTCATCCATTTCAACCCCTTTTTTTTGGTTGATGAGCAGATGGACGAAGGAGGGGAAAAAAGGTCTAACCTATAGAAAAACTTAAAAACTACTTACTACTGTAGTATAAGGTACTGTAGTATAAAGATGCTGTGGTATAAAGGTAGTATATATGGACAGGTGCTATCGTAGTCAAAGGTCAACTTTAGCTTGGCTCAGGCTCAGGCTCAGGCTTAGGTCCTCTAGATCAACTTTAGCTTGGCTTACTGGCTTACATTGACTTAAACATCGCTTTTCTGGTCAACTAAACGGATTCAGTACCCCAGATTGGATGTGTTTGAGCCGAAAATGCCCAAGACAAGTGCTCAAATCAAGCAAATTTTCTATACAATTCTCTTTTCTTTTCTCATTCTCTTCAATCCCATTCCTTTTTCTTTTCGCCAATCCACTTTGAAAAGAAATTTTACATTTTTCTCAGGAGTGTTTAGAAAAGGATTCTCAGAAAAAAAAGAAACGAGTAGAGTTGATTCTTTTTTTCTTTTCTCTTGTCAATTCTACCGTAATCTTCTCTTTTTCTCTTCTTTTCTTTAAAATTGACTCTCGGGTGTTAATGGAAGCATTTCGATTGTTGAAGAAGCACGGGAAAGAAAGGAAAAGAAAGGAAAAGAAAAGAAGAGGATTCAAGAAGAGAAATTGAAAAGAAATGGATGAGATTTGTGGGATTTTAGTTGTCTTTCACTTCTTTTCACTCTCCATTCCCAAAAATGTCCATTTTCGGGGTGACAAGTCCAATTTCCGATGGAGAAAAGGGTATTGGATGGGTTTGAATAGGCCAAAAATGCTACTTCTATAGATCAAGAATGTTTTTAAAAGAGTTAAAATGCTCTTCTATTGTTCGAGGGTCTCTAATAGCTGGATCTCTAGTAGTTGGATCTCTAATAGCTGGATTTCTAGTAGCTAGATCTCTAGTAGATGGATCTCTAGTAGCTGGATCTCTAATAGCTGGATCTCTAGTAGCTAGATCTCCAGTAGCTCGATCTCTAGTAGCTCGATCTCTAGTAGCTCGATCTCTAGTAGCTGGTGTCTAGTAGCTGGATTTAAAGCACTGGAACTATTAGGTACTGTAACTGGGGAAAGTTTTAGAAAACTGCAGATCTTTTGACTTCTTTCCTAAATCTTGCTCTTGTTACTGTACCCATTGCAGTGTTTTCTATAGTTACCTATTCAGAATGCTTGATGAAATACAAATTGATGAAGGATTCAAAGCTGGGATACCTGGGGAACAATGGGCAATTTCAATGAGAGTCATTTATCAAGGGAAAAGGTTGAATGTTAGATTAAAGAGCTGTAAAAGGTTTGTAAAAGGTTTGAAAAAGGTTTAAAAAGGCTTTTCTACAGGCTGTAGATATAAAATCTCTTTCAGATATCAAATTAAACTACTAGCCTAAAATAGAGCCTAAAATAGAGCCTAAAATAGAGCCTAAACTACTAGCCTAAACTAGAGGCTAAAATTTCATAGCTGAACGCATTCTTCTATCAAAGTCTTATAGGCATTTTCTTCTTTCTTTCTTTCTTCTTTTCTTTTCTTTCTTTCCTTCTTCCCTTCTTCTTTCCTTCTTCTTCCCCCTTATCTTTCCTTCTTTCTCTTAGCAAGTTAAGGCACTAGATAGCTCAGTGGTCAGAACAATTGTTCAATTCAAGCTCGAGCAAAACCTCGAGATTTCAACCTCTCCAGAAACCCACTTCTTTTCCAATTCCTTCACTTCTTTATTATAGTTTACTCCCAATCGACTTTTCTCATTTAAATTCCAAATGAAAGTGTCTATATTTCGATGACTTTTTTTCAGAAAAACAATGGGAAAGGTGGATGAAGTAAAGGAAATGAAGGGAAGGGAAGGGTCCTCGGCAACTCACTTGCATATTCATAGCGAAATTTCACTGTTTGAACACTAAACTGAGGCTTTTACTGGGAAAAGAAGCACAAAAAGAGACATTTTGACAAAAATTAACTTCGTGAATGGAAAGGAAATGGAACTGGGGGAAAGTGACAGCGAACTATGGAAAGAATGGGTTTATTATTCAAAGGTTATTAACAATTAGGCTGAATTAGATTAGGCTGAATATTGTGATTGTTTTTTAGACCTTACCGTATCTGTTTCCTAAGCCTTTTTACTTGCTGTCTATCAAGATATCAAGTCTAAGCTTTTGAGTGAAAAGAGAGGCTCTACCGTACTCCCGTATTTCCTTCTTTTCTCAGCTTCTCCTTTTTCATGGGAAAAGTTTCGATTGGTCGACGCTGGGGAAAAGAGAAGAGTGAAACTTGGGAAAGAAGCGGGAATTGAAGAAAAGAGATGAAAGAAATGGGGAATGGGATACGGTAGGCGAGTTCTGCAAGAGCTAACATGTAATTGAATGGAGACTTTCAATCAATCTTTTGCTAGTTTCAAATTTGAATTTTTCTATAGCTAACAATGAGTTAAATTAACTAAATGGGTAACTAAATTTGTTTGGAATTAGGTAACTAAACCGGTTTAGAACTTGGTAAATAAACCAGCGAAAGCTTAACTGGGTAACTAAACCGGTTTAGAACTTGGGTTTAAACCAGCGAAAGCCTAATTAGGTAACTAAACTGATTCAGAAATTGGTTCTAAGTAATTAGAACTAAACCAAACAAAGCCTAATTGATAACCGGCTTCAGATTCTCAGCTATTTTGACTTAAATTCTCTTCTAAGGTCTTCTAAGGTGTTGCTGAAGAAAAGAAAAAGGAATGGCGCCAATTTGGTGATTTTCTCGTGTGGAGATACCAATTTCTACGATCATCTCTTTCCTCTTCTATTTCTATTCCAAATTTTGATCGAGTCACGCAACGATTGTTCTCTTCTTTTCTCATAACATAACCACTCATTTTCTTCCCTTATTTCTTTCTTTACATTTTCTCAGAATTTTTCACCACAAAATAGACAAATTCTTGTCTTCTCGAGGATGGAAAAGGGAGAACTTGAGAAATTGATGAAGAAATTCGGATTTGGGGATTACTTTTCATTTATAAGTTTAGCTTAAAATTGGTATTCAAATAGCTAAAAACTGGTATTCAAATAGCTCAAAACTTTAAGCTGGGCAAGCTGGGCAAGTTGGGCAAGTTGGGCAGCTGGACAAGCTGGGCAAGCTGGGCAAGTTGGGCAAGTTGGGCAAGTTGGGCAAGCTGGGCAAGCTGGGCAAGTTGGGCAAGCTGGACAAGCTGGGCAAGCTGGGCAGCTGGGCAGCTTTAACTTCAAGCTTTAAACCGGAAAGGATTGTCTTAACTGGGTGTGCAAGCAAGTGTGTGTTTAGACAGTGATTCAATCATAGCCAAGATCGATCTGGTTTTGGTTGTGATTAGAGTTAGATATCTAAATTTGAATTTAATCTAATGCAATCTAATATTATCTAATATTATCTAAAAACTCATTCAAACACCCGATTCTTTTCCTCGACTTTCCTGATCAAGTTTGATCGAAGAATAGAGAATCTCGAGGGTCCTTCTAAAAAGGGAAAAGGAGAAAAGGAAAAGAGTTACGGCATGAATGCACCTGTCATTGGAAAAGGAAAAGAAAGGAAAAGAAAGGAAAGAAAAGAGAGAGAAGAGAGAAAAGAGAGAGAAGAGAGAAAAGAGACAGATCTCAATACTTTTTGAAGATTCGAGTATGGTTTGTTGGATGGATGGATTGGTTGTTCTCACTCTCATCGACCACCTGGCTTTTCTGAGATGGCAGAGGACAAACTCTTCGATCTTTTACCTTCCAATTACTTCAAACCCGTCTATTCAAGTATGGGATTTACTGGAAATTACGGGGAATTTAATGGATAGTTGATTTAATGAGAACTTTGATGGTTTTGGTTTGGGTGATTTTGATTTGGATTTACAGTTCATTTAATAGAAGACTTGTACTTAATTAATAGAAGACTTGTACTTGTACTTATACTTAATCTAAAGTCTTTGCCCTAGCTAGTTAGTAGAGAAAGCTTGGAGTACTGTAGAGCTATTGTAGTATTGTAGAGCTATTGTAGTACTGTAGAGCTATTGTAGTACTGTAGAGCTACTGTAGTACTGTAGAGCTCGAAGTACTGTAGAGTTTGGAGTACTGTAAAGCTTGGCTTACTGTAGAGTACTGTGGTTTATGGGATCCTGTACTGCTTGTAGTACTGTTTGACAAATCGCTGTATTGGTCCGAGTAATGTTGTCTATTGTATAGTATTGTATAGTTAGTATAGTATTGTATAGTATTGTATTGTATAGTATTGTATAGTATTGCATAGTATTGTATGTGCCTATTGCCTATCATAGAGTACTTGCCTTGTTCGGAGTTTTAAAGCAAAAACTGCTCTCAGGATCCTGTATACTACCCAGTCTCCAGTGCCCAATCTTCCAGTTATTTTTGAAAGCAATTCTAAGCGCAATCCATTGTAAGTCTAAACCCTTACTCCCCCTAAAACGCTTGTTTCCCACAACAAAGTGCTTAATCCAATAGTAATAGAAGGGAATTTTGAAGGAAATTGCTGAATGGGGCGGCGGTGAAATCTCGATGTAGTATTTCTCAAAGCACAATTCGTCACAATGAGTGCACAAAATGAAAGAAAAAGAATGGGGAAAAGGGAAAGAGAGACACAAAACGATTGGATATTTCTTGTCAAAGGAGGGGTGACCGATGTGTGGAAAGAAGAGTGGGGAAAAAAAGGAAAGGGGAAAAAATGAGGTATATTGAGGGATAGGGATCGAATGGATACCCATATTTGGTAGAAAGTAGACAAAAGTTTTGCAGAGATAACTTAACTAAGTCAGAATGTCAGAATGAAGTCGTCAGAATGTAGCTGTGGCTTGGAGCCAGTCAGCCAGTCAGCCAGTCAGCCAGTCAGCCAGTCAGCCAGTCAGCCAGTCGGCCAGCCAGTCAGCCAGTCAGCCAGTCAGCCAGCCAGTCAGCCAGTCAGCCCCAGTGCCAGTCAGCCAGTCAGCCAGTCAGCCAGTCAGCCAGTCAGCCAGTCAGCCAGCTCGAAACCTGGGACAACCAACAAAAATCAGCCAACCAGCTCAATTCAACTGTGGCAATTGGGCGAGTGAATTGGTTTAGTTATCCAAAAGCTATCCACTGATTCAGTTATCCAGAAGTTTTCCAAGAATCTAGCACTTTTAGATCTGCTTAGCTCTCTGAAATCTCTAACTAATCAAGATTTTGTCACCAATTTCTTTCATTCTCCCATCAAACAAACAAAGGATTCTCGGGAGTCGCTAAAAGATCAAAGAGATCGCTAAAAGAGACCCTAATTAGCACATAAATTCCCTAATTTTTCTGTTTTCATATCAATAAATGTGAGAATGATAGATTGAATGTTGAATTGAATTGAATGTTTTGATTGAATTTTTTGATTGAATTGAATGTTTTGATTGAATTGATTACATGATCATCGGCTTCTTTAATGATCTTTGTGATCAACTGATCAACTTTGTGATCTTTGTGAACGCTCAGCATCTGTACTCCCATTTCTCATCTTCTTGTCTAGTCTAACGCTTAGCTTGATCGTTTCTCAGCTTCTGTACTTGATTCAAAAATTCTTCATTCTACAGATCTTCCGATAAAGATGAAGTCAAGAAGCTCACCGAGAAAATAAACAAACCTAGGGTCTAGGGGTTTAGTTGGGATCTCGAAGTCGCTATATGCAATACTTGGAGATCTTGATCTCCAAGTATCACCCAAAAAGGGACAAGAACTCACCGCAAAAAGAGACAAACAGGGTAAAAAGAGGCAAAACCTTCAAGGAAAAGAGGGAAAAGGGGATCAAATGGCAATTCGAGATGGCCAAAGTAATAGGCTAAGTGCTTCGGAGAAGGAGTAGACCTCAGTGCTCCCTTCTCGCTGCCCAATCGAGTTTCCCTTCACAAACAATCCTACTCTTTTTCTTCTTGATATCCAACTCTTGAAACAATCACACAAAAAGCTAAAGTCAATGGCAATTTTGGCACTTTCCGAGGGACCATTTGAAAAGGAAACAAAGGAAGTTCTTTACAATTTCAATTCTAAAAGGTGTTACAGCTTTAGAATTCTTTAGAAGTCTCTAGAATTCTTTAGATTTCTTTAGAAGTCTCTAGAATTCTTTAGAAGTCTCTAGAATTCTTTAGAAGTCTCTAGAATTCTTTAGAAGTCTCTAGGATCCTTTAGAAGTCTCTAGAAGTCTCTAGAAGTCTCTAGAAGTCTCTAGAAGCCTCTAGAATCCTTTAGGAAGTCTCTAGACTTCTCTAGACTTCGATACCTAAGCTGTAACAACTTTTTCTTCTCACTTAAAACCCACCCAAATGACACCATTTGAAGATCTTATCGGCCACACTGTGTACACGAAGGAATTGCGAGTTGAGAGCGTCTTCAAGCGTTTGTTGATCATCCGGCACACGATCAATCGAGTTTTCGGCTCTGAAAATGGCTCTATTTTTCTCTATTATACTCTATTTTCTTAATTTGAACTGAATTTTAATGCTACTACGATCCTGGCACTATTGCATTGAGCTAAAAAAGTTGAAACTCTTGCTCAACTACTAGATTTAGCCAATGATACTGAGAATGCGGATACTGTAACAGTAATGCTACTAGCAAAATCCTATCCTAAATCCTATTTCAAGTACCAAGTCCAGAGTCTCATCATTCCCCTTTTACAAATCTCCTTGTTCTCATGACTTGCATGTAATGGATTGGCAAAAGAGTCCATTAAGTGTGGGAGTGTCTCTTTTGTTCTCTCTTTTCTTCTCTCTCATTTAATCAAATTGTTATTTGTGTGCATGTCTGTGTCATTTCAATGTACAACTCTCAAAAATTCCCCAACATTTCTCTCACTTCCAAACGTTGCCTTTCTTTTCACACTCGGGATTATTCGATTAGAGGGATTCCAGATGGAGTCAACTTGCGAAGGAATACTTTGAAAGGAGAATCGAGAGGGGAAATGCTATAACTAGTTTTGTTATAGTTTAGATCGGATATTTTAGTTTATAGTTGTTTAGTTATCTAGTTATCTAGTTATCTAGTTAACTAGCTATCTAGCTATCTAGCTATCTAGCTATCTAGCTATCTAGTTATCTAGCTATCTAGCTACCTAGTTTTCTTCTAGTTTAGATCAAAATCAAGAAACAAAGGCAAGAGTTGAGCAATGAGTAAGCCAAAAAAGAGCAAAGGGCAGATGTTCGTCGGTCATTCGACTCCTTGATCTCAAAAAAGGGGGATATTTCACTCAATTCTTTGAGAAAATGGATCACGTAATTGTTAAATGTCTTTTTTCTTGTTCTTTTCTTTCCCTTCTCATGGCCATCAACTAGATTTTTGACATCGATTCAAGAGAAAACTCAATAAAGATTGGAAGGATTGAAGTTTGATGATAATTAGATCTTTTCTGATTACTTGTTTACCATTCAGGGTTAGGGATTACTGTAGAATTACTGTAGAATTACTGTCAAAAGATAATTAAAGCTTAGAATTTAAGCTTAAGGCTGAATTTGAGATTCTCAATGATTCTCAATGACAGTAGTACAGTACGCAATACCGCAATACGTAGGAATACAGTAACCCTATGTATTTTAGCAAGAGCTACAGTACTCGGCAAGAACTCTATCTAGCTATCAACGAATAAATAAAAGTACCCAATCTCTAAAGTACAGTACTTCTTCTGTCTTGTCGTGTGCCATCGCTCCAATTGAGATCTTTCCTTTTGATGACACCGCTTTTCCTCTTTTCTCGAAAAGGATTACTCCTCTTAAGTACATAGGATATTGCAATTCCAAGTGGGCGAATCTTTCTATTCTTTTTGCTCACTTTTGAACAGATTACATCCGACATTCACCCGTCTTATCCCAAAATTGGTAATTGAAACTAATAGATGTTAGGTGGAAGTGTTGAGTGTAGCTAGATAGAGTTCTTGCCGAGTACTGTAGCTCTTGCTAAAAGAGCACAGGGTTACTGTATTCCTATGTATTGCGGTATTGCGACTGTACTACTCTAGCCTTCTCTGCTCTACCCAGCACTGTACTACTGTAGCCTTCTCTGCTCTACCCAGCACTGTACTACTGTAGCCTTCTCTGCTCTACCCAGCACTGTACTACTGTAGCCTTCTCTGCTCTACCTTTGACTCATTCAGTCAAAAGTACGGTAGCTTTTTCGGGGATTTGATTATTCGTGAATCGTGTTGTTGAGTAAACTGGGCGCCTAATTTTACCCGAATCACCGAACGCACAAAGGGATGCCGAAATATGGTAATGTCGAGCATTGAGCATGGAAAATACACGAGAGTAATGAAAAGAGAAAAAAGGGAAAAAAGAGAGGGGAAATGTGAGGGGTGGAAAGAGAGAAGAAGCCTTTAGGGGACAACTGGTCAAATAGTGGACAGAATTGATGGAGGGGAAACAGGGGGAAAAGGGGACATCAAATACAGGCTGAAGACAGGCTAAAGACAAGCAATTGCACAAAAAGAGTTCATGAAAAGATTCGGGGGTTGGGGACTGAACTTTAGGCTTAGGCTTAGTAGTTTTTAGAGCTTAAATTGTACATGTGTAGATTCGATGATGATGATGATTACAATTGGATTTTCCGCAGAGTCCACACATTTCCCCCTCAATCAAATGTTTGGCGAAAAGTCGGGGTTTCTTGGGATGAAAAGTGTCACTTTCTTTGGCCTAATTAACTCGTTTCGAATTCACAAAATTTCATCAAAATTTCCACTCTCAAAGTGAAAAATGAGAAAGTCTTCATTTGTTTCAAGGGAATTGTGAGTGACTTTTTTGGGGTTGATCAACTTTGGAAAGGGGCCAACTTTTAATGGGATAATCCAACAAAGATTACAAGAAAAAGAAGAAGAAAAGGGTAATTTTTGGGTGAAAAAGTTGAGTGGAAACTTTTCTTTGTAAAACGTGTTACTGGGGACTGAATTCCGGTTTAAAACGTTAATCTAGAATATTGTTTTGCACGACTAGAATAATCTACAGGGTGCGCCAAAAGTTCCCGTACTTTTATTTTCTGCATTTTTGGTAATTTTAGATAAAAGATACGATTTTAAAAGTAAGAAATTCGAATTCCTCGCGAAAAAGCTGATTTAGAAAAGGTTTCTGGTGAATTTCTAAGTGCAACGCTATTTAAAGACAAGAGGGTCCGCTCAGGGATGCTTTGGTCGCACAGTTACAGGGCACAGTTACAGGGCACAGTTACAGGGCACAGTTACAGGGCACAGTTACAGGGCACAGTTACAGGGCACAGTTACAGGGCACATTACAGGGCACAGTTACAGGGCACAGTTACAGGGCACATTACAGGGCACAGTTACAGGGCACAGTTACAGGGCACAGTTACAGGGCAAGTTACAGGGCACAGCTACAGGGCACGTTACAGGGCACAGTTACAGGGCACAGTTACAGGGCACAGTTCAGGGCACAGTTACAGGGCACAGTTACAGGGCACAGTTACAGGGCACAGTTACAGGGCACAGTTCAGGGCACAGTTAGGGCCAGTTACAGGGCACAGTTACAGGGCACAGTTACAGGGCACAGTTACAGGGCACAGTTACAGGGCACAGTTACAGGGCACAGTTACAGGGCACAGTTACATTTATTTCCTTTGATGGAAATTTGTATGGGAAAACCAAGTTCTAACCTGACTTCCGACTCGGTCGTTGACCAAAACTTTATACACCCAATATATAAAAAATGTCAATTTTATGTCTAGTTTTCGAAAAACATCTTGACTCTTGAAAATCTTTTGATCCATAAAAGTTACAGGCCTAAAGTAAAGTTCCTAAAGCCCCAAAAAAATGTGCGACCAAAGCATCCCTGAGCTTTCTCAATCTCAATCTTCTCAATCCCTTGTCTTTAAATAGCGTTGCACTTAGAAATTCACCAGAAACGTTTTCTAAATCAGCTTTTTCGTGAGGAATTCGAATTTCTTACTTTTAAAATCGTATCTTTTATCTAAAATTACCAAAAATGCAGAAAATACAAGTACGGGACCTTTTGCGCACCCTGTAGTTGCAGAAAATTACCCCAACAAGAAATTTGTTTGAATTTTATGCATAAACCGTTCCATAAAACTTCTATAATTCTTTTTCTACAAAACTCTTAATTATCCTCGATAAAAGTAGTCACACTTTTCTCTTCTTAATATTGTTTTTTCTCGAGTTTTTCAGAAATCAAAAGCTCTAAAAATGAGGAAAATGAAGCTCGGCGCCAGGATTCATTTCACCCGATGCTTTGTGGTTTGAAAGAAAAGAATTCTTCTTTTCAATAATATTCTAATAGGTTAAGGAATGAATAAATTTCATCTATGGAGAAAATTATACGGTTAAGTTGGCTGACTAAAAAGTTACAATGAAGAACTCTTGTCCGGGTAATTTTGCCCAACCCTGTGATCAAAAAGTTCCCGCAGACAAAAGAAGCTCGATTTTTCAGCTAAAATCCAAGCTAAAATGATCGAAATTGGACTTACTAAATCGTATTTTGAAGCTGAAATTTTGGGGAGCATTTTCTACACCTAAACCATCCTGATCAAAGCCACCCTGGCTCTCCAAAGACGCATTGTAGTGCGCTAGAGGCAAACTGTCATGGCGCTCACCTATTTGATCCCGTTTTCAATCGAAAAATCCTTCAAAAAAGTCTTTTTTAAATGTACACTTTTGTTTAAAATAACATTTCAATTGTTATTTTTTTAAAATTGAAATCTCTCATCAAATAAAATCAAATAAAAACGTAAAATAGTCTTTAAAAACTTGTTATTCGAAAACACGCAAAAACTGTGTTTGTCTCATGGCCTCGAATGCAGTGCAAAGATAAAAAAAAGATATGCAAGAACCATTCCTACATAACCAATCTCCAAGCCTTCTTTGAAAAGGCTAGAAATTTCTGATCAGAGTGATTTACTTATAGAAATGTTCAGAATTTCAGCTTCAAAATACTATCAAAGCCGGGGAAATTTTGTTTTAGCTTTCATTTAGAAAATGAATCATTTACAAGTGTGCGGGAACTTTTTGAACACCCTGTATAAAAGGGAAATGTCTGTACCGGCGAGTTCTCGGCTTCCCGTGAGCCGATTTACATCATTTTTATTTTGTTAGGTTTAGACTTCTATGTAGTTATGCTACTTATATTTCGTTTTTTAAAAAGCAAAAGTCACGAAACATTCGGGAGTCGAACCCGAGTAGGACAAGCGACAAGCGTAGTCGAACCCGAGTAGGCCGTAGACAAGCGCGCCACTCACTGTGCCAAAGTTGAAAGGTGGGCATAGCGAAACTTTACATCCGAAAATTAGCAATCGAGTTGTTTTGTTATCTACTTATCTACTTTACTATGTATAAAAGAGTAGTGTCTGTCCGTCTGTACGGGCTTTTTCTCAGCCGATAAGATAAATTCTATCATTTTGAAGCCTTTCCTTTTCCCGAGAATTTTCACCATACTGTCTGTGTACAGACAGTTTGTCTATCCAGAGTTAGAAAACCAAATTGTAACCGAATTGTCAGCTGAAAACTCACGTGTAAATGGAAAGACTTGGCTGTTGTGCATCAGGAGTCGAGAAACGGATATCAGGAGCGAATGTCGAATAGAGGACAACGCGGAGACCCGAACGAAGCGAGGTGACACCCTCCTGGAATGAAAATTCTATGAAAATTGTAGGAAAAGGAGATTGGTTATGTAGGAATGGTTGTTGCCTATCTTTTCTATAGCTCTGAACACTATTTTACACCATTTCTCATCTCTACTCACCGAATTTGTTTGGAAGATGCTCTCTTCGCTTCTTTCCGTTCCCAACTTCTCCAATTCCATCAAGAAATAACTAAATGAGATTTTTGAGAGAAAAAATCCAGCTGTTTCTTTTAGAATCGAGCAGTTTGTCAGAAGAAATTAGTGAAATTTATGTTTTGAGTGAAATTTATTAAATTGATCGATTTTTAAATCGAAATCTCTCACCGAATCATACTCCTTCTGGCCAAAACGATGGATTGCATGTGGATGAGAGCCAATCCCTCGGATGATTCCAACTGAAAATGTTTGATTGCTTAAAATGTTTTAAAAATGATCTTGGATAACTGCACTACACTTATAAATGAATGTTACCTTATCAGTTGAAAGAATTGTGAGTGGACAGCTTCCAATCGACAACAATCTCTTTTCATCTTTCTCATTCAACAAGAAGAAGCTGTAAAGATTGCAAAGATGTTAAGATATAGATTTGATAATCGTAAAAATCACGAATTTTTTATAGCATTTCACAACTCACGCAGCCATTTCCGGTGCTTTGTCGAACGCCATAGAAGCCACACATTTGAAAGTATTCACGCTTTGTATATTCGGAGATCTAAAAAAGAGAAAAAGATCAAGAATTACTAAAATATTATTATTAAATCTGATATTGTAAGTCTAGTACCCTTGTCCACTACCGTATAGAAAGATATTCAGCTTCAAATTCAGCTTCAAACTTACATCATAGCAAAGCTTGCTGATTCCATAATGAGGCGAGGGGTCATTGTTGAGGCTTTCATCGTAATCAAACTAAAAATATAAATGAATTTCATCAATCTCATTTAAAAATATGATCCAAATTTGACCTTGGATAAGATTAGAACTATAACAATCCCTGAACAAACCTTAAATATAGCTTTCAATGCCTGATGAGCCGCGTCGTTTTTGGCCATCTTTTTACTCTTTCCAACACCGAAATACTCCTCCTGGAAAAGGAAAATGGATTTTATGCTAATTTTAATATTTGCTTTCGATTAAATATAGTCTTCATTTCCAAACCTTATCATGAATCTTGCATTTAATTCGGAAAACCGGTGATGTGTTCGTAGAATCGGGTTGAGCCGGCAGATCTTCGTACGAGATTTTCGGGAGACGCTGAAAAAAGAGCGGATTTTGATGGAAATTAGAAAATTACAGTAGATAATATATTAGTTTTATCCAAAAAAAACTCACCCCTCGATTCTTCTTCATCAGCAGAATTTGCAGCTTTTGACAAGCGGGAATCGGAATGACTGGACGCTCGGGAATGTTGTCCAAATCAAGGCCGAAAATCTGAAAAGCAGTTTAAAGCAGTTCAATAAACTTTAGGGATATTGTAAAGTTTCAAAATTCGATCTTTACAGTTTCTTTACAGTTCCCTTTCTTTACCTCAACATTTGCCAACTTGGCTGCCATCATTTTCGCCTCGACTTTCGACGTGGCCACATCTCCTTTCACACTTGCTTGATTTTCAGCTAAATTTAAAAGTTTATCAAATAAAATCTATTAAAACCCACGATTTTGTTGTTCTTTTACAATGCAAGTTGCATAATATCCAGTCGCTCCAACTGGCATTTTCTTCACATCGGCTTTTTCCTCCTCATGAACCTCAAAAACGACCTCTTTATTCATCATAGCGGCCATGTGGTGAAGAACCTAAACATAGATCATAGAAAATTGATCATAAATCAAAAGTACAATATAATTTTCTTCACAATTCTTGATCAGATTAACTTTATACCTGGATTGGGTTCATTTGTGTGAGCTTTGATGACAGAGATCGCTTGACAACCCGTTGAATATCGAAATCGCTTACGCCAAAGATCTCTTTGAGGGCCTGAAAATTGGGAAATTAGCATTATAAAGCTCTAATCCAGAACTGAATATCATTTTTAAAGTTATCTGCATAACCATCATCTATGTTTAGATCCTTTTCTCACCTCTCTGATAGCTAAATCTTTGGGTGAAGTCTTTCCGAATCCCTCTTTCACGTATTGCTTGTCTTGAGCCGGGAAACTGAGTGTGAATCTGGAAATTTATTATCTTATTATTTATTAATGTATTAAATTATTATTTATTAATTTATTATATTATTAGCTATTATATTATTAGCTATTATATTATGTGCATTCACTCACCTGAATCGATGCTTATTCGGCGAGACTTTTGATTGATCTCCTTCCGTGATATTCGTGTGTTCCATTTGTACATCGATCGTTTGATCAGCACACAGTTTCCTCAACAAATCGAGCAATGAGAGAGCGCTCTCAATCGGCGAGATCTTGTTCACGTCCTGGAATTGAAACATGAAGCTCTGTACAATCAGTTTTCGGTGTTTTGGTGCAAGCTCGATACGACAAATTCAACAAATTTGATGTCAGTGATTGAATGTTTGCAATTTCTGACTTGTTCTTGTGCTCTCGCAAACACACTTTCTGGCACAGCAAAGAAAAGCCGATTCAGTGCCAGAAAACGCGCATTTACAAGGACACAAAGACCGGTCGGGTATTGACAATCACTGATATCAAATATCAACTATACGGGTTCTCTCTCGTCTTGTTTCGTACTTTTTGTGTTGGCTTTGTCATCACATTTGTCTCCTCAGCCGCCATCTATAAAATTATAGAAAACATACATAGCACGTGATCGTTTATAGGAATTTTGTAAAAAAGAAGAGAATTTTTCTGGACTCTCACGTCTATATACGTGAGCTGAGAAGAGATTTCTTTGAAAGAAAATTTAAGATTCGACAACCACACAAACAAAAAGCTGGAGAGGAATTGTGTGCCATCAAGCGTAAAGCTGTTTTCTAAAAGGTAGGAAAAAGTTACCGTACTTCGGATTAGCGCTACTTGGGTACAGTTATGCCTACCAGCTATAGTCTGAAGTACGATAGCTGGACAAAAGCCGGAGTACAGTAGCTGAAGGCTTCCTAGCATCTTTTAGAAAATGCTCAATTCTAGAGGACACACAGTCTTGGGGATTGGGCTTGAAATGAAATTCTCCCAAAACTCTCTACAGCTTTTAAACGTACCTTTTGTTTTTTCTTTGGTGGTTCTTGTTTGACGACTTGTGGTTTCACCTCTTCCCATGGAGTGATCGAAATATCCGGACGGAGAGCTTGCACAGCCACTTCTGAGGCTTTCTAAAAAACAAATAACTTGAGTAAAAGTAAAGCAAATAAGTAAAAGCCTAGTATATGGGTCCCCAAAAGTTCCAGCACAACTTTTTGTAAAAGCAGCTAGCCAAATGTCAAACTTATTTTAAAAATGGTAAGTGTTAAATAGAGATTTGAAGCCCGGACGCTTGGCTATGTTTATATACCAAAAACTTTCGAATTGGAGTCATACAACTCATGTGAAAAGTTTTTGAGTGAGCACTACTCGGTCTCTTTCCGAGAGGCTGCCATTTTTTGATGATTTTCTTTATAAAAATTTTCGTTTAGAAAAGCTTCACCAAAACAATTTTGCACTATTCTTGTTTTAAAAAGTTCAATAAATTTATAGAGCTAGAGCAGCACATACATCAAAATCTGGATGCAAATTGAAAATCAAAAAAAGGCCCAATTTACGCTTTTTTTCCTTGAGCCTCAAAATAAACTTTAAATCAAATTGAATTTTGGTTAGGAAAGTTTGATAAAACAGTTGGTTTGATAAAACAATATTCTTATTGTTATTAAATGACAATGAATGTTACATTTTAACGAAAATAAATAAAAAAAACCTCTTCTTAAAAAATTTTTATAAAGAAAATCGTCAAAAATGGCAGTGGCTCGGAAAAAGACCGAGTAGTGCTCACTCAAAAACTTGTCACATAAGTTGTGTGACTCTAATTCAAAAGATTTTTGTATGTAAATGTAGCCAAGATTTTGGGCTTTAAATCTCTATATAACACTTACTACTTCTGAAATAAGTTACCCACTTGTTTAGCCAATTTCTTGTTCGCAGCTTCCGCCTGAAAATCTCGTCCATCCACCGTCACAACACAACGATACATTTTGACGGCTGTTGGTTTGGCCGGAGTGAGATCATCAAATCTCTCCAGAACATTCCTGAAATAGAAACGTTAAGTTTGAGCTTAGGAAGTTTAAAAGCTTACTTGAAAAGCTCATGGAGAAGCATGGCCGGCGTTTTGCCGTTTGGATTGTACGGTTTTTTGGCCATCATTCGCTTCTTCTCCGACCTGGAAAAGAATAATTGATGAATCTAACTAAATCATTTTGAAAAGAATCATAATTACTCACCAATTCGTCCCTTTCTTCGGGAATGAGCTCTTCGCGAACGGAGATGGGCCAGGGAATCCACTGAACGAGTAGGGCTGATTTTGGGGTTTCCCGGCATTTTGAGTGCCTTGCGATGGCGATGACCAATAGCCACCAAGGGAACGATTCTGCAAAGAGAAGATTTTGGTTTGGTGCTATCGATTGGCTTTGGTAATTTCCACACAACAGAGGCATAGTTGGACACGTCGGTCCTTTTATGGGTTGGGAATACAATCCATTGTCAACAAAAAGTTTTAAAAATTAAATGTTGATACAGTCTACTTTTACTACTAAATATGAATAGTGAGTTTACTAATTTACTACTTAATATGAATTTCAATAACTAGTCTGCTTTTGAGAGGCAAATTTTCCCGTTTACCCGAAATCTCTACCGTCACTTCCGCCCCTTTGAACTTTTCCGCCTTAGCTTTCCTTCTCCTTTGAACTTTTTCCAACTTTTCTCAAAAACGGGTTGAGATTTTTCAAATCTGATTTGACAGGCCAAACCGCCGTAGTCGATTACATATTGTCCCAAAAAAACAGACCGAAATTCCCACTGGGACTCCAGTTATGAAGTGAACGGAGAGACACACGAACACAAAGAAACTTTGGGTCTTATAATAAGATAGTAAGTCAAGCGTACTGGACCTGGGTCTACTAACTGCTAAACTTAGCAAAATTTTTGGACCTACCAAACCGCAAAATTGTTTTGGTATTTAGCAAAGTTGCTAAATGTTAAATCTAAATCGATTTTGCAAAATTGTTAAATGCTAAACTGCTAAATCCGTTTAGCAAAATTGCTGGCAAATCAGTAAATGCTAGAAGCATCTGATGCAAAGATGCTAATGGTAAAGAGTTTGGTAGACCCAGGCCCTAGTCTGACCCTGTGATCGTTAGGCAAACCTGACTATCGGTTTGGCTCTATCCCATGTACTACCTTATTAAATCCTATCCATTCCCACCTGATTGTTCCCAACACTTCCCAAATGTCCCATCTTGTTCACATCATGTTGTTGTTGCTGTTGTTGTCCCATTGCTTGTCCTCCTCCCATTTGTGTTGCATATACAGCATATTGCTGTTGATCCTTTGTCGTTTGTTGTTGTTGTGATGGATTACCCCATCCATACGAATATTGATAAGAGGCTGAGTAGTCCATCGCTTCGAATCACCAAAAAGATGAAGATAATTGCCCGAGGTTGACCGTCTAAAAAGGAAAGAGTTGAATAAAATGTGGAACAAACGAGAAATCTCATTTGAAAATGATTAGAAAAAAAGCGAAAAAGACTTGAACAGCTGAGTGAATAAGCTTGAAATCTCGAATCTTGCAGAAAACTGTAAGCAGATGTTAGAAATCGGAAAATTGTCTCCAATTCGGCTTTTCAGAACAATTATCGATCTTGAATGAAGGGAAATTGATAGAAGAAGCCTAATAGAAGCCCCTATAGAAGCGTCGCGTAGTCTACTCTCAAAGTCTACCCTATAGAAGCTTACTCTCAACGTGTAGTCATCGACCAGCTCCAAGAACGGAAAGAGGTCCAGGTTTGAGTGGCAAAGAAAAGCCGATTTTTCATAATTTCTCAATCATTTTTTCTAAGCCCTGGTTAATGTTAAAAATATGTGCTAAATCTCAGAAAATCACCTATTCGCTCTACTTTAATTTGATACCTAAGCGTACAGAAATCAACGTACTGGTGTCGAGATATGAGCGTTTGTTTGAGAGTAAACTCGACGAGGCGACGCTCCTATAGGGGGCTCCAAAAAATCGCTCATATCTCGACACCAGTATGTTTATTTCTGCGCGCGTTTATATCAAATTAAAGTAGAGAGAATGGGTAATTTTTTAAGATATAACACATATTTCTAGCATTAACCAATGCTTAGAAAAATGATTGAGAGATGAGGAAAAAAATTTTTTCCACTTTTCAATTCTTTCTCTAAAAACGCTGGTTAATGCTAAAATATGTATTATATTAAAATTTTAATTTATATATTAAAAAAATCATCCATTCTCTTTATTTTAATTTGATACCAAAGCGCGTAAAGACAAACGAAACAAAAACGCAAAAGCAAACGAAATAAACGTACTGATGTCAAGCGTTTATTTGAAAGTAAACTTAGACTACGCGACGCTCCTATAGAGGCTTCTATTAGAGTATTTACGGTGGTTGTTTTTAGAAATAAAACGATTTAAACGAATCGGAGATAAGATTGCTCAATTTTAAGCTAAACTCGCTTTCTACAGAGTGCGAAGAATTGGAAAATTGGAACAGAGATTGGAAAAGTGGCAAAAGACACACTGAAATACTTTTGTGTAACGGAAAACGATCTAAAATCAATTCAAAACTTAAGTTATAAGCTTTTTCTCAGCTTTGAAGACGAAGAGAATAAGACGAACGTTTGCAAAGTCGATAAGCGTCTAACAAGTAAAGTGTTCTTGTAAGAAAGAAGAAGAGAATGGATGAGTCTCGAAAGGGGAAAGGCTACGGTTGGATATGGGCGGATTGGCTTCAATCCAGAAATTTTCTGTCTTCTCGGCGATGTGCCAATTATTCGGAATGAACAGATTTTTGATTCTGATCGTTGATAGATAAGGCAAATTTTCGGAGAGAATCGATTTTTTGAGATGAATCATTTGTTTGGGATGAATCATTTGTTGTTGTGGGGAAATTGCCTATTTTGGATGCCTATTGGGCTCAGTTTTAGCTTTTTTTATTCAAATCTCGCCAAAACTTCAACTCTAAATCAATTTTACACTCAACTTTGACCTCTTTCTATTTTATAAAACGAATTTTTGATGCTTTTTGATTTGTTTTTGTTTTGTTTTTGTTTTGTTTTTGTTCTTATTGTTGTTCTTATTGTTTAATATCTTGTTTTTAGAGAAAGCTTCATTTTTACAAACATTTTATAGACCAACCCGATGCTCAAACAGAAATGAATCGTGAACGTGAACAACTGCAAAAGCTCGTTGAACAATGGAACGAGAATCGACTGGATCTGTTCCATTTATCACAACCAACTGAGGTAAAAGAATAGAACTGGATGAAGCAATCTCCAATTTTAGAATCTCGAAGTTGAAGGAGTGATGCGATTCTATTTCCAAAATCAAGGAGAACGCGTGTCCACAAAATGCATCCGCGTCTCTTCAACGGCCACAACAAGAGCCGTCATTGATGCATTGGTGGAGAAATTTGTGCCCGATTTAAGAATGCTGACAACACCCGAATATTCATTGTGGGAAGTACATGAAGGTGAGATTTACTATATATAAATGAACAGTGTCTGTCTGTACGACCGTCTTTGAGCCAAAAAAAATGAAATTGTTTTAAAAGTAAACTTAGACTACGCGACGCTCCTATAGAGGCTTAAAAATAAGATAGTTGTGGCATTTAAAATCAAAAATTTTAAGTCAAAAGTCAAAATGGAGTAGCGCTAAGGGAGGTGTGGACTCGGGCCGTGTGGGCGCTAGAGAAGCGCGCTGCCGACTGCACCGCGTCTAACGGCTAGTCGGCGTAGCGACTGAAACTAGGCTATGGCTCCCCGTGCACTAGAGCAATAGCATTTGAATTGGGCTTCACTGGAGACCTTATAACAAGGCTAGTAGGCTGAATTCTTCAATCTGCCACTATGATCGATTGGCTAAGAGCTTTGTATCTTAGTCGGAAGGTGGACAATCCCGCCGGCTAGATTATCGTTTTCTCGTCTAGATGGGTTTTTCTTTCTCTGCATTTAAAGCTTAGGGGTTGTGCTTACCGTAAATACTGTAATAGTACCCCATCCCCCTCATACATAGTCGCATAGTCCATAGTCGCAAAAGTTTTTTAGTATTTCATTTTTTTCAAAGCGCCCATACTTTCAAAAAATGCGTCTTTGGTATCAAAAAATAGCTGAAATTCAGGGCTATTTTTTGATACCTAAACGCGCATTGTAGCATAAACCAGTGTCGAGAAAAACTCGTTCAAAGCTAGACTACGCAACACTCCGCACCGTCATTACGGGGGTGGGGACTATTACAGTATTTACGGTATGTATTGTTTGCACCACGTTATTCCTATGAATAAAAATGTATTGTTGTTAATCTTTTTGCAGGTGGTGAAGAGCGTCGTTTGGAGATCGATGAGAAACCGCTGGTCGTTCAATTAATGTGGCACAAAGATGATCGAGAGGGACGATTTTTGCTCAAGAATAACGCCAATCCATATGTGCCTTTATCGGTGAGGATTCATTTCGATAAATTTAAATAAATTACCCAATTTCTTAGGCTCTTCAACTTCACGATAAAGAAGATGCAACAATCAAGCATTTCTCGAAAAAATCGAAGGATCACGAGAGAAAGAAACCGAAAATTGGTGAGAATAAACAAGATAAGGCTAAATTTTCAACTTTTTAGTCATTTTTCGCTGAAATGAGTGAGTTTGAAAGTCGTGTAATCTATCGTTTTGTTGTAGTTTTCTTAACGGAACAATTATCCATCAGTTTTTAGTGTCTGTGAATGCTGGACGAGAAGAGAAATACTCACCACCGGATATTTATCAACAAGTTAGCCATTTTGTGCTTTTGAAATTGACAATAAACTTCAGATCCCATCGACAACATTCACGAGAACGATCTCCAATCCAGAGATTGTCATGAAAAAGAGACGGGAAAGGAAATTGGAAGCGAAACTCAACGAAATCGGGCAAATGGGTGGGAGTCTAAAGATCTATGGCAGTCAACTCGATCCAACTCGTCCCTATGTGACTCTCTTGTTGAGTACAAGGGACACAACACAACATATTGTACGAGAAGCGCTCGAGAAGTACAATCTTCTTGCACACATTCATCCGAATGATGTCTCGCTTGTTGAGGTGAACTTCTTTGGTTCATTTACCCAACCCTTTCTTTTTAGTCTCTTTCCCCGCCAGACGAGCGTCGATCTATTGCCGATCTTTCGCATATCGGATCACCGAATGAACGAATTCTCGATCCCAATGAATGTCCGCTGCTTACGGTAGATAAATTTGAGATAAAATTTGAATCAAAATTTGAATATAGATCGGAAATCGTGGCCCAGGCGCACCTGAGGTTTTCTTCTATCTCCGACATCGACCTTCGCATTATAAACAGGTATCAATAGAGCACCTTTTAGAGTAGAATTGAATAGTTTAACAATTAATTAACTATAAAGAACTAACAACTAACAATAAAGAACAAATTAAGCAAAAAAAAAACAACTCATAGATCTCCTCAACATCGATCGAAATGATCTCACGGGTTTCGGAGCCAAAGAGGGGTGGAGCAACGGAACCGAATTTCATTCTTCTATCACATGGTTTGTTTGAATAAAATATAAATATTAGCTAATCTAATCCATTTAGGCATTTCTCAAGGCCAACTCCTTCCAATTAAACAGGGAATCACTGAAGTTGGCTGTGATGAGGCTTTGGCTCAATTCTCTCCACAAAATATCATTGTAGGTTTGGGTTTATTGCAAAAATACCCTTTTTGTATTTCGCTCTGAAAGCCTTATTTCATTGCGTTTCTGCGCTTCACCCACAAAATACTATTTTATGCAGGTAGGTAGTTACGATACTCGTAGGTAGTTATGATTTATCGGTTAGATTAGCCTGTGCTTACTCTGCTTTCCTCAAATTCTTTCTTTTTTAGCCTCAAAAAGGGCGCGTTTTAGAACGCGCCGATACTCGCCTACGGTAGATTATCCACAAAAACATATTCTTTTCCAGTTGGAAGCGGTTGGAGTGAAGAATCGTCACTGTGTGATCACTTTCGAGGAGGGAGTTGTGACGATTACACCAAGCTCCCAAGATGCACACATTGAAGTAATTGAGGAGTTAATTGCAAGAAAATCTACTTGATTTCTTTAGGTAAACGATCATCGAATCATTCAAACGGCAATTCTCAATGATCGGGATGTGATTCGATTGGGAGCCGACTGTTTTCTACGATATCTCCATTCAAGAGTAAGCTACATTATAAGCTTACTGCAGTCTAGTTTACATTACTTTCACGACGCAAATTTATCACTCAATTCAAAGGATCACTGTTTTGTCGCAATAAATTCCTATTCCACTCTATTTTGGTCTCTTCTTGGCCTTCGAATCCTTTGTTTTTCCCTTTTCTTGAGGATCTTCGAGGGTCTCATCTTTTTCCATTTCTCTTTTTTTGCCCCCTTTTCCCAAGAAAAAGAAAACGATTGAAATAAACTGGATGTTCATTCTGTTTTCGGAATCATTCTTCCCAAAAGTTGTGCGTTCTTTTGCCCCTTAACACTGCCTCAAGTGCGCCAGAAAGCTCGCGTTTACGGTGACCACAAAGAACGCCGGGTTTTAGCCTGTCGAGCTGACTTTCCAGCTTATTTCAAGGCTTATTTCAAAAATCCTTTCATTTCCCTTTAATCACATTCGATTTCTGCAAATTCCTTTCTTAAAAATCGTTCAAAATCCCTCTTTTCCCTTTGCATCGATCATCCAAATCGACGCCTTTTTGTGATAAGGATTTCCTGGGAATTTCTCTCCTCTTTTTTTCATTATAATCCCGATTTCTTTCCTAAATATCTCTAATCTCATAACCGGATCGATTTCCATGAATTTATAAAAGCTTGTTACAATCTAAGAAATTTATATTGTTTTTTTTCAGACAAACGCTCAAATCGAGTCACACTTCACACCTCGATCCTCACTTTCAACGAATCTCGATCAGATCAGGTAAGGGAGTTTGAATTGAATTGAAAAATGAACTGGCTAACCAGCGGGGTTACTGTAGCTTTAGTCTTGAGCATTTTAGGGAAAAGTTAAGCTAGGCTGACTTGCTAAGCTCGCATTTTTCCATAGCTGACTCATCATGAGTCATGACTCATGTTTCCATCCAATCAGACTCTTTTCAGAGTACTTCTTGACTTTATTGAGCTTTTAAAGCCTCCAGCTTTCGTTGCCTCCAGCCTCCAGCTTTGACTCATTGCAAAACTTGTACTTTTCTTTGAACGATTCACCTCTTTTTCTCACTTATCCAATTTTTGTGTGTGTCTCACTTATCCAATTTTTGTGTGTTTAAACCTGAGCCTATTTGTGGTATGGTTGAGGGTTGTGGATTCTGGATTTTCGGGGTGAAATTGAAGGAAAGCAAGGGGGAGAGAAACCGGGTGGGGTGGTAGAGGGGTGGCTCCCCTTTTGTGTGTATCACCCATCCCCCAATCTCTCAACAACACAGATACAGAGAGAACCGTTTTCGTTTCTCTCCTGTATCGGGTCTTCCGTCTTCCCCTTTTCTTGTCTTGTAAATATCTCGGGTGTGAATGAATCACCCTGGCACTCATTCTTCTTTCAAATTTAGTACATTAGCTGCCATTTTAAAGCCAGATTAGCATTTTAAAGCTAGGTATAAAGGCAAAAGCATCCGTTTTATCATAAACTACAGTCTAGAATCATCAGGAAACATCAAAAGCTTCCATAAAACTTTTAAAACGGGAAAAGAATCGCAATTGAGACTTCTCCCTTTGGAAAAAAACTATCATAGCTTCTAAAACAGTCCCTTGGCTGAGTATCTTTAATCAAAAATGTAGTTAAGACGGCCGTCAAGACGTAGTTAAATGTAAAAATGTAGTTAAGACGATGCTTCCATTTTTTGGGGGTAGCTACTTTACGCCAAATTTTTTGCCGAACTCTCTTTACCTTCTTCTAGGTAGGCCAATCTTTATGATTTTGATGTCATTTTGTTGCACTTATTGAGATCTACAATACAAAAATGAGACCAAAATCATAAAGATTGACCCATTCAGAAGAAAGTTATGGCGAGTTGCGCAAAAAAATTTGGCGCAAAGTAGCCACCCCCATTTATTCGTGTCTTTGAGCCTAGACTAAACTCTTTCTTGACTTCCAGATCCAGTGAAAGTGCATTCTTTAACTCTCACTATTTCTTTACCTATCTGCTGCACCAAGGATAGGCTAAAAGGGAGTGCTCGATCATAAAGCTCAGTCCGGATTTGCCAATAAAGATGCCAATAAAGAGTTGACGCTATTCACTTAGATTAAGATAAGCGAGGGCAAGGTATCATTTTAATTTTTTTTTCTTGCTCTTACGCTTTTCATGCGTCCACATAAATCCATTTCCCGTCTTCGTGCCATTTTTGCCATTCTTGCCAATTCTGCCCTTTCACTCAATCTATACAGTCTTCTTTCTCTATCTTTTCCTGTTTTCCCTTCTTTCAGATGGCGTCAACACCCCTTCTTCCCCATTTTCTTCTTCATTTTCCCATCGTTTCTCTCTCCGTTTCCCCGGTCGGCGCGTATTTTGACGCGTATTGTTTGTCTTCTTCTTTTCCGCACCCTTTTCTTTCACTCCTTGAGAGGTTTTAGCCTCAACAATCCTCTTTGACTTCTTTCCGATTCGCTCTTCGATATAGATTTTGATTAAGTTGATTGACATCTGATTAAGTTTTTGGGTTAATGTTTACATTTTAAACAATACAGATTTACGGTTTAAACGCCTAGATTTTGCTTAAGTTTTTTTATGAAAGTTTAGTCAATCTTTACGGTACTATCCTAGTTGGGGGCGCCACTTTTTTTGGGGTGTTTTTATGCGTAGATTCCAAAAAACACAACGAGAGCTTGGGAAAGGCGTTTTAAGACGAGTTTCGGGGCTTCAAAGTGCGCGCTTCTATAGTGTGTTTTTCGGAATCCTGATGTGTTGATGGGCAGAGGTCTTGGAGCGTCATCCCCAGAAACCTCTGTCCATCAACACACACCTAGAAGCTTAATATTTAGTGGTTAAAAATGGTTTTGGCTCTAGCTTTGACCTTGAAAAGTGCCCCAATAGTCGATAGCTTGGGCTCCAAATAGTCAAGTACGTTATACATTATACATTTTAGCGCACTTTGAAGCCCCGAAACTCGTCTTAAAACGTCTTTTCCTAAGCCTCGTTGTGTTTTTTTGGAATCTACGCATAAAACTACCCTAAAAAAAAGTGGCCCCCCAACTAGGATAGTACCATCTTTACTTTTCAAAGCTCATCTATTTTTTTTAACGCTTTAATGATCAAATTGTTTAGGTTATCGGTCTCATCGATGGGCTCAACGACACAAAATGCGCCACATCACGATCAACATGGGCAATCCGGAGATCATGGTTGGCTTTTTGAGTAGAGTTACATAACTTTTGTAAGTCTAGAGCTGAAAAACGGTTTAAAAGTCACGAATTGTTATTGTTTTAAAGGGGAAACATACTGTTCGTTTTACGAATTTTATACCGCTAGGGTTGTTCTGTCGGCTTGAGAATGAAACTAACGTTAAACCAATCTGTAGCAAAAGTATCACATGTTGCTATTCTAAAGGTCATTTTCAATTTTTAGCACGACCAATCTACGAGACAGCTTATCGAGTCCCTTCAAACAATCACAACAACAATCATCTCATCGATGGCCTGCCGATTCCACAAGGACCACCGATGGTCATCCAAGTGAACGACTACAGTGTCTGGGACTTTTTCAATGAGGTACGAATTTTAAAGGACACTTTAAGTATTGACAACTTATGGAGGAATGAAAGAAGGATTTGTTAAGGAAAGGTCTAACGTAAATTCATCAGCTTAACGTCAAACAATTCTTTCGTTTAGGTTCTTTCTCGTGGTTCCGAGGAGGCTCATCCATTTCGCAGCCAGCTTGGCGAATTTGATAATCCAGAAGGTGAGCTATATGTCGCTGTTCGTTATTGTATTGTTGTCTTTTGTGTGTTTGTTTATCTTTGTTGCTCCAATTAGCCTTGTCGAACTTCCTGCCATTGGAAGGAAAACATGAAGCCCGAGTACTACAAGAGTCAAGGGAGCGCTCTATCGGAAGGGAAACATGAAGCCCGAGTCTTTTGAGAGGTTGAGGCCTATCATGACAGGAATGGCAAAAACACCATGGCAAAAACTTCATGCGTCACAGTAAGATCCAAGCAACAGACCCGGATTGGAGCTGCACTAATAAGAAGTGTAAAGTTGTCGGTGGTCTAATGCGTATTGTTGATTGTTAATGTGCATTTTTTATGTGGCTTGTTGTTATTATTGATTATCGAATTTTTTGTTATGGTATGAATGTGTTACTTATTTTTATTTATTGTTTAGTGCATCCATTTCGTCTCGCTCCATCATTCGCCCTCTACTTGTCCCTTCGTTTCTTTCATTCTCATCAAAAACCGTATCTCGTTCAATTTATCACCAGAATCGCCACTCAACTCAATCACAAAGCACAGGTTAGCATTGATTGATTACTACGGGGTAACGAGATTGTTCGTCTTTTAATTCCTTTTCTTCCAGGAATGTGACCAATCTGACGAACTGTTATTCTGGTTGGCCAACTGTTCCGAATTGGCATTTCTGATCGAAAGTGACTATGAATTGCAACCATTAGCCCAACAAAGAGGAGGTAATCTATTAGCCAATACGAGTTGTAGGTACCTTAAATTCTTTAGCTTCCTTATCGGCGTGTGTTGAGCCATTGTTGAGGCGCGTTGTGGATGTGCTCTCTTCTCATCTCATTCCATCAATCGATCCATTCTTCGATGAGAATATTCCCGATCAACAAGCAACAAGTGAGTATTTTAAAAGTAATTGAAATTAAGTAGTCTAAATTTATAAGAAGATAGAGTCAAAAGTTATAAACAAACAAGCTTTGTCCAAAGCAAGCGTTATGCTAAATTTTTAGATTTTAAATTTTAGGTGATGTCCTCGCCATTCTTGACGGATGTGTCCGATGTGCACGAGGTGTTCGTTTAAATGCTGCTCTCACAATACAGGTTTTTTTGCGAAGTGAAATATTAACGTTAATTTTCAACTTTAGGTAGCCAGTCATTTGCTGCACACTCTCAACGTTGTTCTCTTCAACACACTCGTCGGAAAACGACCCATGAAGGTTTGTAAACGATAAGCTTTGATAAGTCAAGCGATTTTTAGGATCTTCATTTATCGCTCTCGCTGGGTGAACGTTTAAAAGCACGGCTCTCGCTTGTGATGGAATGGGCGGAAAGAAACGGATTGGAATTAGCAGCTGAATGTCATCTACACACAATACAACAGGTATTTTTTTTCAATAAAAGTAGCTGCGATGCAATGGCAAATATTTAGTGCTTTTTAGCTGACAAAGCTTTTGATACACTTTTGTTTTAGGCTTCAATCTTCTTGGCTGCATCAAAAACGAATGTTGAAGAGATGGGAACTGCGTGTGACAAGTTGAACAGTCTACAGGTAAAGAAATTCGTAAACTTTGAGTATTTTTATTATTTTAGATCAAATATCTTCTGGACCACTACCGTGTGAGTGAGAACGAGCCGCCGATGGAAGAACGAGTGCTGCAATCGGTGATTCAACTTTCTGAGCGCCATGCTGACGTGGTGCAGGGAGAAGGACGCCAACTTGAGGAAAATTCGGCTTTCCCATTGCCGTTCTTACTACCTCAGGAGGGATATGTGGCCGGTAAGAAATTTTCGCTACTTGATTTTACTAAAGATCAGTGATGCATAGTAAATTTCTTTTTTTTTGCTTTTGATTGGTTTTCTATCAAGATTCGAATCCATATGTTTAAATTCAATCGTTTCTTTTTAGAACAACTTCACGGTGCCCCCGAGTCTCTTCTCGCTTATGTTCTTCGTCTCCAGCAAAGAGGATTTCTTCATTCAGCTGCTACTCTCGATCCACGATCTTCATGGATTGTCAAACAGCCGATTCCGGGAGTCATTGTACGTTTGAGCAAGTGTAGAATAAGCTCGAAAATCATTTAGAATACTCATGCTGCCCAGAATGGTGCCACTCCATCACCAAACCCTGTACCCAACGGATTTGCCCAACAAATGCCGAAGACAAACTTTGTAAGGAAAATAAAGGAATACTTTTTAAAAGTTTGTTCACATTTAGGGAGAAAGCTTTGAAAGTTCACTTGGATTTGTGCCACCTCCGCCAATCTCATCTCTACCAACACAACGAGTCAATGAAACGAGGAAGATTTCATTGCAAAGAGGATCCCGGGGAATTGGCTTGTCGATTGTCGCGGCTCAGGTACAAAATTTTATCAAATTTTATAAAAATACACGGTACTTGTTACTATTTTTGTCCACATTTTACATTTTCGCGACCTCATTTTGTATGCAAATTTTCCCAAAAGATGTAAAGTGTGGTCGGAAAAAGTAACAAGTACCAAATGCTCTGTTTTTAGGGAGTTGGCGATCCGCATGTTGGCATCTATGTAAAGAAAGTCGTTGATGGAGGACCGGCAGCTTTGGTAAGGAACATCAGTGAAAAGTCCCAAAGATAATATATGAAAACCAGACAAAGACATCTAACTAAAACTTTTCCCAATAAGGAATGTATTTAGGATGGCCGATTAGAAGCCGGTGATCAATTGTTGTCAGTAAATGGGATGCCTTTGATCAACATTACACAAGAAGAGTAAGTTTACAACTATCCAGAAAGACTTTAATAACTAACAAATGGCTGTTGAATCCACATTAATTGTTTTTAGAGCTGCTCAACGAATGGGAAGTGCCGGCGCAAATGTGGTATTTGAAGTGCGGAAGGGAGCGGCTCTTGGCAATGGATTGGCGCAATGGTTATGTCAGACAACACCGCAAGTATGAAGTTTTTATCTAATAGCTGATTGTGAGCGAACAAATTAAGACTTAATCAGAATCCAAATGAAATGTGATCAGTTCAATTTTTACGTGCATTTTGTATTTTAGACACCATCAATGGGCGCCCCTACTCCAGCGAGCCAACAGCCGATCATACAACATCTTCCACAGCCGCCCACTCTCAACAAACCACAGCAACAATCGTATGTGCAACGGCAACCACCTGGTGGGTTTGAAGTCTTCGATGGTAAATCATATCTCATTTTTAGGTAATAAAATGATTTCAACGACTTCAGTGGAAGGTCCACCGCGGCATCAAAGGAGCGCTTCTGTCTCGGAGCTGTACTCAAATGATGTGAGCTTAGATTTTTGAATAATTAAATTTGAAACTTGTAATTAGTCGAGGTAACGAACTTTGTGTTGCATTATGTGATTAATTGAATGTCTTTTAGCCAAATCAATCAATCTCTGGTCGATCGATCTGCTCAACGGATTTTGCTCCTCCATCTTCTACACAAACTTCGATGACATCAACGGGTGGATCAACGCGCCTTCCTTCACGGTATCGACCCACCGTCATTCAACCAGGACGAGCCTCTTCGGGTGCACAAAGCCCGTCAGCTCTTCGAAAAACGGCGCCCAGTCCGACGAACTTGAATGCGTAAGTTTGCTTGGTTTTTGCTTCCAAATTTTGATCATCTATCCACTAATGTTTATATTCTAGGCATCAACCTCAGGAATTGCGACCGTTTGCTAACAGTTCGCCAGCCTCGATCTTCACTGAGAAGGTCGAATATTTCATTCTTTTATATTGCAATGTTTTCCTTTTTAGAGACCGATCGCTCATGTTCAACCGCCTCCAATGATGTCTTCTCAACAGCCGAATCTCGTCTATCACTCGAATCATCCGTCTACATCTTCTCATCAATCAATGCCCATCCACGAAGATCCTCGACCGTCAAATGTTCCTGTTTTTAGAGCGGTTGGTTATTAGCCGAAATTCAAGGAATTTGATGAATGCATGACCATGTTTGATATCCTATTTATTAATATGTTAAGTTACCTTTAAAATAACAGCCCGATTATTAAGTCTAATGTTTTTACATTGGATTTTAAAAATCGACTCAGCCTTTAATTTCCAATAACAGACTGAGTGTTTAGACATCTCTTGGCCCTTCTCCTCCAACTCGTTTATCTCCACCGATCTCTCAATCGTCACCCAGAGACACGACGAGATCCCTCAAAGATCATTCGCATTTCCCCTTTGATCCTTCGTCACCATCAAAGGACAACTATGCTAATTTGCCTCTTCACCAAGAAAGGGAATCTCCGCAATATGCTTTTCCGAGGGGATCTGAATGGATTCGATCCGCAATACAACAGGGGTTCCCCCAACAATTCCCCTCACAGCAACCGCAGTCCCATCAACCACAAATCCAGAAACCTCCTGTGCAACTTGTGAGAAAGGTGTGTGAATGTTTTAATTTTAAAATCTTAGTTAATCTAACCGCTTGAACTGATCTCCTACAATATCCAAAAGCTAATAGTAACTTTCTGATTCCATTTTGTTATGACTTCAATGACTAACGCTAAAGGTTGACATGCAGATTTAACCTCCAAAAAAACTCATCTCAGGAGCCGGCAATTGTCCGTCCCCTCAACCCAACAGTATCATCTCCGGGTCGAACTCCACTCGGTGAATCGAAAACCACAACAACTTTTGGTGTCACCAATGCTGTCCCTACCCCACTCCTTTTGGCCCAGCAACAGGTCGTGCAAAGTTTTTCTCTATTTACTATTGGTTTTTTTTTTTTGAAAAACCAGCTACTCTTTTGGACAACAATTGATGTAGTATTATAAATTCTCTTTTCAGAATGGTCGGCCATCTCTTCCACTTTCTTCTCTTCATTCACATCTTCATCATACAGACGTCCGTAGAGGGGATATCATGACAGAATTGGATAGATTAGACACGAAAGCGATGACCGAACAAGAGACCGAACGATATCGACAACTGTTGGATGAGATGGCTCAAGAGAGAAGGTAAATTTTGAGGAGATCAAGGCTAACTTTTTTTTAGAGGTATGTCGGTGCCAGTGAGAAAGATTCCAATTCGCCACGAGACAGTAATTGATGATGTTGATCCACATTTACAAAGGTATGTTTTTGTTATATTTAGCGTGATTTAAGGCTGCTTCTAGGGAAATCTCTCCGATGCGCTATTCACATGACATCGAACCGATGGATTCACCAGCAGTTAGTGTTTGGATTGTTTTAAAAACAAAAACATTATTTTAACGTCTGTTAATGATCTCTTTTCAGATTATGGGCTCAAATGAAGTGTATAGTGATCCTCGTTTGAGACGACTCAACGAAATTCAAGCGCAAAGTGCGACCACTCCATCGGTAAGGATATCATCTTTGGAGAGAAAACGACAGTTTTTAGGTTGATGGCTCAAATTTGGCCTTTCACGACAAGATGAGACTCTTCGCCAAGCAAATCGGAGAGAATACTCCAAAATATCGGTTGGTTTTTGATATTTAAAAAATATAACCGCATGAATCGATCTAGGGTTTAATGTTGAAATTTTATCATAGTTGGAATAATCAAACTAGGTTTTGTTTTTCTAGCAAAAATGCTTTTAGGGCAAAAGAAAGCTCTGCTCAACGACACATTGAACGCTCAAGTTAAGAAAAGAATCTGTGAAATGAGACGATTTACTTCTTTTTGATCTCTAATATATTTATTCTATCTTTTTTCACACAAATCTGTAAGTTTTTCTTTGTTTTCACACAATTTTTTATCCTTACTTTTCTTGTTACGTGTACATTTTTGCCAGTGGCTTCGCTCATTTTGTATATTTTTACGATCGCTGAAAGCTTTTCCGTTTTTATACAAATATTACATAAAAGTACCGTTTTTAACATTTCCATTGATCATTGATGCAGTCACATTTTTTCTTTAAGAGATATAAATTGTTTTAGTAACGTCGTTAAGTTTCGGGGGGAAAACGCGTTGGGCTAAATGTATTTTTCCAAAGGTTTTTTGAAGTTCTGAAGCATTTTTTCTTTGAGCACTCACGAGTTTTGTTTTGTAGTTTTGCCCTCTGTTTTATGGGTGGTCAATCGATGCCTTTCCCCTTTTGTATGTAATAGTTTGATCACTCTGCCCGTCCAGGTCCCCTTTTTTGGATCAGGTGCGCGCCGATTGCATTAGGGCAAACCAGGGTCATTCGAGTGAACACAGCAATTTCGCGGAATTTTGCGCATCCAATTCGTCTCTTCATCGATTTGCAGGTAGTTTTTGACTTTTTAGGAAGTTGAGACGTTTAATTTGGTAGATTATGGTTGTTTCGAGATTTTGAACAGCCCTTGGCGCGTTTCGTATCTATCTAGTTAGCTCATTCAACGGGTGATAGCTAGAATCAGCAGAATGTCCAAAAAGCACATGGAGTTGACGCTAAAAATGCGCATAATGTCGAAAATAGAGCCAATTGGAGCACGTTGTCATGTTTTTCTTCTACAAACTCTCCTATCAGGGTGTGGGCAAAAAAGTGAAAAGAGAGACTGCAATGATATCAGAAATGATAGGGGCAGCAAAAGCACTAATCCTCGCCGGTTTATCAATTCGGAGAATCTGTGCCCCGCGAAAACGGTTCGATATTTATTGGAGAGGAATTTCGGTGTGAGATAATTCTCTAAAGGCTTTCAGATTTCTGCTAATCAGAGGACATTGACCGGATAATCCGGCCAGTTGTAAGTGTTTTTGAAAGATTTCAACAAGCGCACTATAGTCAACTTTTGGCTAAAACTGGTTTACTTTTTTTGCTTTTTTTTTGCTTTTTTAACTTCACTGGTTGAGTTAAAGATAACCGGATAATGTCAGCTAAAAGCAAAACCTAACCTAAAGCAAACCAGTTTAGCCAAAATCCAACTCTAACTTGCACATCTAACCCTTTTCCAAGTTTTGAGATTTTTTTTGTGACTTACCTTCTTTATTAAACCCAATCACTCTATCAGCTGACACTATTTAGCTGTTTACATGTTTTCTTCTTGGTGTGTGCCGTTTCTAGCTTGAAGAAAGGGAAAACAATGCTTTGCAACCCCTGTGCAGTGCAAAGATCTATGTGCTTTTTCCTGGTTGTTGATAAGTCCAAAACAATTTTTTTCTAGAAAAATTGATTGGTAATTGTTTAGCTCTTTTATCCAAGCACTTTCAAATGTTTTCAGCGTTGCCAGTATTGCTTTTAAAAGCGAATATAATTTAGTCTTTTAGTCTTTATAAAAACGATAAAAGCTTTTCTAGCTTTTCTAGCTTTTCTTTGTTTTTTCAAGCAAAAAGTTTATTGAAAATCTCAAATGTCGGTTGAAGTGTGGGGCCATTCTGTTTGTGTGCATTCTTTGTGCTTACTATTAGTGCCAGTCCCTCTCTATTGATCGTCCTAACGTCTCTTTTTGCTCTCTTCCTATCTCTGTGCCGTCCATTTTCACCCACTGTTTGTTCCGGCTTTTTTTATGTTCCGATAATTTGTCACTTGTGAAGCGTGCACAATTTGTTTTTTTTTTTGCTTTTACATTTAACTTTAAATTACTGATGGTTTATTTCTAGGATGAGGACAAAGTTAAACTACGTGTGGAAGTTGCGACTCAATTTGTTGGCCGATTCGAGGAGAATGGCTTCGAATAAGGTTTCTTTGGAGTTGTTTACTTAAATTTGTAAGCGGTTAATTGTTGATTGTTGTTAGATTATTGCAAAAATAGCTGCTGAAATGGTTTTGAGCAAATGGTTTTTGTTTTTGCCATACTTACTTTTACTAAAGTTTGTTAGTAAAATTAAAAGCAAAATTAGCCGCTGAAATTGTTTTTGCATTAGTTTATTCCGTAAACTAGGTAAACTGGACAACGGAGAACTTGAAAACTTATACTTTTAATATGTTAACACAGCGAATATCCTTATTCAACGTAAATTATTCTTTAGGTGCTCACCGCTTCATCAATCAATCCAAATGTGTTGACAATGCAATATGCGGTGAGAGGCCCGATTGTCATCCGTGCCAACGAACTCGAGAAAGAGCTCAAGAAGGTAGATCTTAACAAATCAACAGCTCAAATGCCTAGCTTTAGGGAGACCACAAGACGTTCAGCACTGTGATCAAGGCGAACATTGGTGATGCGCACGCGATGGGACAACGACCGATTACTTTCATTCGACAGGTCAGTCACGAATGAAGTTAATGGGAAATAGGACCAAAGAATCGTTAAACAACTAGTAGCGAGCGTAAAAATACGATACATTGATAAATAAGTGATTTAGGTATTGGCGTGTGTTTCTGATCCCTCGTTGATGTCGACTGATGGTCCTTTCTCATTCCCAGCTGATGTTGTCGATCATGCGAAAGCCATCCTCGACGATTGTGGTAAGGCGTCAGATTGTTTAACCAAAGTGTACTTATGCGTTATTTAGAGGTCGATTTAACGTCTGAATCTTTGACAATCACTTATATTCAGGTGGAGGCTCGACCGGCGCCTACAGCAATTCGACAGGAGTCGACATTATCAGGAAGCATGTAGCTGAATACATCTCGGTGAGTTAAACTATTAAATTAGCAATCGTTTCAATTTTAGAAGAGAGATGGTGGAATCCCCTGTGACCCGGAAGATGTGATCCTTTCCGGTGGTGCATCAGAGAGCATTAGAAACGTGCTCAAACTTTTTATCAACAGGTTAGCTTTAAATTGCTTTAAAAAATACTGTTTCGCTTTAGAGATTCATCGAAAAAGACTGGCATTATGATCCCGATTCCACAATATCCACTCTACTCGGCATCGATCGAGGAATTCAATCTTGGACAGGTAAAAGTTTTAGTTAGATCAACTTATTGAGAATTTTATTGTCTCATCAAATTCATTTCTTTATCATGTTGTTTAGGTTGGCTATTTCCTGGACGAGGAAGCAGGATGGGGACTGAATGAAGCCGAATTGGAACGCTCGTTGAAAGAGGCAAAATATGACGTGAAAGCTATTGTCATCATCAACCCTGGAAATCCGACTGGACAGGTTAGCCTTTTAAAACATATGACTTCTAGTTATTTCTTCTAGTTATCTTCCAAAGTTAAAAGTTTAATGTATCCAATTGAAAGAATGATTTTTAGGTGCTCAGCCGTGAAAACATTGAGGTGATTGTCCGATTCGCCCAGAAGCACAACTTGTTTGTGTTGGCCGATGAAGTGTATCAAGTAAGCATTCCACATTTTAACCTTTACCATTTTATTCTTTAGGACAACGTTTATGCAGCGGGATCCGCTTTCCATTCGTTCAAGAAAGTCGCCTCAGAAATGGGAGCTCCATTCAACAAGTTGGTGTTATAAATAAAAATTATGCTAACTTTTTCAGGATTGAATTGGCTTCATTCCATTCGGTTTCAAAGGGATACATGGGCGAGTGCGGAATGCGAGGTTTTTATTGGATGATGCTATGATTTTTATTTTTTAAACTTTAGGAGGATACGTGGAGTTCCTAAATCTTGATCCAGAAGTGTATGTTCAATTCAAGAAAATGATCTCGGCCAAACTCTGTTCAACAGTTTTAGGACAGGTTGGGCTTTTTGAATTAAAATTTGACGGTTAGTGTTTAGGTTGTCATTGATACGGTTGTCAACCCACCAAAGCCCGGAGAGCCATCGTACGATTTGTGGAAACGAGAGAGGGATGATGTAAGTTTTAAAATTTTAATGCTTCATTTATAAAACTTTCTAGGTATTAGCCTCTTTGAAACAACGTGCAACCCTTGTGCGTGAGGCTTATGGGGCAATTGAGGGCATCACTTGCAATCCAGTTCAGGTGAGACTCTGAAGCTTTAGTGATACAAATTCTGAAATTCCAGGGTGCTATGTACGCCTTCCCGAGAATACACCTCCCACCAAAGGCCGTTCAGAAAGCTGAGGTAACTTTTAACAACACTTTTTATAGTTAGTAGCTTACCATCATCTTTAGTCCCTTGGTCAAAAACCTGACTTCTATTATGCGATGCGTTTGTTGGAAGAGGCGGGCATTTGCATTGTGCCTGGATCTGGATTTGGACAGCGAGATGGAACTTATCATTTCAGGTAAGTGATCATGCATGACTATTTGTTATTTTTATTTGTAAGACAGTTTAAAAACTGCAAAATTTCCACGTGCTTTCTCATTTAGAACAACAATTCTCCCACAACCAGCGCTTTTCAAGGAAATGTTGGATCGCTTCTCGAAGTTCCACAAAAAATTCATGGCTGAGTTTAAATAAATTACATCTTTTTTTTGTATCGATTTTCTTAGTCTTAAATTTTTGATTGTGATTTTTTAGCTTGTTACTTGTTAGTGTCATTTTCTTTTGTCTTATAAAGCCGATTTTAGGTGCGTTTTCTCGACGATTTGCTAAGAGTTGCCTTTTTAGTTAGCATTTAAGATGAAAATAAATACTTGAGAAAGTTTTTGAATGTTTTTATGTTTGTTGCATTGATGTATACGGGGAAACGTTTTGGTAACTTGTATTTCTAGCTATGTGTATAGAAATTTTTGTAACAACAACTAGAACGAGGCAATGAGCAATGAAATGGGGAGAAAAGCTCAATTTGGCAGTTAGATTAGAATGAAGTAGACGTTGATAGGGTTCATGTAGTGGTTTAGATTGTTTTGCTCAAAAAGATATAAACTAGATTTGATTGAGGACATGTTTTTTTATCGAGGAGCGAACACTTTTCTTGTTGTCGATTGTGTATTGCACAGAAGTCTTAGCTCGGCATTCCTTCGTCCCAATAAATGATTCTTAATAAGTTCGGCGAATCCGTTCACCAAAATCGTCGAGTTTGAGGGATCTTCTGGCGGTTGAACAAGGGAATAGCCTTCCTGTAAGTTGGTTTGCTTTTGGGGTCAGAGTATAATGCGGCTAACCATTTTGTCGACGAGATCGGGGAGAATCGAGTAAGTGTCGAAAGTTGAGTGAAATGAAGTGATTGGTACAATCGCCACTTTCTTCTCATTGGGAAGAAGTTTAGAAAAATGACGTGCCTGAAAAATATTTACTCGTGGCAGAGTCTTGTTTAGCACGAAATGTGTTGCTATCTACTGGCTGAACTTAAGATTTGAGATTCTAGCTAACCTTGAGACTCAATCCATCAATGATCGGAAGATTCCATTGATTCCATCCATTGAAATATGCAAGATCATATGGAACAGCAAAGTCCAATTCAGCCATGATTCGTTCACAAGTGGCCCACACCGATTGGCGGTAGAGTTGGGAGTGTTTACCTTTCTGGAAACACTTGGATACATGGGTTTTTTTTGGGGTTCTTGACTTTTCTTCAAAGACCAACCAAATTCGGAGCCACAAAAAGCAAAGCATCGTAGTCTTGACGAATCTTTGACAATTGTTCGTACCAAAACTGAAACTACTCGTTTGCAAAGTTTTTTGTTGGTTCAAACGTTTGTGAGAAAAGGATGATCACTCCATCGATGAATCGTGCTCACGGTGAATGAAACGCTCGTTCCCGCGATGATTCGTAGACTGTCTTTCTCGTCGGAGGTCTGAAGTTTTGTATTATAAAGTAAGTTTTCTATTAGGATCTTTGAGCCATGAATTTTCAAAAAAATCACCGATGGTCCTTGTATCGTTTTGTTGTGTAGATAATCGGCTACTCGATTCAATAAGATTCCCGTTCGAGAACCATGAAAATGGGGGTAGAGTGGCAAGAAAATTACACGATTTAGCGTTTCCGAGCTAAATTTTTTTTGCTCCTTTTTGTATTTGGGGTGCTTGAGAAGTTCTACAACTCACTTCAGCGAATCGTTCAACTCTTTTCGTAGCGACTCTTCGTTTGAATATGAAAGTGATTGACAATCGATTGGTCCAAACTCGGGGACAATAGTTGACACTCGTTCCTAAATGTTGAGTGGCTTACATTTTCTGATTTGCTTTGTTGATGTACCTGGATATTGTTCGCAAATTTGGCGATCGTTTCTTCTAAAGAAGTCTTCTTTCCATAGCGATCAACACACCGTTTCACTCGGTCATTTACGAGAAATGGTGTGTTGAGTAAGCTGAAAAGGTAGATTAAGAATTAGTTAGTTAGTTGCTGCTCGCAAATGACGGCAATGATCAAAGTTACCATTATATTTAACTTAATTTACCCCTTGAGTCGATCCGGCACATCATAGAATAGTCGAGCTCTCTCTGCTAAATGCTCTCGTGCATAGAATTCGGATCTTGGTTGCTCAAAGTAGAGTAGAAAGAGTTTCGTCTTCACATCATTTCTTCGTAACATTTGTAGAAAACCTCGATCTAAAACCCGTTTTGAGGCTACTCGTGAAATTAAAGACTCGTACCTACCTTGAAATCAATAAAAATTCAGTTAATCCCAATAAAAATTGACAAAAGTCCTCTCCGATTACACCTGGAAATGCTCAAGTAGAGTTCAGAAAGAGCTACGAATCACTTCAAATCACACGCGTAATTAGTGTGCATCATGTAGTCGAACAGATAGACATCTCTTTCGTTTTTCCTTTTCCTTTCCCCCTTTTTGCCCCTTTTCATTCTACAATCACAGTCTCGCCGTGTCGTTGTTTATTGCATTTTTTATGTGGCTTTCACGAGACTATCTTGGCATAGCATATTTGCCCGATTCCGTTTTTCTGTCTACAATTTTTTAGCTTTATAATAATTTTTCCTTTTTTCTTCAGTACTTTCAAATTTCTCAATTGACGTGGTCGATGGGAAAACTTTTTCAGAGGCAAAATTTTGGTCTGCTACGCCGTCTCGTGATGGACGAGTTCTTGCTGTCACAGAATTTGAGGTAGGGAGATTTTGTGGGGTTTTTTTTTTAATTTTTGAAAAAATAACTACTATCATTGATTTTACATCTGACAAGGTTTTATTTACTAAATCAAACGGAGGAATCAATTTTTTTCAGTAAATTATCGAAAGCTCTTGAAGCAGTTTATGTTGAAAATAGTTTCTTCTTGGCAAATATTAGGGTTGTTCGGATATAAACGAGCGTTTTAGTAATCGACAAAATTTACCTTAAAAACAGAAACAACACAGTTTAATCCAAAGTATTAGGTTGATGCAAAAGTCTTTTTCATTTTTTTCGTACTTCCGTTAAAAAGTAACAAATGCACCAATTGAACAACGGTTTATTGCATTCGAAAGGCCAATTATTTTTCTGCAAAATGACATTAAAACGAGTTTAAAATGTCTTATGTCTAGATTTTTTTGAGAGCCTGAAGTCGGGTAGTCAAAAAAGGCGACGGCTCGATGATGCATTTTAGACGCTTTAGCTAAGGAAACCAATCTTGATGTTAATAAATAAAAGATAGAGCACAAAAAGTTAGATATTTTTTCAGATTTTCAGAGAAATTGATTCAGCCAATTTCTTTATAGAGGTTTTTATAGATTTTTATGAAAAACCCGTTTTCACTCTCGAATTTGCTTGAAAGTGAACCCAAATTGACTTAAAAAGATGGGAAATTGAACAATAAACACTTTTCATTTAGAGCAAACCATAGGTTAATTGATGACTTTGTTATTTTTCAAAAGAAGTACGAAAAAAATGAAAAAGACTTTTGCATCAACCTAATATATTCACCATTATTATTGATTGCTTCTTGCCATCTTTTGCGCAAAGAATTGATACCGCTCTTGAAAAACTCAGCCGGCTGTGACTCGAAAAACTTGGTGACCCAATTTTGGACATCTTCACGGTTTTTGAATTTCTCATTGGCCAAAAAGTTTTGAATCGACCGGAATCAATGGTAATCTGAGGGAGCCAAATCGGGAGCATACGGCGGATGTGGTAGAACCTTCCATCCTAGATTCTCCAGTTTTTGCTGAGTCATCTTTGCAACGTGAGGTCTAGCGTTATAATGGATGAACTTTATCTTTGATATGTCTACTCCTTGACGAATGAGAACTTCATTGACCCGATCAAGTTGCTGTTTGTAGAGGTCGGATGTGACTGTTTGGCCGGTTTGTAGAAGCTCGAAATACACAAGGACCTTGTTATTCCACCATACTGAGAGAATGATCTTTTGCCCATGAATGTCCGGTTTCACGGTCGGATTTGGCCGTTCTCCTGGTCCTAGTCATTTCCGTTTTCGAATAGTATTATCGAAATAGATCCACTTCTCATCTCCAGTAACGAGAGAATCAAAAAAGCCATGATATTTAGCGTGGCGGATGAGGATTCCGGCAATAGCGACCCATGAAGCCTTTTTTGCACTGCTTAGCTCGTGAGGAAGCCATTTCCCGCATCTGATCGTCTTTCCAATGGCGTGGAGATGCTCATCAATGGTAGAATTTGGACATAGAAACTGTTGAGCAAGTTCACGCGTCGTTTGACAAGGATCTGGTTCGATTGCAGCCCTCAGGATATAGTTGTCTACCCCTTGAGGTCGACGAGAGTGTTCAGCATCCTCGAGGCTTTCACAATCATTCCGAAAGCGTCGGAACCAGACTTGGCATCGGCTTTCGGACAATACATCATTCCCAAATGTTTTGACCAAATCTCGATGGGATTCCACGACTTTTTTTGCCCAGTTTGAAGTGGTAAAGTAAGCAGACGCGAACTTGATGTTCGAAGTCGGTCATCTAAAGCAAGAAAAAAGATCTTAAAAATAACAAATTATCCGTTTAAAAAGTTTCCAGATAACGTAGCGCAAGATAACGTACTTTTAAAGACAGAAAGATATGTTTTAAAAGCTTCTCTCACAACAAAAAGTTTAGCAACGCTTGTTGATATCCGAACAACCTAATATATTCGTCGTTTAAACGCATTAAATCGCTATACATTGTGTGTTTAATTCAACACACTTTTTCCTTTTTAGGCGTGTGTGCAACGGAGAGGGTGATTCGACTACTTCTTCATCACGATCGCGACAAATTATCTTGGTCGAGAAGCCGCAAACGCCATACATCGTTTTGCCATCCGAATCGCGATTTCATCATCTCATTCAGCGACCACATTTTGCCGTCGACATTGGTGAGTAGTTGATTTGTCAAAAGCTAAGCATCGACTATTAAAATTTCGTCTTTAAGAATTAACTCTTGTTTTACAACTTCTATTTTAGGAGGAACGCTTTGCAAGCTAGTCTACACAACCGTCTGTCATGAAGAGGTTTGGTGATTTAAAATATTTTTGCTTTATAAAGTATTTAGATATATTTAATGAGCAAACTTTTGTTTTTTAGGGAAGCGATCGTCCAGAGGTTCTGCTCAACTTCAAGAAGTTCCTCAACATCGAGATGTGCTTGCAATTTTTGAAAGAGGTTTTGATTTTACGAATAAACTTTACAATTTGATATTTTACAGGAATGGGTGCAGAGAACCGAGGAGGATTCACTTCAATGTACGGGCGGAGGAGCATACAAATATGCGGAGACTTTACGAAGCGAATTGGGCGTTAGGTGAGTAAGCTTTAAAAGAACTTTTACTATAATGTCGTTAAGCATCTTGTGTTGGAAATGAAATTCACTAAATTCTCTTTTCAGAATAGCCAGAACGGATGAGATGCAATCGCTCATTCAGGGATGCGATTTCTTGTTGAATAACAATGAGGATGAGTCGTTCACTTATCATCACGAAGCTGAGGGAATCGAGAAGTAAACGAGTTTCAAATAAAAACTATAACAACCATCTTCTTAAAATATTAAAATAGGAGTTTGAAGGAATTTTTAGGCTTAACTAAATAAAAAAATATTGTAAAAAGTAGAATGTATTCTTTTTAGATATCAATACAAGCCGATCGCGTCCGATTTGGTCTTTCCATTCTTGTTAGTCAACATTGGCACCGGAATCTCGATACTGAAGGTTTGTACTATCTTTTGGCTTTTTGAAAAGGTAAATTTGGACAAAATTAAAGCCTTATTATAACCATACAATGTTTTTAAAGTTCAGGTGAATTCTCAATCGTCATTTGAGCGAATCGGTGGATCGTCAATGGGTGGAGGAACGTTTATCGGATTGGGACACATGTTGACGAAATCGAATGGTTTGGGTTTGGGTTTGGGTTTCAAAATTTATAAACTTTACAAAGCATCAATAACAAGGAATTTATTGTTTAAAATGAAACTATTTGTAACTTTTACAAATCTTTAAACGTAGTTTCATGTAATTTTATTCAGATTTCGACGAGTTGCTGTTCATGGCCGAGAAGGGGGACCACAGAAAAGTCGATACACTTGTCGCGGATATTTACGGAGGTAATGGCGTTTAAGTTTTACTGGTTACCTTTGGCAAGATCTTTAGGCGACTACGAGGCGTTGAATCTCTCGTCGGAAGTGATTGCCGGATCATTCGGGAAATGCAATAAATTCAGCTCAAATCAGGTATGTTTTTGATTAATTATAAGCTTTTTAATCAACTAAAAAAATTTCATTGCTATTCTTTTTAGGAATTGACCGCTCGACCCGAGGATTTCGCGAAAAGTCTTCTCTTGATGATCTCGAACAATATTGGGCAGGTGGGGGATTTGAACATTTGTGCAGTAAGCAATTAGACAGCACATCTAATCATCTATTCTATATCCAGTTTTCATTTTAGATGGCCATGCTTTACGGGAATCGTTACAACGTGAAGAGGATCTATTTTGGTGGTTTCTTCATCCGAAAGCACTCGATCACGATGAGGACGCTGAGTTATGCAATCAAATTTTGGAGTAAAGTGAGATCTTGGAATATTTTTCACTAGTTTGGTTGAACCAAACGTGTTAGATTTATGTCATAGTTACTTTTAGCTAGATCTTTCATTTTCAGGGCGAATGCGAAGCTCTTTTTATGAAACATGAGGGATATCTCGGTGCTGTCGGCGCGTTCATGGCCAATCTCAGCTGAAGATAGAGACCAAAATGATGACCGCCTCAAAAAGATTTCACGTGTCTCTCACGTCTGTTTAGTTTCTTTTTTTCACGCCAAAACTTCAGTTCGATTAGATTACGATAGTTTTATCCATTCTTTAGTTCTTTGTGTTTCCTTCAAATTTCTGTGATAGATTATGGTCCGAATTGTTGGATTTTCGCTCCGGTTTTGAATAGTTTTCCCATTTTAATCAAGTCATTCCTTTCTCGTTTTGTTAGAAGCTCAATTTCCATTTGTAAAATTGATTCCCATAGCTGTGAGATTGTTTTCGGTATAGCATAATTCATTCATTCTTCTCGATTTCCCTTCAAATTTCCACTCGTTTCTCCTTCTTTTTCTGAGCTTATCTATTGTTTTTCTCTTTTTTTTTTGATAGTATTTCTGTGCCTTCCCCTTTGTTTTGTGCGCATTCTTTCTTATCTCAATTTACATTTAATAAAAATTTATGAAATCGACTTTTCCCCAAGATTAGCAGTGACTTTTGGCTTTCGTTTATGTGATTAAAGAAAAAAATTTCAATTTCAAATAGTCAAGTTTAGAGGAAATTTTTAGAAAATATATGTCGTAGCCGATTATGATTTTCGCTAGCGAAATCATTTGATTCACAATCGGCTGAAATTCATAATCGGCTACGACATATACATAGTTTTCTTCGACTCCTTATCTAAGGAAATACACTTCAACTTGTTAGATTAGTTTAAAAAGGATGGAGTCGGTGAGATTTGGGTTGACTTGTATTGAACTTGACTTTTTACCGAATTACCTCTACAATCAAAGATAAAGAAGGTAATTGCCATGCTTTAGGCAAGATTTTTTGAAATTCAAGAGCGCGTTTAGGCGTTTAGATTTGAATTGTTTTTTTTTTTGCCAAAGTTTCAATTTCAAAAAGTCTCTTGAGAGAAAATCTTTGAAATTAGCAAAAAAAAAAAAAAAGGTATTTGCCTACTTCTTATCATTCAAAAGTCAAATTCTGACCTCAAAACTAAGCGTTTTATTCTTTTCAAAGTAGTAAATTTGAAAATGAAGTGAATTCATTAAAAATCTCAAAGATTGGAGTCATTTTTATGATCTATTTGCTAAAGCTATATTGTTTGCTATAATTTCCCAGTTTAAGTCGTTGACTTTTTCTTTTTTCTCTAAAATTTCATCGTCCTTTTTTTCCTGCTTTTCTCGATTTTTCAGTGTTGACCCTGACAAAAAAAGAAAACAAAAAATATCAAAAAGAAAAGGACCGATACGAGTTGACAACTCTTTCTTTTTTGTGCTCATCAATCCACCCTATTTCCCCAAAAAAAAAAACTAAATTTTATTTTTCCCGAATTGCCAGTGCCTTTGCCAGTAATTAGTGATCGTTTTCTTTCAAAAAAATACCAATATTTATCATTTTGTTTGGTTTTTCGTTTTATTCGATCTTTTACTGGTGAGATTTGATCTATTTATTTTAGATTTTAAATCATCAACCTGTGATGATTAAACAAATTCTCTTGGGTGGCTTGGTGGCCGTTTTGGGAGCGATTCTCTGCAATGTTCTGTGAGTTTTCGTGGAAAAGACGAAAATTTTAAAAGCATTTCATTTAAAGCTGGTTTCTTGACTTGAACAAACGCGTCTACAATCACAAACCGGGAAAATGCCGTTTGGTGGATGGACCGCGTGAGTTCGACTTTTTTTTCTTTTACCAAGCTTTCGTTACTTCGGTACACATAAGTAGATAGTCTTTTACCAGGTAGTAGACAATCTTTTATCAGATAGTAGACAATCTTTTACCAGGTAGTAGATAATCTTTTATCAGGTAGTAGGCATGGACGCTACAAACTACAAGATCAGACTACAGATGCTTGTAGAAACGCGTAGAATGGCGATTTTTACAAAATGTTTTTACCAAAAAATCGAGCCAACTTTGAGCTTTTGAATGACACCAAGATCACATCAATTCACCATCTCTGCTCCGAAAACCTGCCGCTTATAGTCTCGTCCCATGAGGACTAAAAACCTGGCAAAGAACGTTATATTTCAGCACAGAGATGATAGATTGGCCTGATCTTGGTGCCATTCGAAAGCCCAAAGTTGGCTCGATTTTTTTGATAAAAACAGTTTGTAAAAATAGCCAGTCTACTCGTTTCTACAAGCGTTTCTAGTCTGCGTTTCTAGTCTTGTAGTTTGTAGTGCCCATATCTATCAGGTAGTTAAATCAAGAGAAATCTCTCAATATCTGACTTTTTCGAGTCTGGTACCAGATGAAATAGTCTATGCTAGGGGTCTTCCACTCACAAAGCTCATCATATTTCAGTTGACGGATCCGAGGACATAGAATACATCGAATCTGAGGGTTTGGCTTTCATCACAAGCGGGATTTTCTATATGCATCCAAGACCGGGCGTTGAGGGAAAGGTTTACTATTTGAAATCGATCTAAGAAACCAATTTCCCAGATCTTCTTGTATGATTTCAAGAATCCAGCCGCGAAATATCAAACAAAGGAGTTGAAGATTATTGGAAAACCGGTTGGTTTTTGTTGTGTACGTATCGTAATACCTATTATAGTAGCGCTCCTCCGCCCATACTGACGTACAGTCGCGTACTCACTAAAGTAAATCATTTTTTAGAAAGTGCCAGATTTTTCCCAAAATAAACTGCTAGTACCAAAAAATTCTTCGCTTCAAGCGCTATCTTTTGATCTTTAAGCGCACATTTTTCGTCGAAGCAGCGCGGAAAACCGAGCTTCACAAAATTGTGTGTTAGACTACGCGATTGTACGGGCGGAGACGCTACTATTATAGGTACTATGGTATATGTTTTCTTGATATCTTTGATGTTAATGATAAAATTGATGTTGATGTTTAGTTGACGAAGTTAATTTAATAATTTATTTAAACAAACCATGATTGGGCAATTCTTTTTCAAAAACAAAAGTTCGACAACGATTTTGACCAAAGAGAAACAATGCTGTGAAATGGCGAACAAATAGGCATACGATAAGAAGGCCCGCACTTTAGAAAACCCTTAACAAATAAATAAACTGTGGGAAATTGATTTTAAACATTTTGTAATCAATGAGAACAAAGCTCACACTTTTAGGGAAATTTCCAAGCTCACGGCATCACGTCATGGGTGGATGAGAAAGGAGAGATTCGTCTATATGTCGTATCTCATCATTCACCACAATTTACTCATTCGATTGAGGTAAAAACAAAAGCTTAATGGATAGGTTATCATTTTCCGGTTTAGTTACTCAATCAAAATATCATTTTCCATTGAAATTCTTCTTTCAGGCATTTGATTTCAACAAAAAGGATCAAACGCTGAAACACGTGAAAACTTTCACTCATCAAAATTTCATTCGGTAATTTGTAGAAAGTAAAAGACGAAAAAGAGTTTAGACCAAACGATTTGCACGCTGTTGGAAAGGATAAATTCGTTTTCACAAATGATGGAACGGCACAGGTGAGTGAGCGATTTAAGATCTTAAACCACTGACTTTCAGACTGGTGGAATGAATGCTCTTGAGATGTTCATGGGGTTGAAAGCGGGCAGTGTTGGTTATTTTGATGGAAAGGTAAGCTTAGTAAAAAGAATCTTATGAGAATTTAGATATACTGTGTGTTTTTAAGTTCGATATGCTATATATCAATGATATCAAAGAGGCATATCAATGATCTTAAAGAGAATTTCTAGGATGCTCATTGGTTAGTTGAAGCGGATCGATCGCCGAATGGAATCTGGGTTGATCGAAAGAGAAATACTCTCTTCTATGCCTCGCCAAATGGGGAATTCATTCGAGTGATGAAATTGAGTGATGTGAGTTGGCAGATCGAGTAGAATGCCTAAGATTTTCTAGGATTTCAAATCGGTCACCCCAATCACTCAAGTTGATCTTCTCACCTCGCCCGATAATCTCTACATGGACAAAAATGGTAGGAATTTCGATCGCTCTGGCGTTGAAACCTACTGAATTTCTGTATTCAGGTGATCTCTGGACAGCCGGTCATCCAGTGATGAGTAAGTTGACGAATTTGGACGCGTGTAGTCATCGACCAGCTCCAGGAACGGAAAGAGGTCCATCGCAGGTTTGAGTGGCAAAAAAAGCCGATTTTTCATAATTTCTCAATCATTTTTTTCTAAGCGCGCGCGCGTTTATATCAAATTAAAGTAGAGAAAATGGGTAATTTTTTTAAAGATATAACACATATTTCTAGCATTAACCAGTGCTTAGAAAAAATGATTAAGAAATGAGGAAAAATAGGTTTTTTTTAGAATATTTACGGCACCTATTTTAACATATTTAGGTTTTGCGTATCAGCTTCTCGAAGGATTATCAAACACACGAGGTGAGTTAAGAGGGTGAGAAGTCGAAAATTGAATCGAAAATTGGATATTCTACTTGGAAAGCATTTATTTACAACGATAAACCTTGAGAGCCTCGTTGCAGGTGACCGAACCTTACACAGATGATGGCCGGGAGTTGTGCTGCTCATCGGTGGCTGTTCACGATTCAAAGGGGAATATGCTTATTGGTTTGTGCATTTAGACTAAGGAAATCGTTTTACAGGGGGCAAATACGCAAGTTTTCTGATTCAATGGGAATTTTGACCCACTGAACCTTGTGGAATTTTCAGGATCGGTTGCTGCCGAATTGCTCCATTGTGAGTACATGGTGGAGACGATTTGAATGGATAAAGGAAAAATGTTCGTAATCTTTTCAATTAACAATAACAACGAGTCGATTTTGTCTTTGGATAATAAATTATCGAACATCTTGCCAAAATGCATGTCTTTTTGACATGCACTTTGTGCTCCCGGCTAATCGCGCGCCTTCTAGCACATGACTTTTGCGCCAAAACGCATTTTCACGACAAATAACTATGAAATTTGGTTTCTACACATAAAAATACCCTAGAAAACAAAGTGGATACATTTTTTTTGTTTGTTTGTTTCGTAATTTGTTTCGAAAAGTTAATCGGAGTGGAGATTTGACTCCATTTCACAACAAATAACAAATAACTTAATTCAATAGATAAGAACCCGAAGTAAAATTATGAGGCACCACAAATTCGTTCAACTCGCAAATTGGTTCAAATGTCAGCTTCTTCCACTTTTGCTTGCTTCTCGGTAACAGTTTCTACCTATTCATCTGCTGACCTCTTCCGAGCTAAAAACAATTAGGAATTTAAAAAACAAAAACTTTGAAAAAAGTTAAAAAACTTACTTTTAAGGAATTTTCCCACTTTGTCTTTGCTCTCTTTGACGTAGGCGTCAAAGGTTTCCTTGTCGACATTCACGTTGTCTTTGATGGCTTCGTCGTCCATTACTAGCTTTTGGGCTTTCTCAATATTGTCCATCAAGTTCCATTTTGCAAAATGTTTATCAAAAACGGATTGAGTGGGCTTCACCCATTCTGAGCGATCCTCGAGCATGACCTGGCATTAATAGTTTTTTTTAGTTCTTAATTCGAATAAAGGCCGTTTGTGTTCTTAGTTGTAAATAAAAATAATTACCCAAAAATCGACGATCCTCAATTCGTGCGCCGGACCTCCCAGAGTTTGACTTTCGACGTAGCCCCAGATCTCCTAAGTCTAACAACCAGGTAAGTATCTTAATCTGCTCGTCCTTTGCTTTTTTGCTTTCATCGTCGTAAGTTGGCTCTTTCTCATCTAAACTAGATATATTTAATTGAAAATATTTGTGAAATTTAACCTTTAGCGCCACGCATCATAGCAACCGACTTTCCGTTATCTGTCCAGAAACCATCAACTAAATTAGTAGATTTTACGACTAAAATCAGAAGTGAGCCTTACTTATCTTCGTCGCCAAATACACGTATCCACTTCGAGGTACATCTGGTATAACGAGCACCTTTTCCGATCCGACTCCAATCAAACTGAGTAGATGGTATACGAAGATCTCACGCAAATCGGAAGACTTGGGAGCGAGCGACGGTTGATCCATGAGGTTGAGCCATGACCAGCGATGATCAGCCATGACCTTTGCATAGTAAGATGCAGGCATTTGATTGTTCGCGCCAACGCTCACATCAACGAGAAAGGCAAGCTCAAAAGTTAAGTACATTAGAATAGTTCGGAGAAAACGAATTTACCTTTCCACCAGCAGTGGCCTCTTTTGGGGTATTGCAAGTCACTTTTGAGCCAGAAAAATGCGCCTCGAAATAAGTTTCAACCGCTTTTTTAAACCACAGTTTCTCGGCGTGGAGGAGCCAAAAGCCGGTCCTATCGACCATTTCATCACATACGCGCCGGAACTCAACATGCGCCACGAAGAATTTGCTGTCAAGAAGAAGAAGATTTTTCAAGAGTTCAGTGGCCTCAGCTGCAGCCCACACTTTTTCCCTTTTTTTTTTTTTTTTTTGGGCTCCTCCCTCCTTCCTCGCGCACTCGCTGAGATCCTTGAGCTTGCCCACTTGCGCCAGATACGCCTTCCAGTAGCCAAGAAGGGAATGTTTCTAAAATACGAATTTTTAGTCCTTGGCCAAAAAGACAGTACTTTTAAAACGATCTTTGGCATGACCCTCACAACAATTTAGATAATTCATTCCAGCCACAAAAGTAAATCTAAGAGTAATTACGAAAACTATGCCTGAATAGCCAAAAATAGCGGCATATGAATTTGATTTTGTTAAAAATTCTTAAATTTCAGCCATAAAACCTAACCGAAAATCTCGTCTAGAGAATGTGAAACAAAAGATTTAACTTACCACAACAATCTTGTTTCCATTCTTCAGGTTTGCTTCTTGCTATGGGCAAATCATATAAAAAGAAGGGAGGGGAAGGGAGTACTTTCAAAACCCGCTACAAAACTATTCTAGATTTTACGGAGGGGGATGGAAACTTATGGGCGAGTCGAAATAAAAAGTCGCACAATACTAAACGACTCCACCACAAAATCGAGAAAAATGAAAAGAATGGCAAATGGGGAATTTTGTGCGGTGTAAGTCGCACAACACTCCAATCTTCGGAAGGTTGATTTTCAAATTAGGCTCAAAATGCACTTTTGTGCTAATTTAATCCATTTTCATTTCAATTTAAGCAAGATTAAAAAAAAAGATTAAAAGAAAGAGAACGGTTCGATCGATTGGATTGTTCTGAAATTTTGGGAAACTATGTAATCGATGAAGCGTTTTATTTAAAAAAATATGCAATCACTCAAAAATATATTAGCTCATGAATGCTAGAAACCAGGATTTTGAACTTTTACATTAAAAGGCCTGAAAAAGTTCTAAAATAAAACATTTTTCAAAAATTCAAAAAAGGCCATTTTGTAGATTAAGGATAGGGCTTTTGAATCAAGCAAACCGTTTTTTGATTGAATAAGCCGTTTTTTCAGAAAACACATTACCCAAAAACGATCGTTTATAACTTGCCAACCTAAAATTTATACTACTCTTATCGAGAGCTCGATAGTCAATTCTAGTTAGAGCCCAATAAACGGGGCCTTGAAGTTTATAAAACAATAGAATTAAAGTTGTGATATTTAGGTTGTGAATCTGAAAGCGCTGTTAGAAGTACGGGATTGGGACACCGCTTCTGTAATCTTTGATCAATGTCAACAACGGGAGCCATTCAAGATTTATCGAGCATGGCAAAAGTAAGCATTCATCTTTGTGTCGGGATCTATAGTTCACTGTTTATTAAAACTTTGATGTTTAGTTGTGAGCAATGCTGTTTACAACGACGAGTTGAACAGAAAGGACGAACATATGTAGGCAAGTTTCGATTTATTTAATGGATTGTATTTGTGTGGTGTGAGTTTACAGCATCACAAAAAGGCAGCACCAAGGGATCATTTCATGGTGTCATCGATTCCCTGCTCGTCTACAAGTGGTTTTCGTACACAATGAACCTCGCTTTCAGAGGCATTTTTGGCGGGAATTACGCGATCTATTGACAGCATTTGGACACTTTTCACTCATATAAATAAATGATTGAATAAGTAGTTCCATCGTACATTCTTGTAAAGATCTTTCTTACTTTTGTTTGTTTGTAAAATTTTGATTGGAATTGTCTAAGAATTTGTCATTTTTATCGTTTAGAATTGTCATTTTAGAATAAATCGTTTTATCTGATTATCCAATCACGAGCAAAACGCTATTGCGACGTTTGTTCTTCTAACTTGTCAATGATCTTTAGCTACCAAGCTGATATTTTAAATTTATCTTGTTACAGTTATGAGAAGTTTGACATTATGCACCCGATGGACTTTTTGGATAGCTCTTCGTCAACTTCGCATCAATCATCCAAGTTTGCCCACACCGATGATCAACAAGAAAAAACGAACCCTCGATGTCGCCGTAATTGGAACGCCTAATGTCGGAAAGGTTTGTTCTTTAAATGGAATCCGATGTCGATTAGTTTATTTTCACTATTGTAAGTTTTAGTCTCTCCTTACCAATCAGATTGTGAGAGCCACCGTTTCCGCTGTTAGCTCGAAAATGGACACAACAACAAAGGTATTTTCGGTACTTGTGGAGTATCCGGGGGGTCTTTCAATATCCGGGGGGGTAAAATTTTATATACGTCATACACGGGAGGTAGTCAAATGAGCGCCAAAAATTGAGCGCCAATCATTTCAGCGCCAATCATTTCAGCGCGCGTTCATTTCAGCGCGCGTTCATTTCAGCGCGCGTTCATTTCAGCGCGCGTTCATTTCAGCGCGCGTTCATTTCAGCGCGCGTTCATTTCAGCGCCGCACCAAAAATGACTGGAAAACATTCATTTCAGCGCCGAATCAGCCCATTCTGTATATGCATGTTATTTTTGCATTTTCTGCATGATCTCAAAGTTTTTACTGTATGTTTTTATCTAGATCATCTAAAGATAAAAATAATCCTTGGCAGCAAAATAAACCAAAATAAATCATGAACAAAACGTTACTTTGACTCAGAGTGTTCCTTTGTCTCGCCACTTCTTGCGCAGTTCACGAGCCTAAGCAAAGAACTATGTTAACTGTAAGCAAATTGTAAACGAAAACGGCAAGAAACGGTGAAAAAGCATGCTATTGGGGGAAAATATCATACAACTAGCAAATTTACACATTTTCATCAAAAAAACCTTAAATACGAGCTAATCTAACAATTTTTTCCGCGCATTTGATGCCTACTACCGTGCCCTAGGTCAAATGAGTGAAAAAAAGTGTAAAAACAGAAGCAAAACCCTAAAAAACATGCAAAAGCAGCGTAGAAAGCAAAAATATTAAAATTTAGTCGCGCTGAAATGAACGTTTTCCAGTCATTTTTGGCCCGGCGCTTAAATGAACGTTTTTAGGCCTTTTTAATTTGGCGCTCAAATGATTGTTTTCCAGTCATTTTTGGCACGGCGCTCAAATGAGTGGCGCTGAAATAAGCGTGAGCCAAATCGTTGGCGCTGAAATGATTGGCGCCCAATTGTTGGCGCTCATTTGACTACCTCCCTCATACACGACCCCTTTTAAAGATATTCAGCCGCTTAAGTGATTTGGTGGCAAATTCCCTTCAAATGTAAAGATATTCAATTTATTGAGGTGATTACGTGATTCGAGGTGATACTCGATCAAAAACGTAACTTCTACAAAATTTTTTTATGTCATTATTAGAAATGTTGATAGGATCCTAGTTGGCGGGTCATTTTTTTTCTTCAAAATCATTGGTTCTTTTCCAATATCGGGGGAGCGGTCCGATTATCGGGGGAGCGGAAGGAAAATCGGGGGAGCGAAAGGAAAATCGGGGAGCGAAAGGAAAATCGGGGAGCAAATTTTGCCCCTCGAAAATGCACTTCTGGGACTTTTTTTTAACTGCAACGTTTTTTTATTTTTTGGCAGCGCTACATATGTCCTATATTATCCAAAGAAAAAAGCGAAAGGAAAGGTTTTGTTTTGGTTACTTTTGTTTTATTTTGATTACTTTTCTTTTTGTTTTGGTTACTTTTGTTTTTGTTTTGGTTACTTCGCTTACATTTCTTTCGTTGTTATGATCAATTATACTATTAATGAATAAATTTTTAGGTAGCCATTTGTTCGTTCGGGATTGTGGAGCGTTCGGCAAAAAGAGAAGGCGGCCGATGGGAAGGTAGAGGTTGTTTGGTGTTAGATATTTAAGTCACTTTTGTGATCTATATAAAGGTTGTGAGAATAACGGGTAATTCGCGGATTTTATGGCAGTACTTTGGATAATATAGGACATATGTAGCGCTGCCAAAAATTAAAAAAACGTTGCAGTTAAAATAAAAGTCCCAGAAATGCATTTTCGAGGGGGCAAAATTTGCTCCCCCGATTTTCCTTTCGCTCCCCCGATTTTCCTTCCGCTCCCCCGATAATCGGACCGCTCCCCCGATATTGGAAAAGAACCAAATCATTTTTTTGAGGTAGTTTTATGTGTTGATGTGGGTCCGGCAGATGCCCAACCCACGTGTGGTTTTGAAGAAAAAAGTGGTCCCCCAACTAGGATACTATCAAAAGTTTTTTTTTTCAGAATGCGATATTCATTTTTGGGCATTTGGTTGGTTTTTGAAAGTTTAACCCGGATCTAAAAATTTTACCCCCCGGATCTTGAAATTTTACCCCCGGATATTGAAAGACCCCCCGGATATTGAAAGACCCCCCCGGATACTGCACAAGTACCGTATTTTCAACATGTCGTCTATGATTTTGGTGTTTAGAATAATGAAGCAATCGTTACCGACGATGACGTCCAGATGGTTGTTTTTGACAGTCCCGGAACGATTGGATTAGGACATATAAAGGCTTGGCGATAACAGTAAGCGCTTGGCAACAAACTAACAACTCATTAAATCAGATGATGGGGAGAAGTGGACAAAATCGAATTCTTAGTGTGTTCGAATCAACGACCAAGCGCTACAGGTACAACAAATCCTTTCCCGTGTATTTTCTGATTAACAACTTTAGGCAATTTGTTATCGCCTAAAATCTCTATGCGCTCTTCATGTGAGCCAATTGCTTATACTCAACGATAAGAATCTGGCGGTAATGCGCATTTAATGGCAATAAAATCAAATGTTTAGAAATTGGTCAACTCACTAAAAAGCCTGCAAGAACTAGCCATAATTTCACACCCAAATACCAAATATGAAGGTATCTTTCTGCTTTACACTTATTTAAGTTTGAAATATTCAGGTTTAACTGGGTACGGGCTTTCCGTGATTGAGAATTTGCCGCTCAAAACTCTGCTTATCGATGGCCTATCGGCTGCCACAGATCAACTCCTTGGATCAATATCTCGAGTCAACGAGAATAAAATTTCGAAGACTCTTGAGAATCTATCTATCGCTTTCTGTTTCAACATTGAAATGTGAGAGATTGTTGATGAAAAAAAAACACGAATGTTTTAGACACGGGTTAAAACGACTTGCTGCTTTGCCAAATTTGAAAAACATAAACTTTGACGGATTCAAGAAACGAGATGTCTTATTGGGGATTGAAGAGTTGGCGGCTTCTGGCCATTTAGTCAGAGTAAATGAAAAGAATCAACTAGTATTGTCTATTGTACGCTTTAGCTTTTGCTAGCCGAGGAAACAAATATTTCGGCCGAATCACTTGTGAAAATTGTCGAGAAACCGCCAAATCTTCGATTGTTGGATTTAACGAACAATTCACAAGCATTGAGCGCTGAAGCAGCCGAAAAATGGGTACGGAATCTTTTTCTTATAGTTAGATGGAATTAAGCAATAGTGAAACTTTTGATATGACGTTTAAAGCTACAAGCTTTTTACCCACAATACATTCGAAGAAAGTGTCTATTTTTAGATTACGTTATGTGAAGCTTCGAAGCGGCCACCTCTTTATGTGTTGACGAGTGACCATTTGATGTGGAATAATGTGCATCCATCGCAAACGGATGAATATGGACGGATGAGTGTGCAAATTCTTCACTCATGCCCACAGATGATTAACCCGTCAGTTTATGATCATGTTGTTAATTTTCTTGGATTTAGTGAAGAAATCTCTCCTTCAACGGCACTTTCATTTGAATCACCATTTTCTCTACCAAAAGGAATTTTACTGGCGGGTCTTCGTAGTGGAAATAGGTAAAGTTTGGTTTAACTAACCAAAAGAAAGTATGACAACCGGCTGAAATGACGAGAAAAAAGCGTTGAAGTGTCGAGAGCTTCGGTGAATGAAAAAAGTTTCGTTCGTCGACCGTTGCCCATTCAAAAGCATAGTAATTGCGTTATGGTTTTTGCTCTGATCAAAAAGTTTCTTCAAGTACTGGATAACGCAATCAACAATTTGTTTTACTTATAGTAAGTGCGAATAGGCATCTTAATAAACTCTCAAAGGCACTAATGATCGCACATCAGTTTTCAATCTGATCAGCCAAGAAAAACTAGTTAGTGAGCAAGTAACTAGTAACTACTAACTAACTAGTTAGTGGGCAAGTAAAAGCATGCATCATTCATTTGTTTAGGTATCGCCTCTTGTTTCAACATCTAGGTCATACACTTCCATCAAAGGTATTCATTTTTGTAACTGTAACTTGCAATGTGCGATAATTTGTCATTGTTAAACTGAACAAAAAACAAGATGAAGTGATGAATGAGTAAAAGGTCTGAGGATTTCAAGCCGCATTTCAAATCAAAAGCTATTGTTTTTTAGCAATTAGCTTCTTTAAAAACGCGTTATAGTATAAAAGGATGTGCAAATACTAGTTTATGACATAAATGAATAGGCATAGATTTAGTTCTCATCCTGACACTTTTTGTAAATGGTTACGCGTTAACTAATGTGGCTTAGTGATCCGTAAAATGATCTCAAAAGATTTCTGATCATCTTGCAAGTAAAACTTGTTCAAGATGTTTAAAAATTAAAATTTTAAAAGCAGCAAAATTTTACACTTTTAGGTTTTACAAAAGGAAGTTACTTCCCCATTGGCCCATATTGTTGCGAAGAAAAGAGAAGAGATTAAACCACAGGCTGAATTTGCTCCTATTCTGCCGCCAGCGTCGAGTTTGTTAAAATGCTGTTGTCTTTTGAATGTGCTTTTTAGATTATGATCCATTTTCTTCAACACCTGATGAAAATTTGTACAATTTCCATCCATTTGTATCAACGGTCAGTTATTTTGAAGATCATCTATTTAACTATTTATGGTTCAGACACCTTTCTCAATCACTGACCAATCAATTGATTACTCAATGGATGTTCACAATCAGCCAATTTTCAACAATCCTCATTTGACGCACACTTTTGTTGGGTTCTAATTTAATATATTTAAACCTAGAGTTTAGCTCCGGACGTTCTCCGTCTTCTACTAAACACACATGCTTATGAAGATGGGGCGCGAGTGGGAAATGATTTTGCAAAAGTGGGAATTCTGTTTCGGGAAGATGGAACGGTTAGTGATGAGCAAAGATTATAAAGTAGCGAACGACTTTTATAGCCCTCTTCCCCAAAGAACGGCAAACACATAGAGTCTAACAAAAAAATGAATAAAGCAAGATTCTATTCAGACAAATGTTCCCTTCCTATCCCATCCTCCATCAAACACTTTCCACGATTTGCTATCCGATGATCTCCCGAGACCGATTTTTTCACCGATTTGGGGCCCAACAACAAACAATTTCTAACGTGTCAACATTTCTAGCATTTCTAGCATTGCCGGTCATGCTCATTAGCAAGCCAAATCAAACTTCTCAAGATCTCAATTTGTTACATTTTGACTGTTATAAAGCTTGTCTACCACTAAAACAGCGAAAATACACCGTGCAGTTTTCACAATTATTTACACTCCAACGAAACATGTATAAAGTTGTGATATAGTGATGCTTTAGTAAAGAAACAAAGATTTAGAGCTAAAGTTGGCTACTGATAGCTTATCGATATCAAGATCTCAATAAGTTTTCCAAAATCTTTAAAAATCGTAAAACTCCGATCTGGGATATCGACAATCGTATTCAGCGCATCGAATTACCGCGAAATAAGCCTCAGTTAAAAGGATTTGACGGAGAATCAACTAAAGTTTTACTATTATCGATAAGTTTATCGAGATCTCAATATCAATAAGTCTCGATAAGAACCTATTGAGATTTCGATAGTCAAGTCTAGTGAGAGCCCAATAAACGGGGTCTTGAAAATTATAAAACAGTAAAATTAAAGTTGTGATATTTAGGTTCTGAATCTGAAAGCGCTGTTAGAAGTACGGGATCAGAATTGGGACACCGCTTCTGTAATCTTCGATCAATGTCAACAACGGGAGCCATTCAAGATTTATGCAGCTCCAGAAAGAGATCTCATTCTCGAGAGCCAGTGGAAATGATCAAGTAAGAGGCTAAAAAAAGTAAAGATACATTCAATTTCTAGGTATTTGTGATTGGTCATCGTTTCGATAGATCTTTTCGACTGATGCCGTATTCTGGTTTATTGGATGAGGATGCTGAATCACAATGTATGCGACACATCATCGCGCCTCCACGTTTGTACCTTTCTTTGTTAAAAAAAATCAGTTTTATTTAGTTGGTTTACGGCGTACGAATCTTGTGAGACACTTCAACGCGAACTTTCCCTACAATGGACTCACTTATGCAACGAATCAGGAAGTTGATTGAACTAATTTATCAAAATCTTCATCTATTCAGGGTTTCTTCACCGAGAACAAAGGAAGAATCGTTGCAATGGTTTGAATGCGTTCTACAGGAGAAATATACAAAGGTTGGGTATTTTATAAGTTTAATCTTTGATTTTAATCACTTTCAGGAGGATGCGAATGCGGTACATCGCGTCGAAGCTCAACTACAATGTCTCCGACGGCTATTCGCCTCAAAAAGTGGCTTCCAGGCCTTCATGGAAGTGGCCGGAACTCGAGAGAAATTGGGTGATCTCGTCGTGCGATGTTTGCAATGGAGAAATGAAGTACATTGTGTTTAATTGAGCTTTATAACGTTCAATTCTAGGCGATCGACCATGCTGTGGTGGAGACGCTGTGTGCACTGATGCGGCCGATGCACAATTTCTTGGAGCTTCGCGCCGAACAACTTAACAAACAAAGTCTGCTTAGATCGTCTTACAAAGAAAATCATAAGCAAATAAATGTTAGTTAATAAACAATTTAGTTAATAGTTAATAAACTGTGACTATGTTAATTAATAAACAATTTATGAATTAGTATGTCCGCGTCAATTAGAGCCAACTTTACCATAGCCATAGTAAAGTTAAATCGCGCAAACATAGTTTTTAAGTAAATACTTTGAAAATAATTAGATTTTTTAGACTTGTTGTAGTTCGAGGTCGAAGCTTCTACACACTTTTTCATTCACCGAGTATGACCATCATTGAAGTTTAGAGAATTGATGCTATTTATTAGTGGTAGTAAGCAAAAAATGAAAATTCTTTCAACTTTAATGATGTTCATACTCGCTGGAAGAAAAAGCCTTTAGAAGCTTCAATCTCGAACTGCGACAAGTCTGAAAAATCTATTGTCAAAATAAAGAACTATTTTCAAAGTATCCATATCTTACTTCAATATCGTGTCAAAAGTCTTTATGCGTTCAAAAACAAACAAAAAAGTTATCAGGAAAAATTCAACACTCTTCTAACTCTTCTATCCAAGATTCGCATCTAATTTTGATATTTTCTTGAGGAGACCCTAGGGGTGAACTGTCGGGTGTGATGTGGAGAAAGAGAAGCGTGTCTGTGTTCCGCGATCTTGCTTCAGAAAGGCGCGGAGAGATCCCTGAGCAGGCGTCTCTCCTTTCCTTGTGCACACATCGGGTCCCCCTCTTCCCCGGCGTGCACTGTGCACTGTCCATCCACAGGCCCCCATCCTCCTTTTTCCCCCATCTCTTTTTCGATTCTCTACCATTCCTCGTCTATTCCCGTCCACCCATCCCCTTTTTCCCCTTAAGAGGAGAATCGACGACTTTTTGTGACCAAAATAAACACCCCTGACTTGCGATCAATTTTCCCAACGATTTACAACTATTATATTCAACTCTTGACTTCAACCGAGCTTTGCCAAGGCTAGTTTTAGCTAGTTTTAAGGCTTTAATTGGATTTTAGATAAAAAGTGTTCAAATTCGAATTTTAGGCTCAACCGTCACCAATTTGTTGTTCAATTTCTTCAAACAAAGCGAGAATCGTGGCGAGCAAAAGGAAAAGGTCGAGATCAATCTCGATGGAAAGAAATGAAGAAAAAAGAAGAAAAATGGAAATAATGGAAATGAATGACAATGAAGAAAAGATAAGACGAGGAGAGCACAGTCCACATCCATCCACATCATCAAAACATTCAACGAGTCGAGATTCGGGTTGGTTTTTCATTTGTGCTTTGTGCGCTGAACGTATCGCTTCTGGGGCACTAAAATAGCCAAACTTTTGCCCATCGATTTGGGCAAAAGAAAGGAACTAAGTGCACTAGAATTGGCTTGCAAAGTTGAGCACAAAGTATTGCACAAAGTATTGCACAAAGTAAACAATACATTCATATTTTTACTTCAGGAGTGAGCTCTGATGGAAGTGGAGGCGGTCCGTCGACAAGTGCAAAGCCACCCACTCGACAAACGATTTCATATCACTCATCCCATTGCCATCAATTGCCTCAACCCACTCCTCAACCCACTCCATCGATTCCTGCAACATTTCATCATGTTCCTGATCAACAATTCATTTCACAGCATTTACAGGTGAGAAAACGTTGAATTTACTTTAAAATTTTATCCATTTAATGCATTGATCAATTAGAATCAATCAATTAGAATTAGGTTTTCACTAAAATAACCGACAAATAAACGACCTAACATTTCCAGGAGATTCTCGCTTCATCCCCGGCTCAACTCACTCGTTGCGGTGTTCTGCCTAGGAATGGATCGGCAGCTGAATGGGAATGGTGGTTGTGCTGGCTGGCCACAGCTCTCTCACCACCACAGTGGCAGGTTGGCATTTGTGATTTTCGAAAAGCATTCCATTTCAGGGTTACTGGGCAGCGCATGCGGCAGTGTTTGGCGGTGAATCGGTTCCAGTGAACGAATTGTCCTTTTTCTCATCGCCTGCATCAGTTCTTCTTCAATCATTCGCCGCTCAATGTGCCCAACAAGCGTACGGAGGAGTGACCGAGGCGTCGACGAATTTCTTCTCAAGTGAGTCACTCGGATCTACTCCTAGTCTAATCTGAATCCTAGCTTCCTGGCTTAGACTACCTGTCTAAGCTAGAAAGCTAGATGTCTAGAGCTGTCAGAAGCCAAGCCTTGAATATTCGTACCGATTTTCCCTTTCCAGCCGTTCCTCCATCAATGTCCTCCCTTTTCACTCCACTCATCTATCCACCACCATTGGAACAACGAATCATCGAGCATCAAGCTGAGTACGGTTGGTCAAGTTTTTCTTTTTCTACTGCGTAGTGCATGTTTTTGGTGGAAAAGTGTGCAGTTATTTGATCAGTTACTGTTTTTCCACCATTTCCACACAATCTTCATTCTCGAAATCTCGATTTTTCTTTAACCTTTCCCTCGGGATAAATCTCACCTGTACATCAATTTCTTCATCGATTTTTCCCCTCATTTTTTTTTCTCTCAACTCGGGACTTTTGTAATTTTTCCTCTTTCTTGAGAAAACTTTCCCGCGGAACGCCTCAATTTGTCGGCTTTTCACTCAATTATTTTCCTCTTTTCTTGGTCATTTCAGAGTCAGAAAAGAAAAAGATAGCTTCTTATTCTTGGAAAAGGCATTCAGCTATTCAAAAAAAGTGATACTGGCTCTTTTTGTCGATAGTACAGTGAGTACTTTGTATTTAGCTGATTGTTTCCTTTGCTTGTCGATAGTACTCAAAAGTACGGTAGCTTTGATATTCTTCTATTGGCTATATCTACCGAATAACGTCTCCAGTCAAGTCCAGCTATTGCTCAGTTATTCCACTATACTTCCGTACGGTCAACACTACTCTACTTGATCTACAGTACTTCGTGCCTCTACCGTATTACTGTACCTGCATACGGTATTACTGTACTGCCGTTCTTTACAGTACTTTTACAGGACTTTTGCAGTACTTTACAGTACTTTACAGTCCTTTACAGTACTGACAGTACTTTTACAAGACTTTTGCAGGCCTTTACAGTACTTTACAGTACTTTACAGGACTTTTACAGTACTTTTACAGGACTTTTGCAGTCTTTTACAGTACTTTACAGTACTCTGTACAGTATCTACCTTACCAATCAGCTCCACCATTGAATATTAATGTGGCGGTGAGGAGGATCAAAAAAAGAGAAAAGAAAGAGCTTTTTCTAAGCCAAAAAGAGAAAAGAAAGAGCTTTTCCCAAACAATTTAGTGATCTTCTTAAAAGTGAGAGCTCCGTTGAAACAAAAAAAAAAACGAAAAAGGATCAGAAAAGACACTCCGGGACACCTGGTGCTCAACTCTTTCAGATCTTTCTCTCTCTCATCCATTCCCATATCTTTCATTGATCCCTTCCCTGATCACTCTGCTCCTCATTCTCCGCCATTCTCTGATCCATCTACCTCGATTTATTTCACTTTGCCCACATTTCGAGCCCCAGCCCAAAGCATTTTGACTTATCTGAGATTCCTCAATGGGAAACGCGGCCACGACACAGGTTTATTTCATAAACAAATTCAATTTAGAGATAATCTAATGATTTCAATAGATAAGTTCAATTTTGACTTATACAATTGACAATATGACTTGATTTTGTTATAGAATTCAGCTCTATTGTCTAACTTTGTTGGCTAGTTGTCTAACTTTTTTGGTTTTTCTGACTGAATACCCTTTCTCCAGGGTGGTGGTGGGAATGGTCATCGTCGAGACGGTTCCTCTCCACTTCCATCACAATTTCATCAGCACTCTGGTAAGTAGCCGGACTTTTGTATACAATATAAGTGTGATTCTCGAATTTGTGCTGTTTTGTTGTTTGTTTTAAACGTTGAAATCGGTTGTTGTGGAGTCTGTGAAAGCAAATCCGTGTCTTGATCTGAATTTCTTTAAACTTAAGATACTATTCAATCAATTCCTTCGAAACAAAATCCCCATTTCATTAAAAGAATACCCGTAAACCCTGAGAAGTTCCCAATAAATCAGTTTCTCTTGACTCTTTTCTTTTCTCTTCTGTTTCTCTTCTGTTTCTCTTCTTTCGTGATCTGTCCATTCCATTGGCAGATCAAGAGCTGTTTTTCCTCCTCTTCTCATTTCTGTTCAGCTCCCCTTTTCCCCCAAATTTCCCCCCAAGGGACCCATCACTTCGATTTGGGCTCCTTTGCCTTTTTTCTCTTTTTTCCTTTTTTCTCCAATCAATCCTTTGCTTGGACACACTTAGGCAGCTTCCTGGTAGACTAGGAATCTCTGGAAAGAGCAAGAACATGTAAAAAGTTATGTCAAAATTTTCCAAGAATCAAATCGGAGCCCAATACAGTCTGGATTAGGTGAACTTTTACAGAGAGAACCTCTTCAATTCTCTCAACTTGTCCCCCTTTTTTATTCACTCATTCCCTTTTTCTCATCTCATTGCATGTATGTCCCGCAAAAATCCCCAAAAAGTCGTCTTTCCGTCACTTTTCCCAGAGTTCCATTCTCTGAGTAATCCCCTCTTTTTTTTTTTTTCCATTTCCTAACGAACACGAGTTTTCTCCGTTTGGACATAAAATGGGAAAAGCTTTTGGGGAAAATCTCTGAATAGAGGCTAGTTTTTGGTTTAAGATAAGGCTTAAATCTTGCCTTCACCTTGATCTTGTCGAGTTCAATCAGCCGGCTTTGATTAGCTTGCTGCTAAATGCTTCAACAATTCTTGAAAAAAGCAAAAGATCCAAAGTCGGGAACGAACTCGCGAGATCTCGCCCGGGAAACGAATGCATTACCACTCGGCCACATCTGCGACGTGTTAAGTCGGCAAGGAAGCCGTTAAGACCAGATTTTCAAAGCATTTGACTGGCTCAGCCAGTTGACCTTTCCTTGTTAGCAAAATTGGTATTGTTAAATCTATTTAGAAACCTTGCTAGATGATAAATGATAAATATTTTGGTGAACCCGACAATTAGAAGCCGGTTTATTATAGTCTCAAATCTATCAATTCATATTTTTCAAGTTTTAATAATCTAATCTCTATAATAATCTTGCATTAGATCAGAAAAAGAGCGGGTTGGGCCTCCTCCCGAAAAAGGACTTTGATATAATCGAAAAGAGAAGAAAGAAAGGATGAAAAAGGAAGAAAGCAAAGAACGAAAGAAAGCAAAGAAAAGAAGAAAGATATAGAAAATGGAATAGAAAGAGAGGGGAGTGGGTCCGGAAGGGCAATCGATGGGGAGGCTGGAGGAGGAGAGGCTCCCCCTTCGTCTCTTCCGGTCCTTTGGCCTCGAAAAACTTGGCATTTCTTCTATTTTCAATCTTTCATCTTTCTGCTTTTGTTCCTTTTTAGCACTCCTTTGTGTTTATTTCAATCACTCTCTAATTTCTCTCCATTTCCCCCAAAATCGGAATCCCATTTCAATTTGATCGTCGACTTTTTCTAAACACACTTTACTTTATCGATTTTCAAAGTTTTTGACTAGAATTTTGTAGATCTGTAAATCATTTTCGACTTTTAAATCTATTTCTTCATTCATAAAACTAATCAGATGACGTTTTTCAGCTCTTTTTTGAGCTCTTTTGAACCAAATTGATTGATCTAATCTTTTTTTGATTGATTGATTGATTGATTGATCTATTCTTTATTTTCATCTAGATCTAGCTATTGTTCCCAATAGAAAGTTTCCCTCTAAAAAAGTCAAAATCGATTTTTATAGGAATAAAATGTCGTTGTAGTGGTATAAATTTTGCATTTTTTTAGGGAAATGAGAAAAACTAGGGGGGAAAGCTGTCGAAGAGATGCAAGGGGAACTTTTCGGGAGCACTTCGATGGAATTGAAATCGAATGCGGGAAAGAGGGGGAATGGAATGGACAAGCCGAATCAAATGCTTGCCATTTCTTCTCACCCTCACCTGCTCGCTCTTGTAGTCTGTTTCAATGATTACCACTGTTAGCTGCGGTTAACATTTTACTATTAGCAACTCTAACTTTGAGCTTAAATATCTCAGTGTTGGGCTTTCGAATTTAACTGTTCTTCATATCATTTGATGCGCCTTCTCTTTCTTCGTCGATTGGTCCAAAAACTATTTACGTTGAACAGCTCAACTCCGAGAAATTTGAGCTCAAAGTTAGATTGCCAATGGGAAAAGGGGCGGGGCCAGAAAGACCTTTTATACGCGCGCCGCCCCCAGCCATCTTAGCTCCGCCTCTTTTTTTGATCCGTTTGCCGTTGGCAATCTACCTATTTTTGCTCATAACTTAGCAGAATTTGTTTGAAAAACGTTGACTTTGCTTTTATTCGACTCGAAATCAAATTTTCTATCGAATGAAAGCAAATTCGACGTGCCTAAAAGCTTGTCATGTTTTAAAGTACCTTTTTACCCACTACTTTCCACCTTTTTTCAGCTTTCAGCTATTTCAGCTTCATTCACCTCAGCAAAACCCTACTTTTATGCATATGAAATCTTGAGTGAATGAGCAAAAAAGGAAAGAAAGCTGAAAATGGAGCTGAAAGCTGAGAGAGAGAGAGAGACTTGGAAGCTGGAGCTTTGGAGCTTCGATTTCTAATAAAAATGTCTCAAAAACATTGAAATCTCTTGTTTTCTTGATAAACCCTCTTATCTTTAGCTAAAAATATCTCTTTTCTCATAGTCAAAAAATCGATTTTCCTATCAAAAACGTATTGTGATGCGATGCCAGAGAAAAAAGCGATGGAAATTGTATAAAATTCCATCATTTTCCATCAATTTCCATCAAATTTCCTGTTTTCTCTTTGAAAAGCCTTCGAAATTGTTTCAAATTTGAATTTTAAAGACTTTTTAAAGACTTTAAAACGAATTTTTCAGGATTTTTTTCAAGAATTCCATTTACTTTTCCAAAATTCTGAATTTATCTCGCGGAAATTTGCACAGCCGACCAAATTTTCCCTAATTTTTTCCTGAAAACCTTTGCTTTTTTGCTTTGCTAAAAGCAAAAATATCTTTGGTAAAATATCATTTGGAGAAATTTTTGAGAAAAAAAAAATTTACTTTTTCAAATCCCCGATTTTTTCTGAATGTTTCGTCTTTAAGAAATTAATCATTATGAACAATTTTTTTTTGATCGATTTTTGATTCATCAAAAATTCCTCCAAATAATGGAAACATTTCAATAAGGAATGCTCAAAGAGATTCCATTTTTAGACTTTTCGGGACAGTTTTCCTTTTTTGATCACATCGAAATTTATTTCTTTTTTCCTTCTTTTCCACGAAAATTTAGTCAATCATTTTCCTTTTTCTTAGCATAATGTTTTAATTACCGTAAAACTTCTAATATACTTCTAATATAACATATTAGATGTGCGTCTAATAGAACATGTACGTCTAATAGAACATGTACGTCTAATAGAACATGTACGTCTAATAGAACATGTACGTCTAATAGAACATGTACGTCTAATAGAGCATGTACGTACGGAACCAAATCAGAACCATATTAGAACCATATTAGAACCAGATTAGAACCAGATTAGAACCAGATTAGAACCAGATTAGAACCATATTAGAACCATATTAGAACCATATTAGAACCAAATCAGAACCTAATATAAAGTTGTGATGCAAACTACATCAAAATAAAAATTTTACTTTTTCGTACGCTCCAAAATCATTCGACGAGTCATTTTTCCTTCGCTTCTCTCAAACCCAAATTGCCAGGCTTTGATCAGCTTCAAAAAGAAATTGAGCTTTCGTCCGCCTTCTTCCAATCGCCTCCTTCCAATCGCCTCCTTCCAATCGCCTCCTTCCAATCGCCTCCTTTCAATCGCCTCCTTTCAATCGCCTCCTTTCAATCGCTATCGCTTTGCATTGTTATTTCCCGAGAGCAGACGTTCTTGTTGTTTTCGTCACTCAATAATTCTTGGCTTGGCAACTTGAAACTTTTCGGCAGCTTTCTTATTTGACGTTTTTTTTTGGCAAACCTAATGGCTTTCAATTTGAACGCAGCCGAAAAAGAGCGCCTCTTCTTGAAGTCCTCTTCTGCATTTGAAGAATCCATTCCTAAAAAAAGAATATTAATGAAAACTTGAAAATAAGCATAGATAAATTCTTATTTTCGTTAAATATATAGCAAAAAATTAAATTAACATAAAAAATTGAATTCTATTCCCTGGAGTAGTTCTTCTTTCGGCATGGTTAGCAGACGTTCGTTCATTTCCAGAAGTAGTGTTTAATTGAATTGACGCGTCTGAGTCGTAGTTGACGTCCTTGTCATTCTTTCCGAGGTTCTTTTCAATAATTAAATTATTAAAGAATGATTACGCAACATTGCCGAATAACATTTGTAAAAAATGAGAAAAGGTGCACTCAAAGAGCGCGAAAATCGAAGGGTTTGCGCTGAGAAAAACCTTCAATTTTCAACATCGTGCTCTAAATCTAAATCTTTCTAAATTTAGAAAAGGAGGGGGCGTTTATTGAAGTATGTACGTCTATTAGAGCTTGTACGTTTCTATTTGGCTACTTTATAGTTCCTATTTAGTCTATTAGATCTTGTACGTCGACTAGAGCTTCTGCGTCTATTAGAGCTTCTACGTCTATTAGAGCTTGTACGTCTATTAGAGCTTCTGCGTCTATTAGAGCTTGTACATCTATTAGAGCATGTAGGTCTATTAGAACATGTACGTCTATTAGAGCTTGTACGTCTCTTAGAGCTTGTACGTCTCTTAGAGCTTGTACGTCTCTTAGAGCGTGTACGTCTATTTCTCAAGCGCCCTCTAGAGTGTAGGTCTATTGGAGCATTTACATCTAATAAAGC